AAGTGAGTCAAATTTTTGCCTCTCCAATTTTTCTACTTTTTTACGATTGCTTTGATATCATACGAGGTACAACAGTTAGAGAACATGTAACTACATACTTTTATACTATGTCAAGCCCTATCACACATATATCGAATGGAAGTATCTATGTTATCTGATGGCAATGATAGAGCATCAAAAAGTTGAAAAAAAAATTTTGTGACTCAATTTTGCCGCTCAGTGTATCTTTGATAAGCTTTATTTCTTTCACTTCATGAGCTTCACTCCTATAGTACTTCTGTTGTTTATGTACTAACCAGTCTTCATCAAGAAATCTCCACTTTGTTGTGTAGAGCACATTCTACTCCTTCTCTCTTAATTCTTGTAATTGATTGTCCATCAGTGTGAGGTAGTCATAAATAAAAATTTCAACTTTTATCAATTTTAGAATATGGGATCATTCCAGAACTTCTTCAAGCAACATTTAGCTGAGATGTGTGAGGAAGAAAGAGATATGCTTACTCTGCTACTTATTCATGACTTTGATATGAGTGATGACCTAGCAATACAAGTGCATAATTGGATCTAACATATTGCTACTGATTGTGAGGTAAGGGTTGAACATGTGTATGATGTTTGTCATACTTTCCATAGAGATATGGAGAGAATGGTTGCTTATGCTATGTTTTAAAATGGTTGCTATTCAACTGTGATTGTTCTATATCCCACACTTACAACTCTTAGATGTATTTGTTGCTTTGTTCCTCCTAGCTGTTGAGAAATTGCTTTTCCAATAGAACTGTCAGCTGGTATCCTGATAAGAGTTGGCTGTTTATCTCTCCCTTTAATATGAATATCAACATAGAAGTATGAATGTCCTCTGAAAGTATGGAGTGCATAATGTATAACTGTAAATTCATTACCTAACTGAAGAACATTATAAGCAACTCTATACAATGATGGTTTCAGATCGGTATTCTCTTTGATAAATATATGGCTAGTTTCATCAAGTGTAATATTGTCTATTGCTGTTGTTAATGCATTGATGTTTTCCTCTTTTACAGAATATTCAACCTCTGACATTTCTGATAGAAATATCTTACTCTTTGCTTGCTTACTATCTATCCAACCAATATGCATTCCTTTGTAGTTAACTAATCCCATCTCTTCAAAAGTATGATACTGCTTAGTTGTAGGATAAGTTGACCAGAAGGAGTTTCTCTGACTTGGAACAATAGTTATATTCTTATCAACTCTTCTAAGAACTTTTTCTGTTTCAAGACCACTCTCAAGTGAATCATACATTTGATAAAGTGTAGGTCTATTGTTGAATGAGAGATTAGCAACAACTACCATTGGATCTTCATTCGTAGTAAGCTTCTTAATAATTCCTTGCTTCTTTGATGTGATTGAGTTAAACCAATGACAATATGCTAAAGTATGCTGTTGTCTCACATAAATACAAACTGTATAACAACTACTAACCTTATCAACAAGTGCCATCCACTGCTTTTCATAAGAAGTTGCAAATGTTCTGCATCCATTCATAAAGTCAAGTGTAGTAAGAAGCAAGTTACTATTCCATTCAACTGTTTGCATCTGAGAAGAATGTACAGTTAGTTCTATCCTAGTCAAACCAAAGTTTCTACAAGCATACAATGTTTTTCCAAAGTTGTGTAAAGTTGGCAGTATAAATTCAGAAAGTTTAGAACTAAGAGGATTACGAACTTCACCACTCTCAAGAAGCTGAATAAACTTATTGTAAATTTTGTTCTTAACTTTAATATCTCCTTTTTTTGTAAACCAGCTAATGCAGTTAGAGCCAGACTTGCGTAAATCATCTACAACATCTTTCTTTTCAACTCCTCTTTCTAAAAGGTATTTATAGATAATATTTCTAGATGAGATATTCATACAATCCATTGTGATGTCATAGTTCTGTAGATATATTTTGTGATCAGCCATAGTAGCAAACTTCACTGTTAACAAAGAACTAACTATTGCAATGTTTGGTGTGGATACTTTGTAAATAGCAACTAGTCCATATTGTTCACTAATCTTGCTTTTAATATACTTATAGCCAAAACCTTCTCCAAATACTTTATGCAATCTAATACTAGCAGACTTCTGCTTTACCTTCATATCAGATTCAATGCATTTCTCAATAACAACCTCAACAATGAATGAGTCAACAAACATTTCAGAAGAATGCTCAAATCCAAGTTGCTCTATACCTCTAGCAGTATACCTAGCATCAGCAACATCAGGCATATTTCTTCTTTCTGACAACACTCTTGTTAGCAACACTCTTAGTTCACTTTGGAAGGGGGTCATTCCTGGACTTGTAAATTTTAGATATTTGCAATTTACTTAGTTAGATATTTGATTAATCGTTTTCAGAACTATTTTTTGCTACTAATTATTTTTTTTCATAGTTATTATTAGTTAATGTGTCCAGAATGTTTTTGTGTGTATAATTGATTTTAAAAATACAAATTTTTTTTACCATTTCACCCAAACCGCCATCGGCATCTTAGAAAAGTTTCAGTGAACATAATTTCCTTGTGGTTGCTTAGCCACATCTATTGAGATATTGACTTTTATTGCCTAATGATAATTAACCCCAAATATGCAAAGTTTTTCTTTCTGGTTGAAATTATGTTCACTGAAACTTTTCCAAGATGCCGATGGCGGTTTGGGTGAAATTTTTATTTCACTGAAATTGCCAATAGTTTCAACATGTATAAATAGTTGTTGTGCAGATAACTAGCTCTGAATGACCTCCATAAGAATGTTTACAATGTGCAAATGAAACTGTGCTATGTATTATATAATATGAAGAAAATACTAGCAAACAGTGATGTGCAAGTAGAACATCATCATACTCTCTGGGTTATGACAAACTTTGACTATCCTGAATCACACAATGAGAAGTTGATACAAGTGGAACCAACATATACTTTACCTCATAAGGTTGAGTTTGAAGCATCAATGGTTGAACTACAAAATAGATTTCTACAATCTAAAATTGATGATAGCTATAACTGCTTTGTAGATATGGGGTAACAACAGATAAGATGATAGCTACTTGATTTTAAAATAGCTACATTTTATCAATATTGTTCAATATAGAGGTTATTTGCTACTACTCAACTAGGTAAAAGATATTTAGAACTTTTAAAACTTTATTATCTATTGCACATTCTACTCCTTCTCTTGTAATTCTTATAATTGATTGTTCATGGGTAGTAAGATAAGATACACAAATCTGGTTCTTAAGGAAGTTTTGGAATAATGAAATTTTCTAAAATTGATAAAGAAATATGTAGCTGATCTGAGTATTGAAGAAAGAAACATGCTAACTTCAGTACTTATCCATGACTTTAACATGAGTGATGGCTTAGCATTCCAAGTACATAATTGGATCCAACTTAGTGCAACTACACTGAGCGGCAAAATTGAGTCACAAAAATCAAAATCATCGAAAATCTTAAATAATTTCTCTGAACGACGTTCATTGAATATGATAAAATTAAATCATGGTGTATGCCATGCACTAATCTATTTCTTGTAGTTGTGCGCTTATCGCTTTTGAAATAAGCGAGAAACTGACTTTTTAAAAAATATAAATTTTTGACTCAATATTGCTCACAAAATTCGTCGATTATTTTCTCAATAACTAGCAGAGCCACAATAGGTTTTTTTGACCGCAGCGATACGCACAGGCATCGAGTTCACTAATCACAAATAAACGGTTTCATTTACTTACCTATTTATAATTTCTTAGGCCAACGCGATGTAGGAGCCAAACATGATGAATTTTGACTTTTATCAGATCTTACTCATAATGAAGCCCTATAAGTGAGTAGCGTATCGTATCTAGGGGACTACACTGATCATCTTATAGTAGAAACAGTATACATATCTAGCCTACTTATAGCCCTATTTGCTATTTATGTGATGATGACTTCTTTAGATATAATCTTTGCACTCTCCTACTGCTTATCATAGGTATGTAACCAAGGAAAGATATATACCATCATATGCACACTGGTCAGTGTGCCACATCCCCTCAACTAGGGAAGCAATGCCCATAGCTGTATAGAGATACACTACTCAAAACTCAGAATCTACTTTTTCAGATTTTCTTAGAATCTCGATTTCTTCCCAGTGTTCACAGAATAGAGCACTTTCATTAGGATATTTCATTCCCATAGTCACCTGTGGGGCATATGCTTTGTATAGTAAGTACATTTGATTTGATCTAATATGTTTTTGATCGTAAGAAGCTGCTTAAAGAAGGATTAAGAAAGTTGCAAAATTTGTGATTCAGATTAAATGGCTTATCATTAGGCACAGAGATTACATATAGATATCTCATAGCATAGAGCAGGTAGCCACAGTAGTACTCTCTCTACCTATGTATATATTGTTACTATAAAAAATCAACTCATAGAATTACATTGCTTCAATAGAGAGCTTAAGCATAGTTGTACATCATTTATAGTTGATTACTCCTTCAGTGAACTAGCTATCAAACTCATTTCTTGTCATCATTGAGTACTAATCATGCGAATATCAACTATGCAATCAACATCTATAAGAGTGATGGCAGTGCTGAAGCATTGATCATTTCCTTCATAATTTTTCTTCACATATTGATTACATGATAGTACCATGCGTAGTTGAGCAACGTTGTGGACAAGATATTATTATTGAAGAGCGAGTGCAACAGAGTTATGGGTAGTGATTTCACATTATTCGAAAAAAGATAAGGTGTAGAAATGGCAGTATGAAGTCAAAGTGAGTCAAATTTTTGCCTCTCCAATTTTTCTACTTTTTTACGATTGCTTCGATATCATGCGAGGTACAACAGTTAGAGAACATGTAACTACATACTTTTATACTATGTCAAGCCCTATCACACATATATCGAATGGAAGTATCTATGTTATCTGATGGCAATGATAGAGCATCAAAAAGTTGAAAAATTTTTTGTGACTCAATTTTGCCGCTCAGTGTACTTTAGCTATTTCGAGTTAGAAAGAAATAGTCATTTCTACCACATTTACGTATCTATCCTACTGCTGTGACCTCCGCATCTGGCCGCCTCTAGAACGTGATGTAGCTGCACCGATTCCTTCATCAACCTCAATTGAGAGATAGGGTGCCTCCTGGATGCCAATCGGGGATGCAATGTCATCGTCATTTGGCCCCGTCTTGAATCTCCCGCTGCGCCTACCTACTGCCCCACGCCTCGACGATGCACCCATTGCACGCTCCGCATAACCGCCATCGATCATTGGCCATATGGGTATATCCACGCCGCCCATTCCGGGCCCAGTGCCCTTGTAGATACCAATGATCCGTGACAGAATAGCATGTGTTTTCTGCTGAGTGACCAACGGCGGAAGTAGAAGATGGAGAACCCCTTCAGATGGGTCGATCGAGCGAACGACTCCATGTGCAATGAATGTCGTTGTCTGCGTGTTAGGCCTGCCATAAACAATTTGCGGATATGAATGGCAACTTTCTGCGATGGCCTCCGCCTGTAGACCCTCGATTGAAGCACGCTGTAAAATACGGGCCGAAGGTTCGCTCAGGTCAATTGCTGCCTGGTCGTTAATACCCTTGTCGCCATTGTAGAGTGTTTTCAAGCTGCTAGCAGTCCACACTTTGCCATCCGGGTGAGGCACATTGACAACAGCAATCACGCCAACAAGGGTGCCATTCAGCGCACGCAAAGCCTGGTTAGGTGGAATATCCTCATCACCAAACCAAATGAGCAGATCCGACCACGGCACAGCGAGCGGGCGCTGCGTAGCCAGCGGAATCGCCATATTCCATGCCGGGTCCGCTAGCTGCGCAAGTCCCTGGTTCCTTAGCTGAGAATCCACGTTGCCGCCAGTCATATACAAGTGCGAGATGAATGCCAGCGTGCGCATATCGTACCCAGTATGTCTTGGTCCTTTGCGTGTAACCACCTCACTGTCAACCGTATCGCTTGAAGATGGTACGAATTCGGAGCCATTCCCGCCTTTGGATGATTTGGTGTACAGCGTGTGAACTGCCCGCTCGTGGTTCATCGCTGTGATCCAGAGCTGCTGTGGTGCGCAACCTTCTATGCTCCCAAAGTCGACAAGTGGTTCTGCTTCAGCGATCGAACCATCGGCACTGCGTGATCCATTGTCAAATTGGTTGTATATCTGTATATACGATGTGGGACGGGCAGCCTCACAGATCGAGTAGTGTAGATCCATACCAAGCCCAGTCAGCCAGCCATCGGTGTTCACCACAAGCGGAATAGTAAGCTCGTCCAGCTCACCTACATCCGAACCTCCCGCTAGCTGCATCTCGTTGCGCTTTTCCACCAGCTGGCTAATGTAGCAGCGGTAGAGAGCAAGCAGCTCCTGAATCGCAAGCACATACTGATCAGGGTTGTTCCTCGGCGTGGTATCGCCCATGTACACAGCATGGTATGGTTCAACTTGGCTAGCATGCGTGAACGGCGGGCCTAGAAGCGGAGCACTGATCATCGTCAATGTCAGAGCGCCTGGCGGCGCCAATTCCGACTGGCCCAAATCTGTTTCCAGATAAAACAGCTTTCCGTAGCGGCTAAGCAGTCTGTTGATCAGCATGCGAGAAAAAGTGGATTTGCCCTGGTTCTGGCCGCCGGCAACCACTAGTACTGGGGAGATCGGGTTAAACTCTTTGTCAAGCTGCGGCACCGCTGTAGAAACCAGCTCAAGGGTCTCCTGCCAGTCGCGCGGGGTCTGCAGCAGTTGCAAGTCTGGGGTCAGAAATGAAACCGGGTAAAAGTTTGGTAACCCAATCGCGGAGCCAAGCCCTTCTTCGATCTTTGCTGAGTCGTCCGTGTCGATAGGCAAGTCCTCGACAGTGCTTTCATCCGAGTCGTAGCCACCAGTGTCAACAGTAGCTGTCTCTGACTGCGCCATTGACGCATCGCTGACCGAGCGCTTGAGCTTTGACACTGCTGCGTTGCCTGCTGCAAGTGCAAGCTTGCGTTTTGGCACGCGTTTTGGCCCTGAATCCAGCCTCCGGTCATCGTACGGTTTCAGCTTGAACAGATTGCGGAACGGCGGTGCGGCCGTACCGATGCACTCCAGCCCACAGTGAACCGACCGCACTGCAACCACAGCTGAATCCTTTGCTGACAGGCCATTTGTCGATTTCTCCCAAATGTCAGCAATCTGCTTGATATCTAAATCAACGGCGCCAAGTACCAGAGCCGCCGCACTGTTATCCGGTTCGATGGAATGGATGGTCAGCAGTGGGTGGGAGGATGGAGAATATGCGCGTGTCCATCCACCACCAGGCACCACCACATGCTCACACACCGTAATAGATCCACGCAGCACGCACACGTCGGCGATGCCCTGGAATGTAATGGTCTGGCCATATGGAATAGCAACCACCGCAGCATAGCGGTCCTTGATCAACTCATCGCCAGTGCCTTTGGCCAACATGCTTTTAGCCTCCGCGGTTTCAACAATAACCATATGCGTTCCGTCTGCGGGTGTCCATGTTGTAACACACGGCGGGTTGGGCTGCCAGCTGATGGTTTGCGCAGGGGCCGGGGAGCGCGGCGATCTGGCTACCGGGCTTGCTGCACGGCTAGTGTGAGCCGAGGTGTTGCGTGAGGCGGACTTTGGCCGCGGCGTGAATATACTTGAGCTCCGCTTTGCCTGTGCTGACTTCATTAGCAACGCTGGTGATAAAAGTTGGAGTAGGATATGCTGAGCCAAAGGATAAAAGAGAGAATGTGGTGATGGCAAAGTTTCAAGCAAGAAAAAGTGAACTGATCCAGATCAATCGATCGACCATATTGATATCCACATATTACTAGATCAAGCAATATGGCTGTGACGTTGTTTTGACAGCAGGATACAATCTGGCAATGGCCTGAGCCACTAGTGGCATGGGAATCTTGCGCGCTGCCGCAGCAATCCTAGTCGACACCACCTTTCCTTCACTTGCAGGCGTTAGCCATGTCCCTCGCACACTTCAAGACCACCACTGCCGCCGCATTCATCGCCTCGTTTGCTGGCACCCCCAAGCCCCACCGCATCGTCATCGGTGCGGCCCTTGCCAAGCCCACCACACCGCCGAGTCTGCTGATTGTGCAGCGCTCAGCTCATGAGCGGTCGTATCCCAATGAATGGGAGATCCCTGGCGGCCACGTTGACCCGGGCGAGAGCATTCTGGACACGGTTGTCAGGGAAGTTAGAGAGGAAACCGGAATCAAGGTGGCTGAGGTTGTCAGACAGTTTGAGGGATTTCACTACTGGTCAACGAAGTACGAGGAGGGCGAATCGGAGAAGAAGGACGTGGAGAAGAGCGTGTGCACGCAGCAGCTGAACTTCATTGTGACTGCTGAGGATGCCGCTACAGTGGTGCTGAATCCAGAGGAGCACCAGGCGTACGCGTGGTGCACCAAGGAGACGATTGACCAGTTCCAGATGACACCAACCATGCGCAAGGTCGTCAGCGACGCACTGGACATTCTAGCCGAGTAAGGCTTGCAGACACAGTGCAATATTTCATTCCTTTTTTTTTTTTTAAAGCATGGAGTTTCTTGAAATATGCTACTCGGTCTTGGGTGCCACATTCGGGTCGTTGAGGGCGTTCAGACGCTCAACCAGAGGCGGGTGCGAGTAGTGGTAGGCCGAGTACAGATAATCGGGGTTCATGTTGCCCTTGTTTTCAATCTGCAGCTTGATCAGTCCGGAGCGCAGCTGCTCGCCATACCCGAGCTTCTTTGAGAAGGCATCGGCCTCAAACTCGTTTGTGCGAGACAGCACGTTCGTGCAGAACGACAGGACGCTGTCCAGCGGCTGGTACAGATACTGGAACAGCATGAATCCGATCAGAACTGGTGTCGATGAGAATCCAAATGAGTGGTACATGGCAACTTCGCCAATGAAGAGGCTGAAGGTGAAGAAGATGATGAACGTCTGGATCTGAATTGCCATGAGCATGCGCAGAATGTGGTTGCGCTTCCAATGGCCGAGCTCATGGCCGATGATGGCCACGATCTCCTCGGTCGTGCACTGGCTGATGAGGGTGTCAAACACCACGATGCGCTTGCTCTTGAAGAAACCAAACACGTAGGCGTTGCTGTGGCTCGACCGCTTGCTGCCATCAACCACATAGAGTTTCTTCAGCGGGAAGCCCAGGCGCGACGCCAGCGCCTCAATAGCAACGCGGAGCTCGCCCTCGGGCAGCGGGTCAAACTTGTTGAACAGCGGCTGGATGAAGGTCGGGTACACCGCAATCACAATCAGCTGGACCACGGCGAGCAGGGCCCACGCGTACAGGTAGAACTGCGAACCCGTCTTCCCGATCACCCACAGGAACAGCGCCAGCACAGGGCTGCCTAGCACCACCGTCAGCAGAAGCGTCTTGACAAGGTCGCTGACAAACAGACCAATGGTTTGCTTGTTGAACCCGTGCTTGCGCTCAACAACAAACGTCGAGTACATGTCGAATGGCAGGCTCAGCACAGTAGAGATGAGGGTTGCAGCCACAAAGAACACCAGCGAGTGCGCAATCTCGCCACTATATCCAGTAGTGTTCTCCAGCAGACTGCCAGATACATTCCAGAGCCACGGAATCGCATCGTAAGCGATAATCAGCGATGTCTGGATCTGCGACACGAGGTTCTTCACCAGCTCAAGGCTGCTCTTGTCCAGGCCGTAGGCATTCGCCTCCAGGTACGCCTGGCGCGACACAAACGACGAAATGGCCAGGGGACGCCTCACCTCGTGCAATCTGTCGCGCTGCCGCACATCCAGGTTAGCCTCCCACAGGTATGTCGCCCACGAGAAGAATAGCACACACTCCTTGTACGGAACCTCGTGCAGGCTCTGCCTGAAGGCCTCGGACATGCTAGCAAAGAGCCGCAGGGCAGCCTCGGGCGACGTCGGCAGGTTGTCCCAGACAGCGACCAGGAAGCCGGGGATGCCCAGGAAGAAGTCGGGGATGCCGACGACAAAGCTGTAGACTGGCTTGGTGACTGGGAAGATTATCGGCAGGCTCGAGCCCAGGATCGAGATGATGAAGAAGCTCAGGAGCAGAATCGTCACGCCGCCCAGCTGAATCCCGTCGATGGCGTCGTCCAGGAAGCTCTTCTTCATCACCAGCGCTGCCTGCGCATCCAGGGCCGCATTTGACCCATCTCCAAACCGTTCGGTCGGCTCATCTGCAACCTGCTGGGGCTGGTTCTTGTCAGCCTCGCTCATTTCGACAAAATATAAGAGGGGTGGTAGTTTGGCGGAAGGGAATGTCAGGGAGAAGGAATAAACAGGTAGTTGGGAAGAAGAGGAGCACTCGCAAAAAATGTCGCCAGCCACTCTTGGCGGACTGCCAGCCCAAGCGTCTGAGAAATGTGCCAGCCCAAGCGTCTGAGAAATGTGCCAGCCGCTGGTCGATCGCAGCGAAATTCTGTAGCAAATCCTGCAAGATAAAAATCGCTCTTTTCTTTAGCCCACCCGCACTTTTTTTTGGTTCCAATTATCTCGTTGAAAATGCTGAAGCAAATCACCAGCGTCCGTGTCGCCTTCTGCCCGTTCTCCAAGCACGCGACCTCGTCAAAGTAAGAACTAGAACAGCGGCGATGGAGCAGCATGTAGCACCGTGCAGTAGCTAAATTCAAGCACACTCTGTAGGGTCTTTCTGAACCGGGTGTTTTCAAAGGAGAACAGCATCGCCAACCCCACATGCAAGATCGACGTTGTCACAACCAACTACGCCAAGGACCCGGCCACAGTCGACGTGGTCTTCAAGGACGGCAAGAAGGTCCAGATCAACGCCGGCGAGCTCACCGGTGACGATATCATCAGCCATGTGCAAAAGTACTCAAAGAAGCTGAGCCAGAAGGAGGACCTCCAAGGCCAATAGACGTTCCAATTTTTGCTTTAAACAACAGCCCTAAGCCTTGCACCCATTGATGATAAGCAGCCCGCGCTCAACCACCTGCGCAGCCTGAGCGCCGTCGACCAGCTCGTATTCGATCCTATGCTGGCCCGGCTGTACAACATAGACCGGCAAAGCGACCTGGTGCGAGGAGCCTGGCGCGATCGGGGGCAGCTTCATGCAATACACGCTGTCAAACACAATCGGCTGCGACGTCGGAGCAGCCCCAGGCATATTTGGCGGCAGTGATTCGAACGGCATCGACGGCAACTCGGCGGTCGGCTGCGGCGTGAAAGGCAGTGCAAATCTGAACTTCTGGCCCTGCCGCGCATTTTGATCTGGCAGATGAGCAGCAAACGCAGTGTTAACGCTGGCAGCCGACAGCAGTTGGACGCCTTGTGCCATGTACTGCAGCGCATCGCTGGCTTCAAGCGCCAGCTCGCTGTCCACCCCACTTTCTACGCCATACACTCCGTCCTTGCTGCCGACAGCCCGCGCGCTAAGCTGCAGCTGCAGCATGCGATCCAGACCGTTATCCACCACAACTTTCACCATGCTTTGTGCCTCTGTCGGGCAATTCACCTCCGACACCAGCCGGTCCACGTATGCGGCTTGCTGCTCACCAACAAAGATGCGCGTCTGGAAGCCGCTCCGCAGCACAGTATCCATGTACATATCCTCGAGCGTAAATAAGGAGCGCGGATCCATGTGCCCGGACCGCCCAGATTGGTTGGACCGCCAGCGGATTCGGATCCGGCTGCATATTTCCTGCTGGTGCCAGAATAGCTGACGACGGTGCGCAACCTCCTTTGCTGCCACCCTTTTGCGCCGCACGCTTCAGCACAAACTGGCGATCCTTGTTGGTCCCGCTGCTGCTTCCTTTGAGCCAACCAGCCCCATCGTCCGAATCACCAGTGAGTCCGCAGTGCCATGGATACGCAACAGAGTTGTCAGCCTGTGCGTCGGCCTCGACACCGGGAATTGGTGCCATCAGGATGCTGTTGCTGAGACGCACGCGCGGCAATGGCAAAAGCAGGCGTGACAGCTTGCGATGGCCCGGAATATGCATGTTGATAGTCTTTACCAGCATGTCCTCCTTTCTGGCCCCAGTCACCAAAGCAAGCCGGATCACTATGCGTGGTCGGTGACAGGTCCACCTCAATCTCCAAGTCAATCGACGTAGCAATGTCGTTGCGGATGTTCGCTTCCGCCAGATAGAACGAGGCCTGCGGCGCTGATGATCCCGCCTGGGCCTCGCGCAGGACCCCGACAATATCCTCGACGTACTTTGCAGTTGAAACGTGCGGCAGTCTCCCGTCGCCGCTGCCCAGGGCCCGGGCAATGTAGGGAGGAAGATCAAAGTACTTGGTAGCAAGGCCGTCCGAGATAGCTTGTGCTGGGGCCAGCAGTCGCGCGACCGTAATGCGCAGCGACCATTTCAGCTCGCGATACCACTCCACTGTTGTCCGAACAACCGTACCGGATCACAATGTCGCCGCCGACCCACCCGCTCAGACCGATCGCCTTTATCAGCAATGTACACACCTGCCGGCTGGCAATACGCATGTCGCTGCCGTTTTCAAAGCGATAGCTCAAAGCCGCGTTGACAACATCGCGCTGCAGCGTCTCGCCGTGCATGTCGTCCACCACGCGCTTCCCATTCGTTGTTAGCGGCTCGAATCTGACGTCAATGGAGTCGATAGCGGTGGTCCCGCCATTCACCAGCGTGAATTGCACCTCGCGGCTCTCGCCTTCGAACAGGCTCAGTGACTCTTCACGCGCAATGCTGCTTTCAAGTAACCGCAGACTGGGCAGCGCAGGCACAACATGTGCCAACAACGTATGGCCTGCATTCATTACTGACAACTGCACGGTCTCGGCTGCAAGCTCGGACTCAGTCTGGCCGGCACTGATGCCTAAAAGTTTGCTGCGCTCAGCCTCCAGTCGCTGCTGCAGCGGCTTCTCCTTTGCTCTGCGCTTTGCATCCGCCTCGTGCTCGTCTGCCAAGAGACATTGCACAGACAAGTGCTGGAACAGACAGATCTGGATGCCCACTACATGGACTTGGCCGGCAGCCTCAGGAAGTAAACTCCAGGAGCACCTGCCCTGACCCATGGGCTGGAATCACGCACCGCGTCGGAGCACCAAACCTGATGCGGTCAGTAGGCTTGACCCGCACTACTAATGCAACATCGTTCAGCTCCAGCGCAAATGGGAACGGGTTCTTCAGAGTAGCTACAAAGTGGGCGCACTCGATGAGCAACCAGCAACGGAGGCATGTCGCCCTGCATCTGCACGCTGGGGTTGTGCAGGAACAGACTCGTCTCTTTGCTGGCCACCGATTCTGTTGCTGTCTTTATTGGCACAGCCGAGCCTGGGAACGTACACAGCTGAATAGCGCAGAGCATGTGTAGCAATGCCGGCCCCACCACTGGCGCGTCCCTTCCAGAGACCCGCGGCTGGCTGTTCTCTTTCAACAGCCCCGCATCCTCCCTGGATCTGTCGCTCTCGCTGTGTGCTGGATCAAAATGGTACCGCTGGTGGTACAGCGTGATGGTCCGCTGCAGATAGTTCTTCAGCGTATGCTGCTCCTCGCGGATCCCATACAGCTGCGCCTCAGGCACGATGTTGGCCAGCTCGCTTAAACACGTCACCAGCCGGAACGCAGCAGAGATGGCATGGGGGTAGCTAGGCAGTGCCTCTGCAATTGACAGGCACTCGCGGACAATGTCAGACTGCAGATAGAGCCACCCGTAGCGCTCGCTGCGCGCAGCCGTCTGCTTGCTGGTCAAATGAGTGAAGCAGGACATCCAGGCACGCAACCACCGCCTGCCGCAGATCCACCTTGGGCTTGGTGAACCACTCGCGTGTAATGGCTTGCGGAGTCGTTGGTTGCATAAAAGTCAAACAGGCTCTTGGCCCCACCACCACCCGGCGTCCCTACTGTCGACGTCGATGGGGACGGTCGAAAACGAGGGTCGCACAACAGTCGATGTAACCGCAGCCGCTGCTGCTGCTGCCACGGCAGCGAATGCAGTCGACCCGTCAGCAAACGCACTGGAAGCGCCCTGCTCATGCCGCCCAGCCATACTGCCCCTTACTGGCGTTCCTGACATCGACCCGCTGTGACGATCCCGGCCAGCGGCTTTCTGCGCTGCTGAGCTGCTGCTGCGCAGCAATACTGGCACTGCCAGCAGCAGGAACTGCCGTAAAAAGAACGACGACTTGCGCGAGTATCCGATGCTGTGGAATAGATGGCTTATCTCTGACGACGCGCTAAGCTGGTCCCCGACCCCCAGCTGCGTAAACGAGCTGCTCCACCCGCGCTCCAGCCATTCGTTGATTGTAGCCCGCAGCGGCACATTCTGCACCCCAGACACCACGTCACAGGTGGTCTGCGAAAGCCTGTTCTCGGAGCCGTAGCGCAGACTGTTGGTCCGCAGTAGTGCCTGCAGCGCGTTCTCAGGGATCGGCCAGATGCGACTCGCGCGTGGCACACAGGACCAGCGCCTGCCGGATGCACGCCTCCATATGCAGCAGAGGTGCGAACGAGTAGCTGTGCTCATACAGCAACGGTACTTGACAGAACAGATCGCCGATTTGCGTCAGCGCCAACGCCAGGCTGCTAGTCAGTGCTCGCTGCCTTCTCTCCAGCAGCCTTAGGTCGATGCGCCTGAGCTCGATGCGCCCAGTGGCACGGTCCCACTGCCAGTGCCGTGCCACTGCATTCTCTCTCAAGGTGGTTCTCGGCGCACACGACAGGAATGCGTGCAGCAGCTTCCGGTCGGCCGCCCGCTCACACAGCATCAGCAGCGCTGCACAGTACCCCTCCAGCGCCGTCGCCTGCCACAGGTAATCGTTGACTGTCCGGCTCGCCTCAACCGACGTGGTGTATGAAGAGAATGCATCGGAGAGCCGCCCTGCCATCAAGTACAGGTCGCCCTGCAGCTTCTTCAGCCGTCCGGTATTGGCCGCTGATCCAGCACTCCGCTTCTCACGGGTTGCATGGAGCGACAGCCCGCCGCCCGAAGCAACCAGCGGTGACAGACCGCCAGTGCTAGCAGCACCACTGTGCCTATCATCGGGTCGCCAGCACCGACATCCGTTCAAGCTCCCCTCCATGCCTTCCGCGGCCAGCAACGTCAGGGGCTGCCTGGATCAAGGCTGCTCTGCATGCGACTCGCGACTCCCCACGACCTGTGACAGCCGACTCGCCATGGTCTGTGCTGCCACCGTGCTTGTCTCATGCAGCGACATGCGGTCGTCGCGCTGCTCCGAGTACACCGAGCTGCTAATCGACGCGCTGTCATTCTCGGCATACGCGCTGCTGGGCTCTGCTGGACTTAAAAGCTCGGCCCGGTCCTCGATGGACTTGGCCATCAGCGTCAGCGCCGACACCATAGTGCCAGCAAAGTCGTTCATTTGTGTCTGCAGATAGAACAGGAGGCTGGCTCCCAACATTTGGAATCATCGTCACGCCAGGCACATCGTCGAGCTGATCGTCCTGCTGGATCGAATGCCAGGCACCGGTATGCCACTGCCGTCGTATGCCGCGACAGGACTTGGCAGAACTGGTCATATGCCCCGGTCACGTCTTCACACAGAGCGCAGTCGAGGATGCCGATGACGCCCAGCACTTGCCGATACGTCTGCAAGGCCCTCCAGGTACTCGTACTCGTCTTGCGTGCTCAGCGAAAACGCCAGCCTGACGCGCCCTCGATGCCCATGCTGCCCCGTAGCTGCTTGCTGTCGACGGGTCCACGTGCGGCAGGAGGTCGCTGATTGGAATGCGCGAAAACTGTGCCAGTGCATTCGTCCACCGCATTAGCTTGCCCTGCCGCACAGGTCCAATTGGCACTACCAGGACGCGAATTCCCGCTGCATCCACCGGCGTCACCGTCGACGCTGCAAAGCAGTGCTGGCGGTTGATGCTCTCTAGCCTGCTGTCGCTGTATGCCGAATATGCCGACGACTGTGTGTTGCTGCGGTTGACCCGAGTCGTACGTGAGTCTGTCGTGCTATCCATTTGTATGTCGCAGAGAAACAAGAGTGCAAATTCGAGTGTTTAGCGACCGGAGAAAGAAACCTGACGGCTGCCACGTCCTGGGCCTGCAGCAGAAAATCAGAGCACATGTCGATGATATTGGGTTGTCAGGTCGCAGAAAACGGAAAATTAACGAGGTATTTATGAGGAAAAGAGACGACGAGCAGCGCCCGCGCCGTCTGGCTACGCCTTGCGTGGCCGTGCCATATAGCTGCTGTTTTGCTGCATGTACGATCCCGAGCCCGGGGCGCCGATCGATCGACGCCGCCACCGCCGGAGCCGCCGGGTGATGCTGGCCATGGTGCCCAGGCTGCCCATACGCGTTGGGCGGCATCATGACGTAGCCCTGAGCCGGAGCGCCCAGATGCGCGTGCGGCGGGGCAGCAACGCCCATTGGCGGCCGGTGCTGCTGCTGCTGCTGCTGCTGCTGCATCGCCATGTCCGTGATCCATGGGTGACGCAGCGCCTCGTCGGGCATCATGCGCACCGCCGGGTCCCATGCCAGCGCCCGCATCACAAAATCCACCAGCCGCGGGTCACGCGCACGTGCCAGCACCTGGACCAGAGGCCGGGACCCTGGCCGCCGCCGCTTGCCCTTTGAGTTTGTGTATGGCTTGATCGCCATGCCGCCCACCACACATGAGCCGTTGGGAAGCAGCATCATGTTGCCTGTCGGTGTGGGCGCCATCGGATACCGGACCGGCTCGGCAAAGTCGGAGCACCGCGGCGCCTGCTCGATCATGTAAGCAGGTGGCGGCCCAAGCACCTCGATGATACATGCCAGCTGCTCGCGCTCGTTCTCGCCAGGAAACAGCGGATACCCAGTCAGCAGCTCGGCGACAATACACCCAAGCGACCACATGTCGATGCCTGTGCCATACTGCAGGCCCAGAATGACCTCGGGCGCTCGGTAGAACCGCGACTGGATGTATGTGTACACGCGCTCCATCTCGAAGCAGCTGGATCCCAGGTCGATGACCTTGATCTTGTAGATTCCGCGCTGCATGTCCACGCTGAGCTGCGGATTCGCCAGCGGATGCGGCGGTGGCGCTGCAGCCCCGGCAGGTGCTGCCCTGCGCAGGGGCATCGGCGGCGGGTGCGCCAGCAGAATGTTCTCCGGCTTCAGATCCGCGTGGATGATCTTGTGCCGCGCCAGCAGCTGCAGAGACTGAATCATCTGAATCGACAGGTGCCGGAGCAGCGGCGCCTGGAGTTCCCAGCAAACTGGTGTGCCTTGAGCCACTCGTACAGATTCATGCTCAGCGGCTCCATGACAATGCACAGGTGGTTGCGGAAGTTGAAGCTGTCGGTCATCTGCAGAATGTTGTGAGCACCCGTCGGGTCCCACCGCCGCAGGCACTCGAGCAGCTTGACCTCGACCTGCGCCTGGTGGTGGAACCGCTTGCGGTTGCGAATAATCTTGATTGCGACAATGTCGCCTGTTTTGTGGTCGCGCGCCCGCTGCACCTGCCCGAACGACCCTTTGCCCAGCACATCCAGCAGCTCGTAGCGGTAAATCAGGTGGTCGTGCGGGATAACTATGTAGTCGCCGCGCTCGTCGTCGTAGCTAAACGTGCTGCGTCCGTTTCCACGCGGCTTGCCGCTGCCCACATAATACACGTGCGGGAAATCTACAATCTCGGTGCGCTCCTGCATGCTGAGCTGCTGCCCGTACCTGGCCAGCGCCTCCTGCGGCGAGATCGCCGGGACACCGCCAGCGCTGCTCGACTTGCCATCCGACGTAGGGCTGGTCAGCATGCTTGAGTGAGGACGCGAATGGCCTTGCATTGCTGGTACCGACGGCTGCTGTCCGTGCTCGCCGGCCCGATTAGCCGGGAAGTGGATATGGACCATCTGCTGCTGCTGTTGCTGCTGCTGCGAGGGCAGTGCTGGGGCAGCCGACACCACAGACGACGGCCCCTTGTTTGCATTAACCGGGAGTCGAGGTGGGTGCGGATACCCCTGCGCCTGCTGTGGCCGTGAGCCCTGGCCAGCGAGTGGGTGCGTCTGCATGGGCACTGGAGGTGCTTGTAACATTAATGCCGACGGTGGAACGCCGCCAACCATACTGGCAGCCGCGCCCGCGCGGTGTGGAGCCGGCCGAGATGCGCTGTAGTTGCTGAGCCCAACGGCACTGGCTGACGACGACAGTCCCTGCTGGTTACGCGCGCCAGCCAGATTAAGTGGCCGCTGCTGCGTTGGCCGCGCCTTGGGCATAACCGGCCTTTGAGTCGCTGTCATCCTCGGTGCTGCTCTTATTGCGCGATCCCGACTGCGCACTGGTTTCACGAACTGCAAACCGCGTCACTGGGCCAGCAGAGTTGCGCTGTGCCATGGTTCCGACTATTGATTTGCTCTCGCTCAGACCGCGTGCTAGACCACCCTGCTGCTGCTGCTGCTGCTGCTGCTGCGATTTCCATGCCTGAGGCTTGGCCCCAGCAGTACCAGCCGCGGCCCTGCCTCCGGCACCGCGTCCCGACGCTACTGGTATTGTGCGTGTGCGCTGCCGTGTCTCTGCTGTCCCAGCTGGCCGCTCCGAGTCTGACGCCCCAGCATTGGCTGACGACGTCTCCAACTTTGCTTGCAGCTGCCTGTGCATACCATAGCCAGCGGGTCCCCCGACTGCTGGAACAGCCTTGCCGCCATTCTGGGTCCGTGATGAGGCCGCATCCTTGTCGCCGAGTGACTGTCTGGCAGCGATATTGATCCGACGCACAGTCCCAGTGTTGGCCGCATCGCGCTCCGACGAGTCGGTGTTACGGCCGCTGCTGGCCACCCGCAGATCTGGGTTCGACGGCGTGCGTAGGAAGCGCCGGACCGGATGCCGATGCAGGACACCGACGTTGCGCTTGTGGCTGCTGTCGCCGATCTGTCGCCATTCGACCGCGATCCGGGCGACTTGAATTGCCCAGAGCTTCCGCTGCCAAGCCCGACTGCTGTGGCCGGCATGCGCCTGCCGCCGCCATTGCCTCCGCTCGCCTGGGCGCGTGCTGCATCGATGGTCAATTTGGTAGCCTGCTGAGTCATGCGTCTTGGCCTACCCTGCCGCGCCTGCTGCGGCTGCTGTGGCCGACACGCCATGGCTATTTGCGTCATCGTCTGTGCCGCTTCCAGCAGAGCCGTGCACAGGGCGATTCAGGAACTGCCGGCTCGCCCGACAGCGTGGTTTCGCATCGCTCCGAATTTTGGCTTAGTCGCGCTGCTGGGCGGCGGAGGCGCCGCTGATTGTGCTGCACCCCAGAGCCCGGGTTCGCGGATGTCGATGCCATGGTTGTGTCGAATGCGCCACTCTTGCTACGCCGCCTGAGGTGCGGGTTAAGAAAGTTGCTGGCGGTTGCCCGCGACATTGTTTTGGCTTTGGCTGGGAGGGTTGGATGGCTCGCTGCTGGCTGCCGTCTGGCTGTCGCTCGCCTTGCTGTAGCTTCGCGAGTGAGCGATGGCGTGCTGCTCTTGGTACCAATGCGCGATACCGCTGGGGATGAGGGCTGTGGTAGTTTTGAGGCCGGTGCCCTAGCGGTGCTGCTCTTAGTAGCAGTGGTGGCAGTGGTGGGTGACGATGAGGCGGGAGAAATGTTGGCTGTAGTTGCGCGTCTAGTAACTGTCTTGCGCTGTGTGCCAGGCTGCCGCTGTGTTGCTGCGGCTGCTGTTGTTGCTGCTGCTGCACTGGCACCGCCTGTTTGAATAGGGAAAATATTGCTTGTGTTGGAGTAGCTGAGACCAAGTGTTCTGGTACCACTACCGCCGACTCCCATGGTCCTTCGGGACGATCGTATTGGAAGCCGTGTTTTGGCCTGGGTTCCTACGCCTGCGCGGGTCTGCGCCTGGTTGGCCGCCGCGCCGTTAGACTCGAGCAAGTGATTATGTGGGTCTGCAGGGCGCTGGCTTGTACCGCCACTCATAAACTCTGTGAGGCCGGCGTCAAGGTGGGCTGCTGGGTCGTTCGCCGCCTTTCCGGTGCGCTCAATAGCGATCCTACTGTTGCCGTATTCGATATCGGACCACTGGCCGCAAAGGCTGTCGGTACTGAGACCTGCTGCTGCTGCTGGTGCTGCTGCTGCTGTTACCTCTCCGTTGTCGTCTTCGCTATCGCCGTTGTAGCTACAAGTATGCCAACAGGGAGGGCAAGCGTGTGTTTAGCTCCATGCAACAATCGAGTGCTTGCTTTATGCTGCCCAGCCATAAATAAAATAAAAAGCACCCCTCTCCAGCGCGTTCAGTGGCCACGGCAGGGAAACCGCGAAATTAGCAGGCGCCTTGCCTTGGCTGCTGCGCGCATGCGTACCTAAAGCAATCCGACGACCGGTAACTACGCAAAGGACCAATTGAAGAGTCTATCGAGATTTCAGAGACGTTCGGGCTTCCTTGAGCGTCCTCTTCTAGTCGGGCTAAATGCGACAAGGGTGGAAAATGGAGGTTAAAAGGTGGATTAGACAGGGAAATAGTCAAAAATAAAAATAGTGCAGAACGAGTGGAAATAGGAAGGGCTGGAAATAGAGGATGATTGAAACTTGCACCGAAGCGCGAGGTGGGAAAGCGTGGAAGCAGGCGGTGGGCGGTTCCAAGTAGGCAAGGGTTTTTTGCGGTCTGTTACTCCACGCACACGCAAAGTCCTCAGACACTGTCTTCTCGCAAGTTAACAAACAAAATAGGGATGCTCCGGCAGAGTAGAGTAGAGAGCGAGTATCGCAACAATGCCTGGGAGCGGCGAGAGGGGTCAAATAAACACGAACCCTTGCTGAAGGCGAGACGCAGGCATGCTGTGCGGATCCCTGGTCCCTTTGCCCTTGTTTTGCTCCTCCCGGGCCAGTACCAGCAACAGACCATCATGAGCAAATAGTGCGCGCGTTTTCTCTCCTCTTTTCCAGAGCTCGGACGCTGCTGCTCGGCACGCGCAGAAACAAGGGGCTTCTCGGGCGGTTTGCTATGCATGGTCCTACTGTCAGCACCGCCACTCCTCCTGCCGCTGGCTTCAGTCGTCATGTGGCTCGCTTACCTATCTGTCTGCCTGCGGTTGGAATCGCGACGCTGAGGATGTCGGGCACAATAAACACGTTCTGGATATATGCTACAGGCGAAAAAGCAGCGGGCTGGCGTTATTTCTGCTGCTGATCCCTCCAACAGGGTTGGTGCTTTTTGCGCGACCAGGAACCTTTGCCTGTCCACAGGGTTGCACACAGCCAGCTCTTCGCGCTTGAACAAGAAAATGCTCGGCAGCCCAAGCAAGCAGAAAGATAATTCAGATGCCCTCGATGGCTGAAGAGGGGGTTCCGGTAGGCAAGTGGAAGAGGGAGAGATTCGCTGCCCTGCTAGCGGGATCGATACCGCCATCCATTCATGGAATAGGCTTCTCCACAGCTGGCGCTTGTCAAGCAATTCTCATGTCTGGGATGCAGGCAGGAACACTCTTACAGCGTGTCTGCTGCACGCAGTAGCATGCGGGAGCTGGCGGATAACCAGGCATGCTGCCTGCGACATCGACAATTTCGCGTGTTTCAGATACGCTTTTCCAGGCGGCTGGTACATGGCCCGGCAGCCGTAACCCCCACTCCTCTGCTACCATCGGCACGACTGGGCTGCTGCACTGTCTAAGCCCCTTACCTGGATCCATAGCGCTGGTGCCATCCATGCTGCTGTCTGGAGAATTAGACACGCTGGACGGTGGCATCTCTGCAATGTAGCTGGTGACCGGATCAACCGTCGTGTGGTGCACATGCAGCGGGATGCTGTGCAGATTAGACTCTTCGGGCACACTGTGGGATTCCACCGCTGCGCTTTGCGGCTGCTGGCTCTGCGGCTGCACTGGTATCCCCACTCCCCTCTGGTGGTGGTGATGCACGGCTGCTCCAATCTCACCGTCCATATGACTGCTGCCAGAACTCCACCCCTTCCCCCTCCCAGCGACCGCGACTGCGACTGCAACAGATTCCTCCTGCTTTTTGCTGTTTGTGCTCATTAAAGGACAGTCCGATTCCGCATTCGCTGAGGACTGGGAAATAGAGTTTGCCGTGTCTGCGGGGACTGCTGTCGTACAAGAGAACGCTGAAGGTCGGGCGTAGAAAGCGCGCAGGGACAGGTTCCAAATTTCGCGATAGAAATAATGAACGGAGAAGGTCCGGAGTTGCCGGCTCATGTGGAGCTGGGCCAGCTACCAAGGAACCGCCCAAGAAACGAGAAGACCCTTGATCCTAATTACTGCGTATTTGATTCTCGATGGCGGCTAGTCGCAGCAGCCAGAGCGTCCATCACCGCAAATCGTCGTGACGTAAAGCGAGAGCAGCATCCGCCTGCCTGATGTTTTTTTTTTTGACTCGGGGGAACCTGTTCTTCTCTGCAGCGTCTCTAAAGAGCAGCCACGCGTTCTAGGCGCTAGCCTGTCAATGCACCAACACCAACACCAACACCAACACCAACACCAACACCAACCTGCGTGGTGGCCGCTTTGTGAATGCAGCAACGGCAGCTGCAGCAAAGGGACGCACCATGCCCTTCACCTGCAATGGCGCCCTTGCAAAGCCAGCCTTAATTGTCGGAATATACTCCGCCTTGACTTTACTTTGAGGACGAACTATGAATCCGTGCGCGCTATTGATTGGAGAGAACGCTTGCATATGGAAAGTTTACCCAGCCAGCAGCTGTCAATGGGGTGGCCAAAAGGAGAAATGAACACTCATCTTTCTTTGGAGCACATGCACACCCAGAAAGGCGGAGGGGGTACCATCTGGGAGCCCCTTTGGGGTAAGACGAGACAGGATGGCCACATATCACGGAAGCACTGGCTCAGCCATCCCCCACATGCGCCTGCCTTTGGCGACTGCAGCGTTCAGACCCTGTGAGGACGCGTGGGGGAGACAGCATGAGAGCGAGAAAATGCACGCCGCAGACGGTTTTGAGGATATGCACGGCCATCCTGCTTTTCGGGCAGGATGCCTTCTGCTCTGCACGCACGCATATGTTCTCCTCCTCAGTCTGCTGCACTCGCCGTGGTGGCCCGCATTACCAGTTCTGGGGATTGCCCACATCTCGCCGAGTATCTCATTAACGCATCGCCTGGCCATGACACTATTGAGGAAAAATGGTCCTTCAGCAGCTGGAAATCACAAACTCTACCCCCCTCCTTGTTGGTAACACCCCCCTGCCCATTCCTAGAACAGCAGGGAACAAGGCGATAGAAGTGGGGGCGGGGTGTGTAGCCCTGGAATAGGGAAGAGGAGCACACGGCTCCTGCCTGCCTTTTCCAGCCAAGCACAACTGGCTTAAATACCCGTCGGCCAGGGGACGAACCCGACCACTCTTTCTCTTCTTTACTTTTGGTTTACCACTTTGGCACAGAAACTTGTCTTTCTTTACACTAGCGCCAGCAACAGCAGCAGCAGCAGTAGCAGCCGTGTCCAGCCCGCCGTCAAGGCCTATTGTCCTTCCCTCTGTCCCTTCCCGACACACGCACACGCAGATAGCCGATACCGAGAGCAGCCCCTTGTTCCTTCGCGAAAAAGCCCACACGCTTGGCATTTTAATCGTTCTCGCTCAGACCCCTCCTGGCCGGATTTTCGACCCCCAGACCCCATCTGGTGCAAGCGCGCAGCAATACATGCTTTTCGAAGGCTGAAATAGAGTGAATCGTCATCACATTTTTACAAGGTTCCCACCATCACGTATTTAACGAACGAGCGTGCGCCCCATCTTTCTCTTCTCTTCCAACCACTTGACCCCTCCCGTACTTTTTTCCTCCACTTTTCCTCCCTGGACAGCAATTCTACACGATGAAGCAGTTTGATGGCATAGCCTTTCGCGACTACCCGGCCCTGGACCCATTCGAGCAAACCGGGCAGCCGGTATACCCAGCATGACCGACCGACGGATTCCTTGCCTCCCAACAACAAAAGGGCCCTCGGCAGCGACGCCGGCAATCGAGCTCCCATTGTGCAGCCCCCGTTTTGGGCAAGAGGGACCCGTGCGAATTCGGCGGGACCCTGGCAATATCCTCCCATCGGGTGAGAATTCAGGAGAGCGCCTTCCCAGGATTGTGCCCATTCGCACGGCCCAACACCTACAAAAGGACCTGTTATCGATGGGCAGATGCAGGACCCATTCGGAAGTCCCGGCACGCGCTCTGGGCAGATGGAGAGAGGAGCCGCCCCTCTGCCGCAAACAAAAACCCACGCTTGCATCATACATCTCACGCCTCTGCCTGTACTTTTTCTCTCTTTCTGCCCACTACCTCCACTGTGGTGAAGGGGTCTACTCTGTTTCTATAACTGCGCCGCTACCGGTCGTTTTATAGGCCTGCTGGCGCCTGTACTGTAATATCTTTTATTCCAACACTTATCCTTATCCAAAGACAGCATCCCATGCTATTGTGGCCCTTTGCCAATGTCTCTCCAATCGCTGTTGCTCTGGGTTGGAATCGGCGCTCGGTGCGCAAGACAGCAGAAACAACGCACAATCGCCTTCTGCAACCTCGGATTATGCACGCTCTGCCCGCCCAGGCGCATGCACGCTGGATAAAAGGGGGAGGTTGAGGGAGGGGGCGCACCTGCAGCCTTCTGCTGCTGGCTGACTCGTCACATGCGCTTGAGCGAGCTTGTGCGCTTGCATTTTTCTTGCTGTGCCTTGTGCTCCAGAAAAACAAGGGAGACATGCTCTCAGTGTAGGCTGGTGCATCAGCAGCGAAGACAACCAGCATATATTACTTGCCCAAATAGACCGCAATAAATTGCGGATGGCCCCTGCCAATTTAAGCACCACCATGCTCTCCCCGCCTTTGTTGTGCGTGCCCCGAGACACACATTCCCCGCCCACCACCCATGACAACTGCCGATGCCGACTCTGGCCCGGCCAGTCGGAGCGCTTACCCACGATGTAGTCATTGTGCAAGCTATATTAATTAGCCTTGTCTTTTGCCATCGCTAGCTCCTCTCATCAGCCCCATGTCCAATGTACCTCCTGCCTGCCACTGCTCTGCCCTCTCCAGGTAACAGCCATGGGCCGACAACTCACATCTCCGGATTCGCATCAGAGTAGGCATACTGCCCGAGGCAGAGGCATGCAGCTTCCGTCGAGTCCTGGAGCCCCGGTGTGCAGCTGTGACTGGATCCCTTTTGCCCGTGTGGCCAGCCCATGTAGGACTGCCTGCTTGACCGGGTGGAGGATTCGAGAACGCCGAAGGAAAATATCCTGCCAGACCCGCCCCACAAACCAACCCTCCCAACCCGCTGCCGCTGCCTAATGCTTGACCCCGAGCCGCAAAAAAACAGCGGATCAGCAGACCGCTCGAGCTCGCAGGTGGCACCTGAGCAAGCGACTTTCTACGTGTGCATATATGCCTGTTCGTTAATGCATCCTGACCACCCGCTATGCATCATCGCGCTTGGCCATGCTTCTCCTCCCGCTGACAGTGGGACGCAGGAATCCTGTTTTCGGTCTTTTTTCTTTGATGCCCACTGCGTGCAGCAAACACGCTTTTTGCAGCAACCAGTGCAAGCATGCTTGGGCTGACCACGATTGGCATGGTCTTTACCCATCTTACCAATCTGAACCAAGAGCGCATGGAAGAGGAGGAGGGGAAGGATGCACAGGACAAGGTCGACCAGCATCCCATCGCTCCCGCTGCTTGCTCGATAGGACGCCTTTCAGCCTTTATTGTGCAGTAAGCGATCGGCATCTCATGCGCGGTTGCTCACTCAGGTCGCATCCGTCCTGGCTCTTGCAAAGGCTTTTCTCTGAGTCTCCTGCCCAACAAAATGCACTAGTGCGCACTCTCCTCTGGTACCACTTCTGCTTCACTTCAACCAGAGCGACAGACCCCGGCATCGGCTGGTGATTTTGGTTTATTTTTGGCATTTGCTGCTGAGATGCAATGCATATGTGCATCCCAGCTGTCACGCCTTCGAAACCGCTTGCAGCCGCTCCCATCATCCCTTTTTCCACCGCACAGTTGAGGGGACAAAACAGGGAGCGAATGCCTCCCCGCAAGGTACGTGAAGGACATTGCAATCTATGCGGAGCGATGATCCAAGTCCGGAAAGGGTAGTCACGCTTCCGTGCCCAGATCCGTAGGAAAACAGGATCCCAGGCTGATCACGCTGGCCACAGCGCTTACAGCAGATGCCCACTATGCTAATCCCCTTGGCAATGCCGATTTCAAGCCTGCCTCCCCTATCCCTCTCTCCTACATCCAAGCGCGTAGCGGCCGACAATCGCTCCTCTGTTCGGCGTTCCAGACAGCCAGCGCCAGTGCATAGCAGACGAGTAGATGAATATAATAATAGCGATAAATATGTTGGTATAAAATGTAACTAGAGGCGGGGGCATGCTGGGGTGTCCTGCGGGCTTGACTATGCAAATAGCCGTAGAGGCTTTAGTGTGATGCTGCGACGTGACCACCGGCGGATCTTGTTTGGCGCGTGCTCGCCCGAGGGCGATTCCTCAAGGTAGCTGGCGATCTGCTGGCTGACATCCATGGCAGTGCTTTTCCGCGGCTCTGCTTGGCGGCTGCTCATCATGGGCCGTGGCAGAGGCAGCAGCAGTGGTGCTGGCGGTGGTGTGCTGCGGATCGACCGCGCACGGAGCTCGACTGTATGGCAAAAGAAGCAATCACAAGATGTGTGGCATGCGCACTGGCACGCGTGCTCCTGGCTCAGGCAGCATTCGCTGTCTTCCCATCCGCGGCATTTCTGGCAACCCATGGCGTGTGGTAATAGTAAAGTACAGGTGGGTGATAGCAAGGAAAGATTTGTTTGTTTTGCTTGTGAGGAATTGGTGAATGGCCAAAAGAGAATGTACGAAGGCACGCGGGGAGAGCTGAAAGCGTGGAGGGGAGGGGGTGCGCTGCGGTTTATATATATCCTCAAAGGGCCTGTCAGGTACCCGTATAAGCTGCGCTGGGGCGACCAAACGGCGGTTTGTTGTGATGTTTTCCTTTTTGCATCGAGCACAGCTCTGATTGTGTACCAGAATAGCTTTTTGGATGCTGTTTGCTACATACTCGCTCTGGAGATGCGCTCGGGACAAACACAGCAAGGCTTTAGCCTCATTTGGTGAATTGGCTACAATTATCCTCCCTAGCAGCACCTATTGTTACCCTCACCCACCACCCCCGGCGCGCTGAGAATCCCCTCTATTATTCTATGTTTACCACATCCCTCCTGCTTGTGTCTTCCTGTAGCCAAGCCTCCCTGGGCCGCCGCTGAAGCATACAGGCGCATGCATCCCATCCCACCCCCACTCCACCCGTGCGCCAGACACATCTGGAGATGGGCTGGCCGGCTCTGCATTGTATACAGAGGCCGCAACAGCAGGCTTGCTGCGTCTCTATGGCGACAGCTCGTACCACACCCACACCCACACCCACCCCACTCCACCCATCTATGCGAACCCAGCCCGCTCCGTTGGCGTCGCTCCCAGCCAATGGCTTGCGGAAGCAGGTCGGTGGCTTTTCACTTTTGCCGTCGCCCGCAGCAATAATCGACAGGAAACGCGACACCCAAACCCACGTTTCTTTCATGTATCTCTGTGGCACATTAGCGACATGGCGCAATGGCAATGCGGTTTGGGATTTGTTGACAAGCGGTCCACCAGTCTGGCGTTTCCCATTCTTAACTCAATCGGCTGAAGGGGAGAAAGAAAACAGGCGCAGAGCCCGTTTCTGTGAGACCGCTGTCCACCCGCCGCAATCCCATCGTGTGTGCCTCTCCTGCCCCAAACATGGCTGGGCAGACACTGGCCACCCGTCGCGGATCCATATAGGGAATGCTGTTTCATTGTACAGACGGGTCACTAGCGAGCGGATAGAGTCTATACAGTTTTATTATTGGCAATGCTGGAAACGGGCTGAGAGTTGTAAATAGTGAGGCGCTGGATGGGGCGGTTCCGAGAAGGAGCTAAAAGTTGTAGATGAGGTTGTCAATCTGCTCCTCGCTTGGGCGCGGGAGGCTGAAGTCGGTCTTGAAGAGCTTGCGGAGTCCCGAGAACATGATGGCGATGAGGTGTGTGTGATTTGCTGCGTGCAGTCGTTAGGCGAGCCTGGAGTTCCAAAGTACCAGAGAAGAGTCAGGAGAGAACGTCGATGTGCGATTGGTATGTAAGCGCTGTGGCGAGTGGAGGCATGACCCCCGGGCTTTAAATAATTTCGGCAACGCTGTCGACACAGCAGCGAGGAGAGGTGAAAAATGGTGCACGATTCTACTTGCGTCAAACCATGTATCTCGCTAAAGACGCTATTTGCAATAGGAGACAGGGTGTAAAAGCTTATTGTCTTCTAGCTATTGCAGGCATTCGGGCGCTTGTGCAATTGTAGAGAGGCAATTGGCATATAGCAATTGTAGGATCTGCACCACTTGCCGAACTCCTATTGCACAAATAGGGCAGTCTCTGGTAATTGGATATTGTGTCCCTCGCGTACCAGAATGGGCTGTGCAAAGGAGTCGACACTAGGAATGCGTTTATTGTGTTGTTCATGCGTGTAGCTGGTGCCTGAGCCCGGACCGCGGGTAATCGTCGAAAGGCAACACTGCGATTACAATATCGACGCATCCACCGGCAAATCTGCTGCATGTCTTCGCAATCACCCGCCGCTTCCAGGTCGGCAGCGTAATCCGATGTGCCACCAGATCCACAGTGATCCATCACCAGGATCAGATCTGCTGCGGTCCTAGCTGCAAGATTACCCATGAGTCAAGTGTCAGCAGGACAGCGGAAAGTGGAGACCGCATGACCGAAACGCCTTTTCATACTGCTGGAAATGACCGTGGGACGGTCCAATCACAGCGTCTGCAGACCTGGTGGTTGCAAAGAAACGTGAATTAATGCGTAATCGGCATGTTGGCAAGGAACATAGCACGCCGCAGTCTTGAAAACGCAGCGATGCCAGTCGGCAATAAATGCCAAGAAGCATTCACGCGCCCCTCTCTCTTGCTCCAGAAACATTTCCCAACCCCATTTTCCACAACTATATTCTCTCCATCAACCAGACCACTACTATTTGTATCATTCTCCTGTATTATTCTCGTTAAAAAGGCTGCTTAGACCCTCCGTCCTTCACCCACTCCCAGCTATCCAATGGTCAAGACAGTCTCGCTCCTGGGCCTTGCGCTCGCGGTGACGGCATCAGTCGCCTCGGGCCACAACTTCCATGGACACCACCACAATCATCCGCACGGACGCCAAGCCGTTCGGACCTACCCTGCGCTCGGCCGCCCACTATACCGTGTACGAGACGCCGGTGACGGTAGCCCCGCCTGCCTACGTCAAGCGGCACCTGAGCGCCAGCCGCCTCGGTAGCGACGGCGATCCAGGAGCTCGAGGACAACGTGGCAGGTTGCCGCAGCGTATCTCTCCTCACGGCACAACATCCCGGAGCACAACATGAAACTCAAGTCCGCGTACCGCAGCGAGCACAACGGAGTCACGCACGTGTATTTCCGCCAAGGTTGTCAACGGGCTGGAGGTGGTCAATGGCGACGCCAACGTCAACATTGACAAGTACGGGCGTGTAATCTCGTCAGGGCAACTCGTTTCTCGACTCCAGTTCTCAGTGCCCCGGCACCAGCCCCAGCGAGAGCGTGCCCGCCAAGCTGGAGCACGCAATCAAGGACTCGTGGGAATACGCGCAGCACATGGCCAGCAGTGCATTCGATAGAATCTCGACGGAGGTCACCGAGGGGCTGGACCGTGTGGCTGGACTATCTGGAGCCGCTGGTTGGGACCGTCAAGGACCGCCTGCACATCCAGGGCACGAATTTCGCCGGCGAGAATCGAGGTCGACTTTAGAGACCACAGCGGCTTCCGCAAGCGCGGGCTCAAGGACAAGTACCTGTCTGCCAAGGATGCGCTGCGGCACCTGGCCAGCCACCTCAAGAGCGACCTTGCTGCCGCACCATCTGGCTAGCGTCGATGTCGGACGCAGCGCTGAACATCGAGGGCGACCCCGAGCTGCTGCTGAACAACGTCCCCAAGCGGTTCGCCATCGACGGCAAGGTGTCGGCGCAGCCTGCACTGATCCGGCTGGACGACGGCTCACTGGCGGAGACGTGGGATCTGACAGTCGAGCAGGACGACCACTGGTGGAACGCGCAAGTCAACGCACGCACGGGCAAGATTGACTCGCTTGTGGACTGGTCGTCCAACTACGTGGAGCCCGAGGCATTCCGCGTGTACCCCTGGCGCGTGCCCGACCCGTCGCTAGGCGAGCGCTCGCTGGTCGAGAACCCGGCGCACAAGATTGCGAGCCCACAGGGCTGGGTGTCGTCCAACCAGACCGCCGGTAACAACGTGTTTGCGCAGTCCAACCCCGACGGCGGGTATGGGTGGGAGAACAACTTCCGCCCGTCGTCGGCCAACCGCGTTTTCGACTACCCGCTCGACCTGACCAAGGCGCCGGCATCATACATCGAGGCGGCAGTGACGCAGCTGTTCTACACCAACAACTTTATGCACGACCTGTTCTACCTGTACGGCTTTGACGAGGCCTCGGGCAACTTCCAGGACATCAACTTTAGCGGCAAGGGCCGCGGCAACGATGCAGTCATTGCCAACGCGCAGGACGGCAGCGGCTACAACAACGCCAACTTTGCCACGCCGCCCGATGGCCGTCACCCGAAGATGCGTATGTACGTGTGGGACATCACCAACCCGAACCGCGATGGCGACCTGGAGCAGGGCATTGTTGTCCACGAGTACACCCACGGCATCTCGATCCGCCTGACCGGCGGTCCCGCCAACTCCAACTGTCTCGGGTGGGGCGAGTCGGGCGGTATGGGCGAGGGCCACGGAGATATCCTGGCCACCATCATCCGACTCAACTCGACCAGTACCCGCAACGACGACATCCCGATGGGCTTCTACTCGGCAGCCCGTGGTATCCGCAAGTACCCGTACTCGACCAGCATGAAGACTAACCCCTCGACGTACGGCATCATGGACGGGCCCGCGTACTGGGAAGTGCACGCCAAGGGCGAGGTGTGGGCTGCAATCTACTACGAGGTTCTGTGGAATCTGATTGACGCCCACGGGTTCAGCGACGACGTGTTCTCGCACGATATGACCAAGGGCAACACGCTGGCGATGCAGCTGCTGATTGATGCCTTCAAGCTGCAGCCGTGCCGCCCCAACTTTATCGACACCCGCGATGCTATTCTGCTGGCAGACCGCCAGCTGACTGGCGGCGAGAACCAGTGCTTGATCTGGAAGGGCTTCGCCAAGCGCGGCCTGGGCAAGAACGCCGATCTGATATCCGACTCGCCGTGGGGCGGAGGTATCAGAACTGAGGACTTTAGCGTGCCGAGCTCATGCGCGTAAGCTGGCTGGTGGTTTCCGCCGTCACATTGTTTTCAGCAACAAACATCGCTGCCTGCAAGTCGTGGTAGAGGCGCGATTACACACCAGGCAGTTTCCGGTGTGAGCTACTGCGAATACTATCTCCCCTGCCTTTAATTTTCCAAAGTGTGTCCAGAATGTGATTTTTCAATATCATGGTCCATGGGCACAAGCAGTAGTGGAATTAGGGACAGCTAGCTGGCGACACTCTGTATCCACATGTCGCAATTTCCAGCACAAAAACGTTTCGCGGCAAACAAGCAACCCGCTGCTGCCAGTGCTGCTGCTGTAGCTACGCATCGGCGTCTCGGCCCCTCCCCCAAGACCACATGTTTCGCCACGCATGTCGCAGACATAGCGCCATTGTGCAACATAATTGGCTCAGAGCCACACCTCTGCGTTTCCGGTGCATTCTCACGCTCGTTGTTTACCGTAAAACGCGAACAAGGTCTGCACACTATTCTCGCCTGAGGTGCGTCCGCCATTGCCGACTGGGGAAGGGGCCGTTGTCACCGCTATTGCCGGGTCCTGCAGCGGCCATATGAAAATGGAGGCCAGCAGTGGGATCGACGTGTTGGGTATCCGGTCCGTCGAAGAACGGGGGCTCCTGATACGTGCTAATGTTGCACCGGGCCGATCTAGGCAGGACATCACATCCTGGGATGACGGGGATCTGGAATACAATCGCTAAGGGGGAGCACGGAGAAAATCGCCTCATTTAAAGGGGCGAGTTTAACCCCCTGCGCCCTGCCGCTCCCCAAAACGAAGAAAAATTTCTTCACGGTGGTAGCTCCGTGAACAATGTGCGCTCGGCCCTCTGCAGCGTGCACCTTGCTCGGCCACTCGCTGTAGAACAGTGGACGAGGGGGTGCAAAAGTGGTGTTTTGCCTGTTTACTGCGCTGCACTAGACCCAGGACCACCCCTTATAAGGCTCCGACACGCCGCTTCCCTCCTCTGCTCCCGCTCCTGTACCCGCTCTCTACTCTACTCTTCCCCTGTCACATCATCCTAGTCGCTATGGCTGATCACACACCAGCGCCGCACGAGTGTGCGCCCCTGCTCTCCTCGCCGTCGGCTGCCACGCTCAGCGACCAGGTTCTGATCGACGACGAGTCGAGCATCTCTCGCCTCGTCCTGATCAAGCAAGAGCTCGTCTGGCTCGTCACCTCCTCGGTCCCTCTTGCGCTGTCGTACTTCTGCCAGAGCTCGTTTGCCTTCGTCAGCATGCTGAACGTTGGCCGCCTGGGCGTCAACGAGCTGGCCGCGGCCTCACTGGCGGTGATGATCATCAACTTTGTCGTCATGATGCCCTGTGTTGGCCTGGCCTGTGCCCTGGAGACATTCTGCAGCACGGCGTTTACCGCGTCGCACGACAAGACACGCGTGGGCTTCCACATGCAGCGCGGGCTGGTGGCAGTTACACTGCAGCTGGTGCCGACCGTCCTGCTGTTTGTATACATGGACTCGATCCTGCAGTCGATCGGCCAGACTGAGGAGGTGGCAACGCTGTGTGGCGAGTTTCTGCGCATCTGGTTGCTTGGCAGCTGGCCCCTGGTAGCCTTTGAGTGCCTGAAGCGCTTCGTTCAGGCGCAGGGCATCATGCAGGCTGGCACCTGGATCATGGCTGTGGTTGCGCCGATCCACTTCCTCATGAGCCGCATGCTCGTCTGGTCGGACACGATCGGAATAGGCTTTGCCGGAGCACCCCTCGCCACCGCCATTACGAACTGGCTACTCTTCCTTGGTCTCACCGGCTACATTGTCTGCAGCAAAGCCAAGGAGGCGTGGGGCGGGTTCACGCTCGACTGCCTAGACGGCATCTGGGAGTTCTACCGCTTGGCCATCCCCAGTGCCGCCATGATGTCGTGCAGCTGGTCAGCATTTGAAATGGTCACCTTTGGGTCGTCGATGTTTGGACCTGTCTCCCTGGCCGCCCAGGCGTGCATTTTCAGCGCCATGAGTCTGACGTACCAGACGCCAGCGGCTATTGGCTCGGCAGCAGCTACCCGGGTGGGCAACTCGCTGGGATGCGGCAAGCAGAGGCGCGCACGGTTCTCAGCATACATTTCCATGTGCATCGGGTATGCTGTCGGTATGACGTGCTCGCTGATGCTGTTCCTGAACCGCCACCGCTGGGGCTACATGTACTCAGACGATGAGGAGGTCGTCACGCTCTGCAGCAAGCTAATGCCATACTTTGCTGCTGTCCAGACATATGATGGCATGAACGGACTGGTTGCTGGTATTCTGCGCGCCCTGGGCAAGCAGAGTCTGGGAGCCATCCTGGCGTTCCCGTCGTTCTGGATACTTGCTGTGCCCATTGCCTTCTACCTGGGAATGGGTCCGCCGCACCTCGAGGTCATTGGGCTGTGGCTCGGACTGGCAGTTGGTGTCATCCTGTACTCGCTGGCCCAGCAGTGCTACATCCTGTTCTACATCGACTGGCGCCATGAGGTCAAGGTATGCTTGGACCGACTGGCACGGTCCACAAAAAATCTGGACCCCGTGCAGTCTAGAATTGCTGCTGGTGGCTCTGATGATGGGATGTATAGAACACCCGTCACCCGCACAAGCTCGAGCTCGAGCTCAAGCTCAAGCCCAACTACGGACAACTACGGCACACTAGTCTAACCGTTAACAACCCCCGCGCCATACCCTCCCACGTCATATAAATGCTTCTTATAAACCCCCTTTATCATTCAGCACACTAAACGTTAAATATTCAAGTTCAACAACTACCCGTACGTGCTATTGCTCCTGGCCGCTCATCTCTCGGCTGACTCTTCCCAGATTCCCGCCAGGGTGGTTGCGTGCAAAGTCTGCGGGCCCAAACTGCCGCCTCTCCATCAGCAGCATCGCAATGGCATCGCCAATGGCCAGCGTTACCGAACTCGAGGTCGTTGGCGCACTCACTGCCTCCGAAAGCTCACCATCAACCGAACCGTCAATAAAGGCATCGCTGAGCATCCCTAAAGGTGAGTCACTGGACCGGCCCACGCCAACCACCGAAACTCCCACGCTCTCTCCCCGCAGCCCGCTCCTCATCGCCTTCACCATGCGCACGACCTCCTCGGTGTTGCCCGAGTAGCTGAGCGCAATCACGCAGTCGCCTGGCGAGACAATGCCCAGGTCGCCATGCAGTGCCTCAGTGGAGTGCACGCACATGGCGCGTGAGCCGACACTGGTCCAGGTCGCTGCCAGCTTGCGCCCGATCAGATAGCTTTTGCCAACCCCTGTGAATATGAACTTGCCGTGCGGAGAATCGGCGGTCTGAAAGAGGATGCGCAGCGCGTGGTGGAAGCCCTTGGGGTCAGAACGCAGCCGCTCAGCGCTCTGCTTGATGGCATTGCTGATGCGGTCCAGCGAGTTGGCGACTGCGTGTGTGGCAGTGGTCAAATCGTCGATGGGCGCCGGCATGGTTTGGAAATATGTACAGTGCTATGTATATGTGCGTGTGAAAATAACTTTAATTGAACAGATAAGACATTCGCGGATAGGGAGAAGGCGGGAAACAAGCAGTTGTGACTGCCTGCTTGGCATCGCATAAGCGATGAATTTGTAATCCACCTTGGCTAGTTTTACAATTTTTTTGCTTGTTCAACCCCACGGTCTACACGGAAAGGGATCGCCAAATACAGAGCGGAAGTTCTCGGAGAATGGTTGGGTGTTTTTTCGTTTTGCAATTTGGTTCCAAGATGGCGACGCTCTATTGGGTACATTTGCTGGAGTCAACTTTTACTCTGCTTCGGCAGTGATGGTTTGCTGGGATGTTTTGGAGACGTCCCGGCACGCGACCACGGCCAGATATCCACTTGGTAGTTGTCACGAATAGAGCAAAGCCTAGTACTGCAGGCCAGGGTAGCTGTAGTGGTCAAAGATACTCAGCTCCTGATCCTTCACCGAGTTGTGGCAGCTAATACTTCCGCCAATCTTACCGCAAAACACTGAACCATCAGTGGAGCTGTACCATACCTCCTGGCCATTGTGGTAATAGCCCATTTCCTTGTGTGAAAGTCGCACTGCAACATCGCCCTTGTCCACGACGCAGAAGATCAGGAACCCGCGGCTCTGGATCTAGGCAGCACACACCTTGTCACCACTACGTGGCTGGCGGTATGCATATATAGACATGCGCGGGATCCACCCAAGTCTCTATAGCGACAGTGTAGCGGCTGCAATTGATACCAGTGCACTACCCCCTAGAATGCCCTATGATGCTAATGGCGTAGTCTAGGAACCTGGTGGTCAGCTGTATCAGTTTTTTTTTTCGAGTATTGCTTTTGAGTTTCCCTCATAGGCATTGGAAAAATCCAATATGCACCAGCGAATTTGGCACCTCAGGCAGCCGCTAGCCACTGATTCTGGATGCCAATTGGAAACCATGGATCCAGTCGCCCAGCGTCTCTGTTCCGCAGCACACTAGCAGAATTTCTTTGGTGTCGTTTTTATACGCAATGAAACCGGCATTGCCATTTGAGATATCGCTCCATCGATAGAATACCGCTGTGTCTAGTTTGTTTGGATAAGTACAGCGGATGGGACATCCCCAAGTTGAGCCACCTGAATCGACACCATACGGGATGCCATATGCAACGCCGCTGTAATGGGCATAGGTTTTTGAGCACCCCACTGGTGATTTTGGCCATGAAGGAAACACGTGCAATACTAGCATTGCCAAGTGCGCTAGTCTGCGGTGTCGCGTAGGAGTGCAGCTAGTGTGCTGATAATCGCTGCGCTTTTCAAAATGACAGAAATATTGGAGTCGGCCATGCTGAGGATATTCCTACTTGCTACAAAAGACGAAATTGCCACCGCCCGCCTGCTATCAGTTAGAAGCCATTGCTCATTGCCATGGCCAATGCACGCAGGACATGTAGTTTATATTTAATTGTTGCCAATCCACTGGCATGTGTACACTAGCTATTATTCAGTCGGACTCACTAGGCTCATCTGCAAGTACAATAAAACTGCGGCAGTATAGTCTTATGAAGGATATGCCTGAAGCTACTTGCAAGTGCCAAGTGGCTGACGTGCCAAGCTGCCCATCCATGTTCGAGTGGCACGAATTTAGCCTCTTTCCTTACGTGTCTTGACCCGCCTTCATATATGCACATGTGACTGATAGCGGCTAACACATCACCCATACTCCAGTCCCACCGCTTCAGCCATGGGCTATCTTCAAGGTTGTATTTGGGGCTAATCAGTAGTGGCGAATGTTGAATGCTCTACAGTTACAGCATGGCTCAGTTTAGGCAGTCGAACAGACCTGTTGCCCTGGGCACAGCTACTGCCTGGCAGTTGGGCTCAAGACGAGTCCAGTCCCACGTGCGGCTTAATTTAGTTTTCTACATCGATTATATCTAAGGATTAGAGGAAATAAGATCAGGACTCATCACGTGTGTCTGTCGGCTTGAGCCTAACGATAACCGCGCTCCCTTCTCTTGGCTTGTATGCAGGTTTATCTCAAATACTTGCTGCAAAAGACATTTTTCGCATTTCGAACAAAGAACCACAATGAGCATGCTGTCACAGGAAGCGCGTCTGCTGTATCGGAGGCTTTTGAGGACACAGCGGCTACGGTTTGAAGGTAGGTTTGCACCGAAGCCCTTGCTTAGGAAGGCGCTGCCTCCTACACATACATGCAGCCCACAACTCTGTTTTCTATCTGCATTGTTACTACTGGGGCTGCCATCGCAACTCCTCTGGATTCCATGTATGCGCAACTATTAGGTGATCTCCCAGTGATGCTTGCGGCGCACAGACAGACGCGAACAGAGTTTGAGGCGAACCGGTCGCTGACAGATGAGAAGAAGATCAAAAAGTGTCTGAAGCACGGCACCCAGGTCGAAGAAGTTATCCGCCGGTATGTGGTGCAGGGTAACAAGGTCGAAGATAAGGACAACACATATTCGATCGCATTCACGTCAGAGCACGCCCTGCGCGACGCCCATCCGATCCTGATCAAGAGCACGCTGCAAAATAAGGACAAGGACGAGTAGCTGATGCGATGACAAATACATATGAATCCAGAACACACCAGCTGCTTGCGCCTTGATAAATAGCGTATGGCTGTTGATTGAAGCGTTCGAAAGGTGTTACAAAGAGTCGTAATGGGGTTAAAGGATGCTGCAAAGATTTTTTTGAGTGGGTTTGGATTCACGGCAGTAACGGGCGTTTACTTCTTCTTGGGAGGGTGGAGGGGACCGCCGATATCCTTGCCGCGCAGCTTGACGCCCAGGAGCGCGCTCCATTTTCATCAGGATCTGCTGGTTCGGCACGGCCTTGGTCGCCTCGTACTCGTTGACGACTGTGGGCTTCTCGTTGATGCGGGTGGCGAGATCCTTCTGTGTCCAGCCCTTGGCCTGCCGCGCTTGCTGGATGGCCTTACCCACAGACAGGTTGACTGTCGAGGGCGGGCGCACGTCGTCGCTGCGGTCCAGGGCAGCAATGCGACGGTGGTCGGTGTCAACGTGATGACCGCGGTTGGCCACGTCGGACTTGCGCTCGGTAGAAACGAGCTCGCCAGCACGACGTGCAGCGTTGACAACGGATTGCGACTTGGCGACGGTCGGGCGCGGGCCGCTCTTGCGCAAAACTGTGGTCTCGTCCCAGTCACTCATGGTTGCAAGTTGCTGTTGTCTTGGTAGTAGTGTCGAAAAAGAAAAAAGAGCCCAAGTGTATTGGAAATTGTAAAAATCGCAAAAGTAATGTGGAGCAGAGATGCGTCGTCGGCAGGGAAAGCGCGGCTGGCTCTTTAATGGAAGCGCCTTTCCATGGGCTTCTAAATGGCGGGGTTTAGGGTCTGGTCCACATGAGCACGATTGCGGCCAGCTCGCACGCAAAATCGCCAGCCAGGACCGACCGCAGCAGCAGCTGTTCGGCTGGCGTTGGGTCTGCGTGACTCAAGCAAGGTGCCAGACCACTGCGGAACCTGCTGCCACGCCATATGGATGAACACGCTCTTTGCGCTTGGCCACAGGGGCCACGCACTCGCCATCGAATCCAGCGACATTGATCTCATCGACAGCGTCGTGAACACCACAGGCAGTGTCACCAGGAACACAAGCAGGACGCGCGCTAGTTCGGCGTGTCTTTTGTGAATCGGCTGCCCGTACCGGCCGCTGGATTGCAGAGATGAACAGCTCCATGCTAAGTAGGATCCGGGATATCCAGCATGATGCCCCTCCCATGGCCAGCGGTTCCTTGTTCAGCCAAGCCACTAGTGTGAAGGCGGAGGCGAACATCTTGGATCCAAAGATACCACGGTATACCCGCAGCAGCTGGCCGTCCATGCCAGCGGTTTCCATGGCGTTGTTCGACCGTGGGCGGCCACGGCTCGCCTCGGTTGCAGCTGGCTCCATGTCAACATCCTCGTCGTCGTCCATCGTTGATTGAAAATCCTCGCATCTTTGACTCAAGTCCAGTGTCTTGTGACTGGAAATGAGTCGATTCGAATGGCCGATGGTTGCCTTGAGGGGTCCTGCAGGCCGTAGTCTAGGACCACGGCCAAGGTCAGCATCAGAGGTGTCTACATCCATACTCTGAGCAGCCACCACCGTCGCTGGTACACGTCGCGAGCGGACTCCCCACAGCCAGCGACTCCAGGCCAAACATGGAGGCGAGTTCGTCGCCTACAGCGCTGCCACCGCTGCTCTCTGTAGCTGTCCAGGTGGGCCATGCTTCTGCCCTGTGACACCCGGTCGCCAGACCTATGATCTCCATGCAGACTGGCAAAGGCAGTTCCACGAAGGCTGTCGTTCTGGTCGCGATTTACAACTGACTCGCCCAGAGAAAGCTCACCCATCGAGCTGGTTGCCTCGTCGGTTTTGCGGGCACGCTCAAGAGGGGTGTCGCTGTCGGCTGTCTTAGCAGTGGCCTCATCAGTGGCCTCATCGCCTGTGTCATCAGAATCGGATGTGTGCCTGCTCAGAGACCTTGTCCTGAGCTTACTGACAATCTCAAGCGCCCAGAACGCGTAGACAAACATGCAAGTGTCGACTATACCTAACCCAATGGCAAGGTCTCGCGATGGTCGCCTGCAAAAGAACCCAACTGCTACCGCAAGCCGGCCAGCCGACAGAAACTGTATGCGCCGCCGGTATCTGGGCAGCCCAGCTATCCGGATGCTTGTGCTGAATGCCGCCCTTAGCCACAGTGGGTTCAGTAGGCCGGACAGGAACGTAGCCATGGATATCGCAGCACCAGCTACCAACACCTGCCATGGTGGATCCAAGTAGCCATGCTGGGTGTCGATGTAGAGCCCCAGTGCTGCTAAGGGACACGCAATGAATCCGAGCAGGGCAAACACGAGCCAGGCCATCGTGACACCCTTTCGTCGCAACGTCGGTTTTGGCCGGATATTTGGCTCATACTTGCGAACCCTCTCCGACTGCCTCAATGAACTGGCCAGCTCCTTCTTCCGTAGCCATGATGCCTGTGACTGCAGTAGATCGTCCACTTTCTCCTGACACTGCTTACATGCGACTGGATACCGTCTGCGCAATGTCCGACTGTAGGCGTCAGCTTCAGCAAGTCTTTGCGCATAGTGAGAGTCGGTCTCTTCAGGCAAGTACTCGGAAAGGAGCTGGTACACCCGGTTTTGGTTGCTTTGGCATGTCTTGCAAAATACAACCACAGGGAAACTGCTAGACGGACTCTCAATACCGCTGAGAATACGCAGCTTCCGCTGGCTGCTTCCAGGGACCTCCCTGTACATTTCATCACGGCTGTCGACAATTTCGCCCTCCTTGTTTACCGTGTTTTGTGTGTCGCAGTTGTCACAATGCCAGTCGTGTACCGTGTCGCTGTCAGCCTCGGACCGGGGTAATCGCGTCGTTTCATTACAACACCAGCAGGTGACTCTAGCCTGGCGGTCTCCTAGAAATGACCACATTGTTCGCAAAAGGGCATAGTGCAAGGAATGGAAGAGAAAGCAGGAAATATGAGCTCCAGCAGAAAGTAAGCGAATGTGTGGGAGCTGAGCACAAAGAGCTGAGTGCCCTCGCCAGGAAACACGAAAACGGTGTCAGCTCCGAGCAAAGCGCGATCCACAGATCGGCTGATTAGATATTCCTGGCAAACAGCCAACAGCCAGCATATTCCATCAGAATCGCTGCCACATATGCCTCCAACACGCTCCGTTGTGTCAGCGATTGATGGCTAGTATTACAGATGGATATTAGGCAGAATTGGCAAGCAGTATTGAGATATTGCAAGGGTATGACAAAAGGGTATTGATTTATATTATGTACACGTTGTATTTCAACATATTACAATGAACAAATGGCATCAGTTGAATATGGCCAAATAATTATACTGACACCTACCAACGACACAAGCAAATTTGCTAATATAAAGTTACAAATATACCCTGGTAAATAGAATATGCATTTCATATTTGTTATCAACATTCTACTGCATTCCAAACTTTTTGTCGCTATTCAATAGTCGGAGAAAATTCTGATAGACAATTTTCAGTTGAGGTGATGCTGCACACACTGGTACTAGTGTTCTTCGCGGTAATAGCTGTACATGCTATTCGACGGATCATCAATGCGTTCTTCTCGCCTCTTGCACATATCACAGGTCCATTCCTAAACAAATTCTGCAGTTTCTCGCTAAACTACCATTTGTTTCGAGGACACTATCATACATACTCTATGTTAGAATCCCATGATCCGATTATTGTGAACTACATAGTCTTTCATCCCATTGTCTTTTTCTTTTTCTTTTTCTTTTTGGCTCTGCCACCTGAGTGATAGTACAAAATCTCTGTGCTCGCCTCTCCCTTCCCTCTTCTCTTTAGCTTTCTTTATATCAATATAATACTTGGTTCTGTCGCTTTCTGTTGATACTTAGTTCACGCTAATAGCGTATTCTTGGACCGATTCACCGCTGTTTCGAAGATCTGTTCCAACTAAAAACGAAAATTACACGCGTATCTACATGAGGTATTTTTCGTTATTCATTTCTTATTTTTTTTCTCTTGCCCTACACCACCCACCATGTGCTCTAGACCTACAACGGCTTGGACACCACTAATAGCCCACTGACGTCTGTAGTAATGTAACTGATGCACTATTCAGATGTATACGGGTGGATCGCTGAGGAAGTGCGCTCAGCATTCCCCGACTCTTCACAGTTTATATCGTTTGCTGATGCCAAAAATAAGCTACCATTCCTTTCTGCTGTCATCGGCGAAGGCCTGTGTCTCAACCCAGCATTTGCAAATATGCTCCAACGCTGTGTCCCAGCAGATGGTGTCACTATTCAGGGTTACTTCACTCCAGGTGGTTCAAGTATTGGTGTCTCAATTGCAGCCTGCCACCCCAATCGATGCCTTTGGCCCAATCCTGACAGGTTTGACCCTGAGTACTTCCTTGGAGCAGATGGAACTGAAAAGGATAAGGATATACCTACATTTAGCTCAGGGGTACGGGTATGCATCGCAAAGAACCTGGCAATGTTCGAGCTCTATACAGCTTTCGCCAATGTCCTACACAGGTATGATTTTCCCTGTCAACCAACATGCCATATGAGGCACACAGACTTGATAATAACAATGTCCTGATTGAGATTGCAACGGAAGCATTTGGCGTTACTAGTCTGAAAAGCCCAAATACCGACTGCTGGATTAGAATTATTCTGGCAAAAAGGAAAATGACAGATTACCTTGTAGTTGGACGTGTTGACATTCGGGGTCCGGAGTCCCCCTGCGCCACCATAGACAAGGCCGAAACGCATACGTACAAAGGCCCAGACAGACGACCAGCCTTCCTTCTTCCCCTCAGTCAATTTTGGGTAGTTATTTTTTCCATATATTCTATAACCACTCATTCCCCAAGTTAACAGGACGCACAGCTAACACAAGAGCTTCTAAGAGTTTATGGCATGCAACAGCTAGCGTAGTGGATAGCTTCAAGTGTAAAAAATGAATAATATTAATTAGCTTTAACACGAAGGTAAACCATTTGACAGGTCAAAAGAACCAGCGAGAGCAGCTGTTCTGATACATCACGGTTCATTGACAAATGGCCAACGATAGGGCGATGCTTGGTAGGTATGCAGCAGAACATAGCAACTTTATCGTGGTTAGAGTCCAGTAACTTCCAGGTGGAGCCCATCAGGCTGACACACCAGCAATATTCATTGCCTGTGAAGTCAACAAATTTCCATCCACCGCGAATATAGCCGGACTTTCTTGCAGTAGCAGTTCGTCCAAACCCTTTCATAACCGCAAGACCCATCGATGTACCTACTACAGCGCCAGTGACTATTGGGTCAGTCCGGCGAGCTACCCACGAGTAGACGCTGAGCCCAGCATTGCTGATGGTGAGAGTGTAAAGAATATGGCTGCTTGCAATCTCGACAACTTTACTCGCATGGCCGGTGGCAACATTAGTTGCATCTGCGGATCCAGGGGCATCGATAAAAGTGAAATGTGAGACACCGTCCATATTGTTAGAATAACAAGGCTAGGAAACAGTATTATGGATATTGAATTGAGAAACTGGCTGGTTGCTTGGCTGTTCAAGGAACGAAAAGAATATATCTACTTGTCTGCAATCATATATGTTACGTTGTGCGGTGTTTCTGCGGATATCAAGACTTGGCATGCCAAGATTGAGTAGCAGCATTTAACATTTGGAGCTCTTTTGGAAATATGCCAAGGGTTCTTGCTTGTCAAAAACAAATGCTTGTTTTAAAAAAACAGCGGCCACACTAAACAAACCGCTTGGTGCCATACAGCAGTGGCAGTGTAGAAAGGGCCCCACGCGAAGTATCTTTTGAAGATCGGTAGGTTTGTTCCCACAGCCAGTCTTTTTGATATAAAGCTGAGCAGGTATGTGTTAAAGGGAAACGGCATCCCGTTTCATCATTGTGCATATCATGCAGAAAGTCACACATTCATTACAAGCCTACATGTGTACCCGCATGGTCTCAATTTACATGGGTTTATTTGTACGGTCCCAACCACAACGTCTTGTGCCTGTCTGCCAAATCCTGCACACTCAATGAGCTGGTTTCACTCTTATATGAGGACTCTCGAGCGGCAGCTTGGCACCCAGTGCAGGCGACTGTGCGTTCGTCCACGAAATAAAGGCGTTCCAAAAGATGCTGATAGCGCTGCAGAACGGGACACGGTAAATTGTTGGAATGAAGGCAAAATTGATCGCCTGCACAGCGGGCCACACGGCGTAGTTTGCAAACAGCGTTGGGCGGTAGAGCTCGCCGAGGCGGTGCTTGGCCGATCGCCAGCCGTGGCCCTCCATAGCATTCATGGCAATGAAGAAGCCGGCGATGCCGAGCGGGGCGTAGACGAGCTGGTCGGCTGCGACGCGCTTAGCAACAGCGGATGCAAACAGGGTCTTGCTGGTGTCGAGGGCTGGCAGTGGAAACTGGCAGTTCAAAAATAGGTACCACTTGTGCAAGACCGGCGCACATATGGCGCCCCAGGTGACAAAGCGGATTGTGCGCCTGGTATCCCAGCAGAACGGAGTGCTCGTTGACTCAGTCCTGTTTTCGATCGACTGAGCCAACAGATCACCAGCACCACCCAGCACACCGTTGGTCACAGCCAGAGTCAAGATCGGACGGCGCACGGCCAGGCTGGTCCAGACACGGAACGGCCCCGGCATGGATCGGGACAAATATGGCTACACTATGCAGTATCCGGGTAGAATGGGGCTCTATAGAAATGGCACGTATTATAAAAAGAGTTTGGGCAAAAGAGCTTGGGCAAGAGAGGAATAGACAACAGAAAGTGACGCGGCAGAAAGCCTGGCACCATGGAACGGTTCAAACGACAGTGCAGTTTTCGATTCCGGGGAGTGACGTTAGCACTACGGATCAGTCACGTATGTGCCGGGGAAAACGCCGGTTACACCGTTCAGACGGCCTGTCCACCAGTCATCCTTGGCCGCGGTGCGCTGCACCAGCTCTATGCGGTCGCCCTCACGGAAACTCAAGTCGCCTTCGGCCTGCGCGGCGTAGTCATAGATAGCCACCACGAACTGGGGGCGAGGCCCCGGGCGGGGGACTGGCAGCTGCATGGAGGCGGGTGGAGCCTTTTCGGGCGGCGGAGCCTGGGCATACGGATTCGGAGCAGCCAGCGAGTCATAGGCCGGTGGAGGCATATGGCTGGGCGAAGCAGCAGCGCCAGCAGCAGGCAGCTTCTCCCCCGGTGGGGCCTGGTACGCCGGCGATGCATAGGGTGATGGGCCACCGCCCCACCCCTGCGGCTTCTCGTTAGGCGGCGGTGCGTTGCCACTGTGGGAGCTGTAGGGCGAGTCGTGGCCAGTAGAGGTGCCGGCTGGTGGCGGCGAGGAGCCATAGGCAGGCGCTCCGCCAGCAAACATGCTCGATGCGGTGGGGGTGGCCGACTTCTCCTTCTTGCGGAAGGTGCCCTTCAGCGAGCCAACAAAGCCCTTGGGCTTTTCGTCAAGCTTGTACGGCTCGACATTCATAAAGCCCTGGCTCCACAGGTCAATGGACCCCATGGTCTGCTCGGCACGGGGCCACTTTTGCTGCCACCCAACCACAACAGGCGTGGTTAGGTCGAACGCAGGGCAGTTGCGGGCGGCGGCCGACATCTCGACAAGCAGCTGCGTGTAGAGCTGGTGCTGGATGCGGAAGAACTTGAGGAAGACCGGGTCCATGAATGCCTGGCGCAGATCCAGCAGCTGAGACAACTCGGCCTTGAGCATGTCGTTGTAGTAGTTGTACTGCCGCGAGGCCTCCTGGTACTGGGCGCTGTACTTTTCGTAGCTCTGCTGGTCGGGCAGGCTGCGCTGTCCCTCGAGCCCCTCCTTTGCCTCGTGCTTCTCAACCTGGGCACGGTAGCGGTCGAAATCTACCATCTTGTGGTCGCGCTTCTGCATCACACGGCGCACGTTCTTCATCATGGCCAGCATCTCCTGCACCGGGCCCACCACAGACATGTCCAGCGTCTCCAGTTGCGGGTCAACGCTGGTCTTGATGGCTGTGACGCGGCTGCGGAACTCCTCGGCCACATGCAGCAGCTCTGGTGACGCCCCCTCGTCGATGTAGCTGCCCATGGGCTGGGCTACGCCTTCAGGGTCGGTGGTAATTGGCCGGTAGCTGGCCAGGATCTGCTCCAGGAACGCTATCTGGTACACCAGCGTAGCGCGGATGCTATCGCGGAACTGCGCTGCCTGCAGAAACAGCGTCTTGGCCACTGTCTCCAGGTCGATGAACCGCAGCTTCAGGTCGTCATACTCGGTGTCCACTGTCTTCGTGCCGCGGCCTATCTTGTTCTGTAGCTGGTGGGGCATGCGCTCTAGCGCCTTCTTGAAACCCTTCCAGCTCATCTTTCTAGCAAATAACTGCGAGTAATTTGAATTAGAGAACAGCAAAAAAGAAGCTAAAGAGCCAAGGTGCGGAAAAACCAGCGCTCGTCTCTTCAATGGCAAGGCCCTGAACCCCCGCTGAAAAAACAGGCCAATCAAGGGGTTAGGGGGCGAGGCTGGATACCTGTGCATATCTGCAGGAAACATTGCGGCTGGCCCCTCGGTGCCAAACTTAGTACGACACGTCGTCAATGATGGACTTGGGGACCAGGTATCCGTCAAACGACTCGTAGCCCAGCTCGCGGCCAAAGCCCGAGTTGCGGAATCCGCCAAAGGGCAGGTACGAGAACAGGGCGTTGTAGGTGTTGACCCAGATGGTGCCGCTGCGCAGCTTGCGCGTGAACTTTTTGATGTCCTGGTGGTTGCGCGAGAAAATGCCCGCAGCCAGACCAAACTCGTTCTTGCGCTCGATCTCGATCACCTCGTCGAGGCTGTCGAATGGCTCGAGCACCGACAGCACTGGGCCAAAGATCTCCTCGGTGGCAATGCGGGCGTCGCTCTTGACGTTGTAGAAGATGGTGGGCTTGATCCAGTACCCGCGGTCGAACGCGCGCTCGCCACCAGTCAGCACTGCCGCCTTGTCCTCCTCCTTGCCAATGCGGATGTACTCCATGACCCGGTCGAACTGGCGCTTGTCGATGACGGGACCCATCACCGTCGTCTCCTCCTGCGGGGCACCCAGCACCATCGACTCGGCGGCCGCCTTGATCTTGGGCATGAACTCGTCGTAGATGTCGCGGTGCACCCACAGGCGCGTCAGCGCGTTGCAGTTCATGCCGGCGTTGCTCATGCATCCGCTGACCACCAGCTGCGCCGTCTTGTCCAGGTCCGCATCGGGCATCACCACGCCCGGCGACTTGCCACCCAACTCCACCGACGTCGAGCGCACATTCTGCGTCGAGGCTGTCGACCGAATCACGTGCTTGCCCGTGGCGACCGAGCCGGTGAAGCCAATCTTGTCGACCAGGTCGTGGTCAACCAGAGCCTGGCCAACCTCCACGCCGCCAGTGACCACGTTGAACACGCCAGGCGGGAACTTGCCTGTCTTTTCAAGCAGGTAGGCAAAGTACTGCGTGGTCAGAGGTGTCTGCGGTCCAGGCTTGAAGACAACTGTGCACCCGGCTGCCAGCGCAGGAGCGACCTTCCAGCCAAGCAGGTTCAGCGGGTAGTTGAAGGCGTTAATGAAGCCGACCACGCCGACAGGCACCTTGACCGTGTAGCCCTCAATTGTCTGGTTTGTCTGGTGGCCGATATGGCGGCCCTCAACCTTGTCAGCATAGCCAGCAAAGTGGCGGAACAGGTCGATCGTGTCGTCGACCTCGACGTGCATGTCGCTGATGGGCTTGCCAGTGTTGATGCTTTCGATGAGCTCGAGCTCGGCGCGGTGCTCCTCAATGGCATCGGCAACGGCGATCAGGGCGTCGCGGCGCTCTGCACCAGAGAACTGGTTGGCCCAGGGCCCATCATGGAACGCGTTGTACGCAGCCTGCACCGCTTTGTCCAGATCCTGGGCATTGCACTCGGGCACAACCGCAATCACATCACCCGTGTCCGGGTTCTCCACGTTATGCGTGGCTGTGGACGTCGACTGCGCCCACCGGCCATCAATGTAGATGAGCTTCTCGTCAAAGGGAAGCGCCGGCAGAGAATACGAGGACATTGTATGCTGATAAAAGAACTAAAAAGAGTGGGCTGCTGGGTTGAAGTCGAGAGATAAGGAATTCCGAGAATGGAGGATGAAAGACAAAAAGAGGCTGTACCTCTCCCCGCCCTCCTTCTCTTTTATACCCACCCCCTGTTCGGCCGTGGCACGCTACAGGTGCAGAGCTGCGCATGCTTCAGGCATGCTCCCCCTGCTGGGAAGATGCCCTAATCCGCCAGGGCTGCCAGGGCTGCCAGGGCGACATGCAGCCCGCTGCGCATTCGCTTACACGGCGACAGCTGTGATTTTCTTGAGCGAATCGACTTTGCGGGCGCGGCGTTCTGCCTTGTGGATGAGCCCCTTCCGGATAGCTCGCAGGTCGCTTGCCAGATCAAACACCGCACCCAGTCCATCGCTCAGCGCCTTGTCCCTTAGCTCCTTTTCGTGTTCGGCCCATGGCTCCAGCCCCGCTGCCTCCAGCACCAACGCTGGCGCAACCCCATCGACTTTTTCCATCAGCCGTAGCAGCTGCTCGCCCACACCCATGATATCCATTCTGATGGCTTGCAGCCGGGTTTGCAGCGCTGCCTGCTCGGCCTCGTTTGCGCCTCCCTGCGCGATCTGGCTCATGATCTGCTCGGCCTCGGTTGCCAGCTGCTGCGCCTTGGGAATTTCCTGCGAATCAATGTAGCTGAGAATGCCTTTGCACTCGGCTAGGTCGCTGAGCAGCGCCCTATACTTTTTCTGCGCCGCACGCTTGTGTACCGTCCGCACATGGTCGGCCTGCAAATACCGCGACGTCAGCACCACTGCTCCGCCGACCGCGGCCACTGCTGCAATGGCAAGAACTGGAACGCAGATATTCTTTGGGTCGCTGCGCACGCGCTCGACAAAAGACGACATAATGGTGTTATTGCTTGTTCAGTATTATTCAAAAGATAAGGTTGATTTTTGCTATTTCGCCGCTCAGTCTGCCAGACACCAGCTTATTCTGCCTGCCCCAAATATGGTTCATGCTAATCTATGCTGCGTTTTGTCAGCTGCAGTTTACGTCGAACACGATGTCCTTCTCGTTTACATATACTGAGATGCGCTTTGGGTTTTCAACCTGGTCTACCACTAGGTCTGTTGGTCGGATAATGCGTCGAGGCTTCTTGAGCTGCTGCAGGAACGACTTTTTCTTCTCTGTCACATGCCCTGGGAGCTTCTCTCCGATCATCTGCGTGCCTATCAGACGGGGTTTCCAATACGCCAAGTTGCATTCGTCTGCAGTCACTACAGGGACGAGCACGATGCCAAAAACAAATGACAATATTGCAGAAGGAAGCATAATCAAGTAAAGATGTCGTCACTACGAGCGGCTGCTCACGGTACAGCTTAAATACAGTCAGAATGGCTTAAAAATAGCAACCTCAATCAACTGGTTATACTGCACGTGGCTACGGCACAGAACCCCCCCCCAGAAGCCTGCTACTACAAATGTCGAGCAGAAGACGATAGATTCTGCCCAAGTAGATCTGTAACTGCTCTGGGGTAGCTAGATTTATGGCACCCGCAATGCGAGCTCGGCTAATTAGTATGGCTTAGACTGTCGATAATGTGGCAAGGAGTCTGCTGCGGGGCGATAGCAACTGCCTGGCAGGTTAAAAAAACTATACTCTTGAGGGTTTGTTCTAGGGACTTGATCGACGCCGGCGTTACTGCTCTGGCTTGCCATTGCTGGCAGCAGCTGAGCGATTCTTTGCTTGCTTGCAGTCTGGGTGCCAGCAGAGCCATCGGAGGCACAATCGATAGCGAAATCTTGCAAGAGCCTTGCCTGTCCGACACAGCAGGAATATGCCCACAAAGAGAGCTCCATGCAACCCGTTTGTAGGTATTGTATAACGATGCTCATCGCGGAGGGTTGCAGAAAAAAGTGGGGGTTCATTCCGCTGTCCAGGGCAGGTGACTCTTGCGTAGTCAGACGTATTCATCGAGTAGTTGCCGATGCACATCACCGAGTCGAGCCCCGCATCGAGGCATGCCACTGCTGGCAACCATGACGATTAAATAACGGAATCTAGAGGAGGGGTTTGTAGGGAAGTCAGAATGCGTGGAGAGGGGTGAGGAGAAAATGGATAAATAACACAGGAAGGGAAACATTTATATCCAGGATGTATTGGCCAGCAAACCAATAGTTCTTTTTTTGAGCGCTCTTCATAAATCAATGAGACCAATTGCAGGCCGTGCAGACAGCCTGCTATCACCCCTATCGACTTAAGCCTATGGTTCTAAGTCTGAGTACTGAGGACATAGAAGTTGGGTAATTTGTCTACTACATTAGTGTATCTATGAATTTACTACATCTATGAAATACAGGATAACTAAGATGAATGGTACTTTGATAGAAGGTTCTGGGTTCGATATTTCGATTGCTTTAAAGAGATTTATCTGTTACCTTATGATCTAAATCAATCAGCTATAAAAGAATATTATTTGTTAAGTTTACAGAGCAAGTCATATATATTTGCTATAAGGTTTAAGAGCTTATATTTTCCAACCAACTAAAATGTTCAAGGGGATGGTCAGATATTTTAGGACTATAAAATCATATATAGGTAAAAGTCTAGCAGTCCTATGCTTATGATATAAGTATACCTCTATATAGGCCAAACCCTATTTATTATATATATTGGTACATACTACTAATACCTACAGTAGGCTGAATATACTGTTAGTTTATAGCTAATAGAGGTTATTCTTAGACTTATAAATTTTAGTAAATTACAATAAAGTTAGTAGTATATTAATTACTCATTTATAAAATAGTTCTTTAATATAAGATATATTTGGTGTATATATTTTAATTGATTTCTAAGATAATTGATTTATATCTATTTTACCTAAACTACTAATAGTATCTTAGAAAAATTCTAGTAAGTATGATTTCCTTATAGTTGCTTAGCCATATCTATTAAGATAATAACTATTAATGCCCAAAGATAATTAAATATAAATGTATATAGTTTTTTCTTTCTAGTTGAAATTATATTTACTAAAATTTTTCTAAGATACAAATAGTAGTTTAGGTAAAATATTAATTCTACTAAGAGTGCCAGTAGTTACAGCATGCATAGGCGATAGATAAGCAGATAAGTAACTCTGAATAACCTCCAATAGGAATATGGATGGTGCTGGAGGCGCCTGCTGGCCAACACCACCATCCTAAAAAGTAATAATGACTGATTCTTTCACGATATATACTGTACATTTTGAAAATCTCCAAAACTTGTGTGACGATCGGTCCAGATGGATTGGGCACTTCGTGGAGGGTCTTTTAGTGTAGTGGTTTATCACTGCGGGTTTTGATTCCGCCAACCCGAGTTCGAACCTCGGAAAGACCTTTTTGCAATTTCGTAGCTCTATTTTGCAATTAATTCTCTCTGCATGGAAGAAAGCAATCGTTTTAATTTTTTTTTTGGCGAGTAGCTTTAAATGGCCAAGGAAAGCTACCTTTTCTCTCTACCTCGACTCTAGCTTTCTCCTCTGCTTGTTTCAGTTTCAAGCGAAGTCTGCGTTTTAGTTCATGGCTCTTATCCCAGTGCAGCTCGTCATTAATGAGGTTTATTTACTGTTTCTATGGATGGCAGTCTTGATATGGGCCACGATCCTCAACTACGGGCTCTCCTTATCTGCCAAGCCCCGCTCCATGAGCGCTCTGTGATCGTTTGCTTCATTACTTCATGCTTGTTCTTATCTCACACTGTCACGGAGATGGTGAACTGTGAGGTGTCGGTTAACCGCATGGTATTAAAGTATTCAAAGGCGCAGCATTTAGCCAGATCAGTCTACAGCCATATCGCTGTCGGTATCCTCTTCAATCTCCATTTCCTCGTCACTTTCATCAACTTCTGGCTCCAGTGACGCACGATTGGATGAAGGGTGGTAGCTGCTGGAGTACTGGTCTAACTCTATGGCTGGTAATTCCTCTCTAGAAATGGAGGCTTGGTGAGGAGAACTCGGATTTGATGGCTTGCTGCTTACATCCCGTTGATATTTCAGCTCACCTGGGGTTCGAGGATGCTGGTCCATTTGGGCATGCTGTCCCTTGCTGAAATCCAACAGCCCACCTAGCAAAACCGTGCCTTGGATGTTTGTAGATAACTCCAGTGCCAGTGCCAGAAGATCAGTGGTGACTGGGTCACCAGGTCGCGAGGAGAGAATATCGTGGTACAAATCGATGGAGCGGTCGAGGTCGCGGCTGGCACTGACAGAGTCGCTTTGGTCGAGTAGGGATATTGCACGAGAGTGTAGGGTGAACGCAGTCGATAGTGTAATTTCGGGGTTGGATGGCATGCATTTTGCCGATGCGTCGAGGCACAGCAGTGCGGCATCAAGTCGATCCATGCGACGCAAAGCATTGCCCAGGTTGGCCATGGGCAGAGAATATGCAGCCTGAGCATCTGGCGCTCGTGACCAGCGCGTAGTGTGCTTCTGCGACGGAGCGAATGCCGATTGCAGCATATGTTGCTGGTTAGTGTTGATATGCAGAGCATGGAGTGCCATGGCAAAGAGCAGCTTTGCTGTACTAAATTCGCTGCGCGCGTAGTATAGGACACCAATATCGTTGAGCAGCTGTGGGTCAGTCATGGCTGATGCTGAGTGACTAATACGATTGGATTCGGACTGCTTATGGCTGGTGTTCTCGCACCAGGCTAGGATCTGGTCATCATGGATGGCGTCAACGACCGGCATCCATAGAGAGAGACAGTCGCGGATGCAGAATCCACTCAGGCAGCGCATACTGGCATCAAAACATGACTCGGCCATGGTTAGGTCACCCATTTGTAGGTAAACACTGCCAAGGCTTGCCAGTGGTGCATGTGCAGCCCGACTGCCACGCTCTGGCAACTGCAGTACCCGTGCGCTTCTAAATGCCGCGTGCTTGCTAGGTGTCCCGTGTGACGACTTTGCTATCGATCCAGAGTCGCGGCCACCGCCGTGAACAACACCTTCGAATCCACACAGACCGACAGCTGTGTGCAGAGCACGTGTTGCCGATTCCCACTCTCCAGCAAGCACGAACGTATGGGCAAAAGCGGCCCATGCCGAAACACTGCGCGGTGAGACAAGGGTCGTTTTGGTAAGCCACCGGCGGGCTTCAGAGAGCGCATGCTCAGCTTCAGGTGTCAGCGGCTGACCACGACGCAGCGAGGTCCCACCATCGCTGTTAGATCCAGATATGCCCAGGCGAGCTGCGGACGTCAGAATCCCAAAGGACGTATGTGACTGCCCCCAGTCGGCTTGAGCAGAGGCTGGGGCTGTTAGAATCGATGCCGTCACCAAGTAGTAGCAACCGATCGCAAACCATGCCAAGGAGGCGCCGATGAACTCATCTTGGGTTGGGCTACCGATCGACTGGGCGCTGGTCGTTGAGAACGTATCCATTGTGGAGACAGACGTGTCATTGATAACTGGCGTCATATGCGATGGCCCCAGTGCGCATGGATATGTTGCCAGCACAGGTGGTCCTGGCCGTGTCCAAGTTGGTAGTCCCCACAGTCCTTTCCAAGCAGCAGCGGTAGCGGCAGAGGAAGACTGGGCCGCTGGCTGCATTGATCTACTAGCCCTTTGGGATGTGGCACTTCCGCCGCCATTCAGGCGTGAGGGGGTTTCGGGAATAAGTAGACCACGGGCGCCTGACCGGATGCGACTGACGCCAGACGCGGATGCGCCAATCGAGTGCCTGATATTGGATGCAGAGCAAGTTGACCTGGGGGTCGACATCACCGAGCCACTGCTACCGGGGATCCCTGCCATGCCCCCTGCAAACAAGTCATTGGCAGTGTCGGCTGGCTCAATATCAATTCGCTTGATCGACGAGATGCCGAATTCCTCAGCCAGCTCGTGCGCGATCCGGAACAGCGCGTCTCTGGCGTGTAGTACTGTGAGTGCACTGATGTGGATTGCGGTTGTGCCGGGGTCCGGGATACGGCGAATCTCCAAAACACGCACGGTGTACGTGAGACAGTCGCGAGCACGGCCGAGTGACAGCAGTCGTGACGCCTGGATTGCCAGCAGACTAGGATCTTGCACTAGACATGGGTAGCTCTTTAACAAGCTGGCTGTTGCCTGGACTGTCTGCTCATTCGTAGCATATGTAGTCATGGTTGCCAGACAGTACTGCTTAAAGAACTGCCCAACTCCCTCAGATCCAGCACAATGCGAGGTCCAATCTAGGCTCGCAATCAAGCTAAGCTCTTCCTTGCATGTCAGCAAACCGTGCTCTCTCAGCCCTGACCAGGCCTCCCAGCACCGCGCATCAGCCTTGACCGCCTCAATCCATAGTCGCTTGACCAAGGCACTTAGTGGGCTAACGTTTTCTCCCGCAGCTCCGCCGATACCACCAGGTTGTGACGCGGGACCTGGATCGGGGGTTTCGGCTACCGATCTTAAAGTGCTTCGACGGTGCATAGTCGACAGACTCCTGGTATTGTCAGGGTGACGAGTGGCCAGTTCTTTGATGCTAGGGAGGTCCTCAGTACCACCTGCATTGCTTAGCTGGATTACTGCCGCGCCTTGCATGTACAGCACCAAGGCACGCGGATTCAGTGGATGCTCGTTTGCTGTATTTAAGCAGCTACTGCCAAGGTTGTATGCAGGCGCATTTGTAGGGCCAGTCTTGACTGCACTGTCATACAGCGAAGATGTGAGTGAGGACACTGGCTTCGCTGACCTTGACGTGGTTGGCGTTTCACCTTGAGCACCTGGGAATTTTGTAGAGTGTGTGCCAATACCAGGGCCTGCTAGTCCAGTGGTCAGTTCAGCTGCTGCTTTGCCGAGCAAGTCCAGTGCATCCTCAGCTCTGCCCAGCCGTAGCGCAACAATTGACGCCAAATATTGTCCTGGGGCAGTGTTGCAGATTCGCCTGGCGTACTGTTGGTGGTTAAGCCATTCCTCTGCCTGCCGGTATTGGCCATTCGTCACTAGCGCGTCGACTAGCCAGAGCACGTCTTCTGTGTCGCCAGTCAGCAAAGTCACCTTTTCGGCCCACACCAGCGCCGAGCTCCACGCCATGCCCTGAGCGCAGGACCGCCGCAATGACCGCAAATGCGCGACAATTTCAGACATGCGAAAGAACAGGTATAGTGTAAGAGATATTCAAGACAGATGCAGTCGTAGAAGAGAAGGAGCTGAGCGACGAGGTTCGAACGCTCAGATCAGCGTGTTGGCGTCCCTGACCCTTGATCAATTACCAGGCACAACAGCGTGATCAGGGGCAACCTCCTGTCCTGGCATGTCAGTCGACTCGGAGCGGCCAGGCCCACCAGCAAACGAAGAGCCTCTTACCTGCTGCACTAAAGCCAAGCTTGTCCCGGCACATGGGCATAGACAGCTGTGCTAATATATCACTACGGCTGATAGCCACCAAAGGTGTGATCACAGGTGTATGTGGTGGCTGCGGCTGGTGAGGTATATATTCGTGGCGCTGGAGCGCTCGGTCCTACTCAGTTCCGTTTTTCATTACGAGTAATGCCTGTTTCTGGCCATATATCTCAGACATCTAAAGGCACATCACTTCTCACTCAGTACGAGGCATAATAATGTTAATTGCACGGGTGCTATGGCCTGCTGGTGCTAATAGAACTGGTGCCAGAGCTCGTGGTCTTTGGCAGAGTCGAACTTGGGAATGAACGGATAGTGAATGATTTCAGACAGGCCTTCCTTTGCATCTGGCAGAGCCAGCCGCTTGAAAAACATGTTGTAGGCGACATCGGGTACCTTGTCTAGCCTGGCTGGGAGATCCCCCAGGCTTTGGCCGGGTTCAGTCGCATGCAGAAATCTCGACTGCGGCAGGTTAGCACGATAGCTGTTGTTGTGAAGAGCCAGCTCGCGGCCTTTGTAGTCGAACAGGATGCATATGCAGTCAGCACCCACTTTCTTCCCAGCGTCGATATATGCCTTGCGGGCGGCAGGATCGGGGTTGGTGTTGTCAATTACAACAGGTGTGCCCTTGAACAGGGCGGATGATGCAGTGGCCAGACATTTGCGCGGAGTCTTGAGCGTGTCCATGCTGATGTGTTCGAAACCAAGGGGTACCAGGTGCTTTGCCGCAAACGTGGACTTGCCGCTGGCTGGCGGTCCGACCAGCAATACAAGAAGGCGGTTGTCCTTGTCGGCCTTGGCGGCTCTGGTGGCGAGTTTGGATACCAGCTCCTTGTGCGCGTCGCCTGCTGAATCCATACCCTTGGGATGGAAGCGGCCAATGGCCCAGTCCTGCGGCGTGGGCAGCGGGAACGGCGCGTCCTTGGACAGGATGTCCTTGGTAAACACCTCCTCAGGCACATAGAAGGGTACGTTGAGGTTCAGAGCAAAGGCCAAGTCAGAGTCGCTAAAGTCCGGCTTAGCCTTGCCCTTTCCCGGCCGACCAGCAGCATCGCCGACGTAGCAGCTCAGCGACCGGTCTACAGCAACACCGGCATTGTCGAGCTCGGCTGCGATCCACATGCCAGGGCTCGGTTTCCTCAGATAGTCCTTGGCGGTGGCAGCCAGGATGGTGAATGGCACGTCGAGCTGCTTGGCGATCTGCGAGATCTTGTCACGAAACTCGACAGCCTTCTTAGTCAGCGCTGTCGAGCCCTTGTTGGGCTTGAGGCCGTTCTGGTTCGATATAATCACAATCTTGTAGCCCTGCTTGTGGACATTGCGCAGCAGCTCTGGCACCTTGGGGTGGTGAAAACGCCAGTCGCTGGCGTTCTTTGGGAAGCGGTGGGTACCGTTGACCTCAATGAGCGTGCTGTCCAGGTCGAAGGCAGCGAATTTTGAGGAGGGGGTGGGCGCCATGTATGTTCCGATCCATGTCCCGCGCAGGTCCCGCCACCGCACTTTGTGTGTGGGCACATCGACAGCTGAGGCATCGTCGGGCCTGTGCTTTTTTGCTTGGCCGAAATAGTCGAACGTCTTTCGTCCCGAGTTTGTAGCGCCTGTGGTGGCAGGGGCGGCAGCGGGCCGCTTGGCCTTGGTTCTGGTAGCCATTCGAGCGAGGGTCATGAGGGAAGAGACAAGACCAAGTATGTAGAAGACGATAAACGTAAAGGCAGCGGACATGGCGCAGCAAGAGGGGCGGCGTATGATACATCAGCCAGCGATCCAGCGCGCAAAATATGGTTGTGCAGCAATAAAACCCGATTCCAGGCAATGGTTTGCGCTAGGAACCGGCCGGAATGAGCCAGTCCCGCAGGAGTGACTCGGGTCGGGCGAAGATAAAAGGAAAATCTCTCTCCCGACTCTGGCGTAAACAAGGAGATTTTTCGTCGTTTGAGGCAATAAGGAAAAAGCAGCCCTCGCCAGGAGCTCGAGCCAGCGTAATCTTATCTCTTCGGAAAATAAAACGAAGCCCCTACCCGGCCTGCTTGGTATTTTTCGGAAGCCGTCCTCTTCTTTTTCTTCCTCTCCTCCTTTATCTCCACAAGCGTTTTATTATATTCCTTTTTGCAGGGCTTCTGCTTCATCAAAAACCTCAAGTATTTCTCTCTATACAAGGATGCTGAGCTCTCGACTTTCTACCTTGCAGCAGCACACCGCGAAGGCTCTGGTAAGTATTCCGCTCCCTTTCGAGATTTCGAAATTGAGAGCAGAATCGTAAAGCCTGACCTGGCGTGTGGCTATCTAAAAGCACGTCATGGTTCCGGAGAAAATCAACAAAAGAAATTCTCCTTTGGCCGAAAGGACTGCTGCGTTGTCCGATTTCACGCCTCTGCCGGTGTCTGGCTCGTGCACATGCATCTACATGAGGCGCTGACTCTAATCAGCCTGGTTGGTATTTAGGTTCAAGGTACCCGCCAGTTCCACGCTTCGCGCACGGCGGGACGCGTGTTTGGCACGCAGCCCCTGCGCGGCAAGGAGGCGACGAACACATTCTCGCCCAAGTACGAGGTGATTGACCACACGTACGACGCGGTTGTGCTGGGAGCCGGTGGTGCTGGCCTGCGGGCGGTGATGGGTCTGGCCGAGGCCGGATTCAAGACTGCGTGTGTGACCAAGCTGTTCCCGACGCGCTCGCACACAGTGGCAGCGCAGGGCGGTATTAACGCGGCGCTGGGCAACATGACCAAGGACGACTGGCGCTGGCACATGTACGACACGGTCAAGGGCAGTGACTGGCTGGGCGACCAGGACGCGATCCACTACATGTGTCGCGAGGCACCGAAGGCGGTGATTGAGCTGGAGCACATGGGTCTGCCGTTCTCGCGTACGCCTGAGGGCACGATCTACCAGCGGCCGTTCGGCGGGCAGTCGCTCGAGTACGGCAAGGGCGGACAGGCGCGGCGCACGTGCTGCGCAGCGGACCGCACCGGGCATGCGATGCTGCACACAATGTACGGTAACTCGCTCAAGTACGATGCGACGTTCTTTGTCGAGTACTTTGGACTGGATCTGCTGATGGAGGACGGAGTGTGCCGCGGAGTGCTGGCGCTGAACCAGGAGGACGGTACGCTGCACCGCATCCGTGCGCACAACACGGTCATTGCCACCGGAGGCTACGGCCGTGCGTACTTCTCGGCCACGTCGGCGCACACCTGCACTGGTGACGGCATGGCGATGGTGTCGCGTGCTGGTCTGCCGCTGCAGGACCTGGAGTTTGTGCAGTTCCACCCGACCGGCATCTACGGGTCTGGGTGCCTGATGACGGAAGGCTGCCGCGGTGAAGGCGGCTACCTGGTCAACTCTGAGGGCGAGCGGTTCATGGAGCGCTACGCGCCGACGGCTAAGGATCTTGCATCGCGTGATGTTGTGTCGCGGTCGATGACGATGGAGATCCGCGAGGGCCGCGGTGTTGGCCCCGAGAAGGACCACATCTACCTGCAGCTGCACCACCTGCCGCCTGATGTGCTGGCGGAGCGGCTTCCGGGCATCTCCGAGACGGCCGGTATCTTTGCGGGAGTCGACGTAACCAAGGAGCCGATCCCGGTGCTGCCCACCGTGCACTACAACATGGGCGGTATTCCGACGCGCTACACAGGTGAGGTTGTGCGCCTGGCGGCGGACGGCTCGGACGAGGTTGTGCCTGGGCTGTACGCGGCGGGTGAGGCGGCGTCGGTGTCGGTTCATGGGGCGAACCGCCTGGGAGCCAACTCGCTGCTGGACCTGGTTGTGTTTGGCCGTGCGGTGTCGCACGACATTGCATCCAAGTTTGAGCGCAATGTGCCGCACAAGGACATGGATGCGTCGGTCACGCACCAGTCGATCAAGGACCTCGACTACGCGCGGACTGCGGACGGCGAGCACACGACGGCGGAGGTGCGTCTGAAGATGCAGAAGACGATGCAGAACCATGCGGCGGTGTTCCGCACGCAGGACGTCATGGAGGAGGGTGTGGAGAAGATGACTGAGGTGTCGCAGCTGTACAACAAGGTGCGTGTGTCTGATCGGTCGCTGATCTGGAACTCGGATCTGATCGAGACGCTTGAGCTGCGCAATCTGCTGACGTGCGCGACGCAGACCATCAACTCGGCGGTGGCGCGCAAGGAGTCGCGTGGTGCGCATGCGCGCGAGGACTTCCCTGAGCGCGACGACAAGGAGTGGATGAAGCACACGCTGTCGTACCAGACGGAAGTGGACCGCCCGGTCGAGCTCAAGTACCGTGGGGTGATGGCCAACACTCTGGATGAGAACGAGTGCAAGGCAGTGCCGCCATTCAAGCGTGTTTACTAGAAACCAGACTCCAGCCTTTCTTTCGAATATGTCAAGCTACAACAAAAAAAAATCGCAAACAGCATTTCATGGCAGATGGATGGGGATTGGGATGGTATTGTTTGAAGAGGGAGAGGTGTTAGTTTGAGCCGCCGCGCAGGGCCAGTACCAGGTGCAGCACGGAGCCGCCCTCGATCTTATAGAACTCGGCGGTGTTCGGGTCGTCCATCTGCTTGCCGCCGAAAATCAGGCGCTGCTGGGGAGGGGGAATGCCCTCCTTCTCCTCGACACGCTCCTTGATCTGCAAGACGGTCGACGTCTTCTCAATATCAATCTCAATCTACGCGGAAAGGAGGCGGGTTGCTGTCAGTGCAGGAACGAGGAAGGGAGCAGGTGGACGTGTGCTGTTTGTCGCTTACCTCCTTGCCGGTGAGAGTCTATGAGGGCGGGTGTGGGGCAGTTAGTTTTGGTGAATGCGTGGTGGCTGCGGTGTGTGGGGGGCGCAGATTGGAATGCGCGAGTGGAATAGTACCTTGACCTTGATGTTCATTGCGGGCTGTAGCGAATTAAGAATTGGAAAAGTGTATAAGCTGAGGAAGCAAGAGCGGGCTCGAAGGACGGGTCAGTTTACGCATGTAGCTCGAGGGGGCTGCGAGGGGCAGGGAGGTGACGCTCAAAGTGGCCAAAGTGACAAAAGGCAGCCAGTGATTTTTTCAGAGCCATTACTCAGCACGTTCTTTGAACTTCTCTCAAAAAAATTTTCGTTTATAAAGGGGATAAAAGTTGCTGCTGCATCGACCTTGTATTCAGCATACACCATCCTGTATTCCACACCATACTTTATTTCGACCATGGCGCTGAGCACACTGGAGAGACAGCTTCTGCTGGGGCAGACGGTGGATCGGAGCGCAGACGCACAGACGGATCAGAGCGCAGAGGCGCTGGCAGCGCTGCTGAGCCAGGGTCAGTATGAGCAGGTTTTGCGGTCGGAGGCAGCGCAGTATCTATTCCGTACGCTGGCCGCAGACGAGGACGTGACGGCGTCGTCCCTGCAGGCAACAGCGCAGCAGCAGGCGCAGCAGTTCACCACGCAGCACGGGGCCGCAGGCTGGGCATCACTGACGTGGATCGGAGCAGCAGCACTGCAGGCATTCATCCAGACGAACTGGACGGGCCCCGAGTTCCTAATGGACCCGGCAGAGCTTTTACTGGCCGTGGCAGACAAGTACAAGGAAGGGTTTATTGCAGCCGCGCCTACAGAGCTGCCCGAAGGCACTTCCAAGCACGAGATCGGGCGACGCGACCAGCTGGGACGCGTGTATCTGGGAGCGGAGCAGAGCAAGGAGCGGGCGGCGCTCGACCAGTCGCTACTGGAGATGTTGGCAGCCGACGGCGAGGAGGCGTATACGCTGACGCCGCGGCCGCTGTTTCTGGCACTTGCCCGCTGGCTGCTGGTGGACATGGCGTGCGATGAGCGCGACCAGGCGGTAGGCAGCGCAAGGTGGTGGGCATCCCGTGTTTTGCTCGCACAGCAGAGCCTTTTGGAGTACCCGGCCCAGTCGCTGCTGGACCAGATCATGGACGGCTACAGTGCTGTGGAGCAGCAGATGCCGGCGGCGCCTGCCGAGCCGGTGCCGGAGCTGGGCGAGGACAGCGTGGTGGAGGTGCAGGAGACGGTGCATGAGCCGATGAGCCGGTCGGCGGCGACCCACACATGGGATGCGGTGGGGGCGGGCGACCGCGAGCTGTGGGCAAGGCTCAGCATGGAGCACGGGGTGGCCTATGCGCAGCACCAGATGACGCGGGACGCGGTGCAGCAGCTAACGGCAGCGCAGGCGGCCAGCGGGCTGCAGTGGGAAATCACAGGCGCCAAGGGCAAGCGCACGCGGTTCCAAGAGTTCGACACCGCGCAGCTGGTGCTGCTAGCGCAGAGCGCCCAGCCGGCCCGCAAGGCAGATCAGGGGGCGGCGCCCGAGAGCTTTGCGCTGAACGACGACACGCTGCTGGAGCAGATTGCATTCACGGATCTGGACATATCGGGGCAGCAGCAGCTGCGGGGGCTGGACGCGAGTGTTTTGCTGGCGCTGTGCCTGAATGTGCAGAACGAAAACCCGGCCCATGGTCTGACGTCCGAGCAGATGATGCCGTTTGTGGTGCGTGTGCTGCAGCACCCGGGCAACTGGAGCATCTACACGATGGCGTGCTGCAGCGGTCGCGGCTGGAGGCAGCCAAAACCCGCACTGTGGAGCGCGCGACGCTGCAGCTGCAGGCCCTGGTCGACCAGATCTCGCACCCGCTGCCCGAGGCCCACGAGGCAGGGCCATGCGAGCGCCTGCAGTTCTTCCATGCGCTGGCGCTGCCCAGCCAGTGGGAGCTGGAGCGCGAGCTGGCCAAGCAGTTCATGGCCCTGGGCGTCGTGCGCTCGGCCCTGGATATCTTTGAGCGCCTGCACATGTGGGACGAGGTCATCGCGTGCTACCAGATGCTGGGCCAGGAGGAGGTTGCTGAGCGCATCATCCGCGAGCAGCTCGACTTGGCCCCGAGCCGCCCCAAGCTGTGGTGCCTGCTGGGCGACCTCAAGCAGGACCCGGCCCACTGGCGCCACGCCTGGGATGTCTCGGGCTGCCGCTACGCCCGCGCCATGCGCTCGCTGGGCGCCTACCATTTCGCGCGCAGCGAGTTCGACGACTCCGTCGCGTGCTACAAGCACGCGTTGAAGCTCAATCCGCTGTTCGAGCGCTCGTGGTACATCCTGGGGTGCGCGGCGCTCAAGACCGGCGACTACGACACCGCGCGTGACGCCTTCCAGCAGGTGGTCCATATTGACTACGAGAACTCGGAGGCCTGGAACAACCTGGCCAGCATCCACATGCGGTCCAATGACGCGTCACAGCGCCAGCAGGCGTGGTATGCGCTGCGCGAGGCCCTGAAGGGCAAATACGACTCGTGGCAGATCTGGTCCAACTTTTTGACCGCATCCATGGCGCTGGACCAGATCGGCGCCGCCATCCACGCCCTGGACCGTATCGTGCAGCTGCGAGCCGAGAAGGACGGCGCTGCCTGCGTCGACCTGGACATATTGCGGGGGATCATCTCGTCGCTGACACGCGGCACCTTGACACGTAATGACAATGAGCGCGAGGCCCGCCGCAAGGAGCAGCAGTACTCAAAGTACATTGAGCACCTGCTGGTCAATGCCATCGAGGCCAAGATCACCAACTCCGCCCCGCTGTGGCGCGCCATGGCCGACTTTTGGTTCTGGCGCCGCGACTACAAGCACTGCCTCGACTGCTACATCAAGGCGTACCGCTGCTACTCGCAGATGCCCCAGGTGTCCTACGCCCCGCCGGTCTTCAAGGATGCCGTCGATGCCGCCCTGGAGCTTGCCGACATGTACGAGAACCTCGGCGACAAGGTGCAGGTTGTCAAGGCCCCTCCTGCCCAAGACGGCCAGCAGCAACACGACCAGGAGGTCGCGGTGACGACCAGCGCAAGGCCGCTGCCATCGAGCAGCCCGTGTGCAGCGACTGGAAGCACCAGACAAAGATGCTGCTCAGGGGCCTGATTGGCAAGGGCAAGGGGTCGTTTGAAGGCACCCCGGACTACGAGCGGCTCGTTGAAGCACTGAAGGAGCTCCGCCAGGCCTGAATCGCAGCGTCTTTTTAAATTGCGAGCCATGCGGTCTCCCCCCATGCCTTGCCGGTCAGCCTTTCTTGTCTCGGCCGATATATTCCGGAGGAGGTTTTGCGTAACCCACTCTGCTCCCAGTTCGAGCGCCAGAAGCGAGTAGGACTGCTAAATAAAAAACACTGGCGTTTTTACCCGACAACGCGATCTGCTTGTTTGTGGAATGCACGCCCAGACACGAACGCCAGCAGTTGATCCGCCTGCGGCATGTCGTGTTTTGGCTGTCCTGGATGAACAAGCCGAGAGGCCGACAGAGCTGATCCTTCTGTTCTCCCTCTAAGCAGCAGCAAAATAAAATAGCGTAGGGCGACGATCGCACACCATCCGCTGCTGGTGCTGGCAGTTTCCGACTTGGCAACTGCCAGCAAGTTCCATAGCGACTCTTGGCTGCATTGTGCACCCAACTCGGCCGGCCCAATCAATGGTCTCCTACTGGGGTTTCCCAATGTCAAGCATCGCCCTTTTGGCGGGCACATTGGGGGAGGGGCGGGAGCCAGGAGGGACAGCGGATTTTTTAGACAGCGCAGACGAAGCAGCAGGGGGAGGGCGCTTTCAGATGTTTTGAAGACAGAGCCAAGAAGAATTGAAATCTCTGCTCCTTTTCATCCATTAATCAGCTTTTCCTCTACATTTTCCACTAGCACAAAGAAACCACACAGAAAAACCATGGTTGCCCGCGCCGAGAACATTGGTATCCGTGCCATCGAGGTCTACTTCCCGAGCCGTGTAAGTTGAATTCATGCTCTTTGCAAAGATGAGGAGAGCCCCCGGGACGTGTGCAAACAACAACATCAGCCGCCGGGCAGCAGCAGTAGCACTCAGTGCCTCTCTCTTCCTCCCTCTTCCCCTCTCTAGTACGTCGACCAGGTCGAGCTCGAGCAGCACGACGGCGTGTCGGCCGGCAAGTACACGATCGGTCTGGGGCAGTCCAAGATGGCGTTCTGCGACGACCGCGAGGACATCTCGTCAGTGTGCCTGACGGTGGTGCAGTCGTTCATGGAGAAGTACAACGTGTCGTACAGCGACATCGGGCGCCTGGAGGTGGGCACCGAGACGATCATCGACAAGAGCAAGTCGACCAAGACGGTGCTGATGAAGCTGTTTGAGGAGTCTGGCAACTTCAACGTCGAGGGCATCGACACGACCAACGCCTGCTACGGCGGCACCTCGGCGCTCTTCAACGCCTGCCAGTGGATGGACTCGTCGGCGTGGGACGGCCGTCTGGCGCTGGTGGTGGCCGGCGATATCGCCGTCTATGCGTCGGGCAACGCCAGGCCGTCGGGCGGCTGCGGCGTCGTCTGCATGCTGGTTGCTCCCGATGCCCCGCTGGCGCTCGAGTTCCCGCTGCGCGGCACCTTCATGGAGAACACCTACGATTTCTACAAGCCCAACATGTCGTCCGAGTTCCCCACCGTCGACGGCCCGCTGTCGGTGACCTCGTATGTGCGTGCCCTCGATAACGCGTACCTGGCCTACATCGATGCCCTGGAGAAGCGCGCAGCCGAGTCCGCAGCCTCGCTGGACAGCGTCGACTACCTGGTCTTCCACTCGCCCTACACCAAGCAGGTCATCAAGGGTTTTGGCCGTATCGCCTACAACGACTTTTTGCGCAGCCCCGATGCCCCGCAGTTCGCCGATGTCCAGCAGTTCAAGGACATTGCCCGCGAGGACTCGTACACCAACAAGGTCCTCGAGAAGGCCTTCATTAACGTCTCCAAGCAGGCCTTTGCCGCCAAGACCAAGCCCTCGCTGCTGGCCGCCTCCAACATCGGAAACATGTACACGGGCTCGGTCTTCTTTGGCCTGGCCTCGCTGCTCACCGAGGTGTCCTCGGCTGACCTCCAGGGCAAGCGCATTGCCCTGTTCTCCTATGGCTCCGGATGCGCCGCGTCCATGTACTCGTTCCGCGTCCGCGGCAACACCGAGGAGATCGCCAAGGCCCTTGACCTCAAGGCCCGTCTGGACAGCCGGACCAAGGTCTCGCCTGTCGAGTTCGAGCAGATCATGGCCCTGCGCGAGAAGACCCACAACGCCCTCGAGTACGAGCCCCAGAGCGACGTCTCCAAGCTCTTCCCTGGCACCTTCTATCTGCAGAAGATCGACTCCATGTGGCGCCGCGCCTATGGCCGCACTCCGCTCAACTAGAGAGAGCTGCTTCTCGGAAGCCGCTGGGCGCTCGGGCGGAGCCAGTGATTTCTGCTTCTTGATTTCTGCTTCTTGATTTCTTTTCCCCAGTAATTTTTCTACCCTAAACAAAAACAAGCTTCAAATCATGGTACTTTCGACTTTTACATTAATTTCATACTCGTGATGATCTTCAGCTGCAAACAGAAGGTGTTGAGATCAGGGAATGCCAGCAAAGAGACGGCCGGGTGGGCTGGAATGCTGTGTGGAGGAGCCTCGAAAATGGGGTGAGAATGTCTAGTGGGATGGAATTTGAAAAAGAAAAGCGCACAGAGACTACTGAACATGAAAGCAGCCCTCTGCTCATATCCGCAGGCCGCTGCCGCCAACAGCCAGCGACAGCACCACCGCAGCCATCGTCCACGCCATTGCCGCTGGCCCGACAGCCCGAGCGCCACTGAGGTCCACAATCGCCCGCCCATCGCTGTTCACCTTGGCATCAAAGAACTCTGGGTAGAAGTTGCCCACATCGTCGCCCTCATACGGCAGCGCATTGAACTTCTTCGTGGGTGTCCACACATCGCCCTTGTCGTAAAAGTCGACCTCGACAAAGTTCATCCAGATCGACTGTCCACCGCGGCATGTAACTGCATGGTACTCGAGCTGGTACCCGTTGGTCGTGCCCAGGTTGAACGGATACGGCAGGTTCGTGTGCTGCACCTTGTTGATCGTCGCTGTCTGGACTATCAGGTGCGGGATCAGGAGAATCGATTCGGTCGACCGCGTCCACGGCCCGCACGTCCATTCGGCGCCGTACGTGAACGGGCCATCGAGCTTGAGCACTATTCCTTTAAACTGAATAAAGTGCTTCTTGTAGTTTGAGATGGCCGGCGACTCGGCAAACACCACCAGCCGCGTGCCGTCGGAAATCATCTTCTCCAGCGTCGGCCACTTCCCAGTCACCGTCTTGCTGGGCAGCATGTATGTGTCGATGCCCGAGCTCACGAACGCCTGCTCCACAGCAGCTGGGTCCGCCGTGGTCTCAGCGCCATCCAGGAATATCGTCACCACCTCGTTGGGGTTGTCATCGAGCCACGCCTTCACAATTTCCAGCGTCGCCGCCAGCGTGCCGCCGTTGATCACGCTGCAGTCGGGGAAGCACAAATTCACCGAGCCCGCCGTCGAGCCCTTGTAGATGTCCAGATGCAGCCCACGCACCCCGTCCTTCAGCTGCTGCTTGATGTCCTTGTACTGCGTGCCCGGCAAGCCCGAGCTGTTTACCAGCGCAAATGAGGCATGTGTCGAGATGTGTGATACTTCGTTGAATGCCCGCGAACACAGCTCGCTGGATCCGTTGCACTTTTTGTTGGCTGCTAGAACAAGCACCAGCTGCATGGCGCATAGTGCAAATGTCAGCAGGCCCCGGAGCCCAATCGTACAATGGCTGCTCATGGCAGGATATGTGAAACGGTGGAATGAAAAAATGTAGGTCGTATAGTAAGGTGGACGATGAAAGGGAAGAGGGAGTGTTGCGGCGAAGACGGGAGACGGGTAGAAAAACGAAGAATAAGCTGAAAACGAGAAAGCCTAGGTGGACAGAAAGAAGGGAGGGATGCTGGAGCAGAGCGAGTGAGAAGACCCAAGATTGAACACAAAAACAAACGCGAAGGAAGGGGGATCACCAGTCCAAGCAAGTACGCTATTACTTTCTTTGCTGGGCACGAAAATACACCACTCTATTCGCTAAACAGCCGTGTCTTTTACTGAGAGAAAAAGATGCCTCTGGGCCAACCAGCCACGACAGAGAGCAAGGGCGAGATTTATAGAATCGGAGAACGGATAGCACAGCAAAATAGTGGCTGAACCAGGCTATTAATACAACACACAGGCGATGTGTGTAACCAAGGAAGGCCTAGAGACTGGATGAGTGGAAAAAGGCGAGCAGGATTGTTTAGCGCAGACAAGAGCTGCAACCGCCCGCCCTTTAACCTACATCCCTCGCCCACTGGCTGAATCCACCCGCGCAGACACAATACAGCAGCCAGTCGACTTTTTCTTCACTGTGAACCGCTTTTTTTGGGGAGGGGATGGCCAGCGCTCTAGCGTGGAGCGAGGGCATGCACACCTCCACACATGTAATTCTCACAACATTCCCTTGGGCAGTTCCAAGCAGTTAATGCTTTATTGCCTCGTCCTTTTTCTTTTCTCTTTGCACACGGTCTCTCGCCACCGGATTGCAGCCTGCACAGAGCCTGCCACTGCAAACTTTCTTTTTGTTTTTCTCCAGAGGCAGCCCGTCCCCATGCACAAGCAATCCCACCTTTTATCCAGACCTCGGCTATTCCGGGCTCCAGGCGATCTATAATTAGCTTTTCTAAACCCCATCGTCCCGCAGTGCCCACAGACTGATGGTCCCACACACACACAACCACCACCACCACAGCCCGTGCGGGATTGGGTGGAATATCGCCTTGGGCTAGGCTGATGTGACTCGGGGTTTAGCCCGCCTCCATGGGATGCCAGGACATCGCCACATATCGTCCGTGCCGTCATCGTCGGCAGCGACATGCTGCATGATCGCCATTGCAACGACAATTGTGACTTTGCAAATGTAAACATTGCCGGTACTGCTCGGTTCGCGTGCGGCTTTGGTCAACGTCGATCCTGCTAGTCGGCGCAATAAACAGCGAGTTGCCTCTGCATAGCGATCTGATCCATAGACCAATCACTGCGGATCGGATCACTGCGGATCCTCGGCTTTTTTGTTCAAACTTTTTTGGAGCGCATTGGTAAGCTCTCCTTCACCACTGTCTCTTCATTTATCCTCGCCTCCAGCTACCTCAATTCCACAATGTCGGACACAGAAGAGGCACCCAAATCGTTTGCCGATATCGGCGTCATGACACAGCTGTGCGAGGCCTGCGACAAGCTTGGCTTCAAGGCACCCACCGAGATCCAGCGCGACGCGATTCCTTGGGCCCTGCAGGGCCGCGACGTGATCGGCCTGGCGCAGACCGGCTCCGGAAAGACCGCTGCCTTTGCGCTCCCGATCCTGCAGGCGCTCTGGGAGAACCCATCCCCGCTGTTTGCATGCGTGATGGCGCCGACGCGCGAGCTGGCGTTCCAGATTGCAGAGACATTTGAGGCGCTGGGTTCGGCGATTGGCGCGCGGTGCGCAGTAGTCGTTGGCGGCATGGACATGATTGCACAGCAAATCGCCCTGTCGCGTAAGCCACACGTGGTGGTGTGCACCCCAGGCCGTCTGCAGGACCACCTGGAGAACACCAAGGGCTTTTCGCTGCGCACGCTAAAATACCTGGTCATGGATGAGGCAGATCGGCTGCTGGACCTCGACTTTGGGCCCAAGATTGACCAGATCCTAAAGGTCATCCCACGCGAGCGAAACACGTTCTTGTTCTCGGCCACCATGACCACCAAGGTAGCGAAGCTGCAGAGGGCGTCGCTGACAAACCCTGTCAAGGTTGAGGTGTCGACAAAGTACTCAACTGCCGACAAGCTGCTGCAATACTACATGTTCTTCCCATTCAAGCGCAAGGACTGCTATCTGGTGTGGCTGCTGAACGAAATGGCGGGACAGTCGGCGATTGTGTTTGCGCGCACCTGTAACGAGGTCCTGCGTATCGGTTTGCTGCTGCGCAACCTGGGCATCGAGGCTATTCCTTTGCATGGCCAGCTCAGCATGGATCGCCGCATGGGAGCGCTGAACAAGTTCAAGTCTGGTAAGCGCAACGTCCTGGTGGCCACCGATGTGGCCTCGCGTGGCCTCGACATCCCGGCCGTCGACATTGTCGTCAACTACGACATTCCGACCCACTCCAAGGACTATATCCACCGTGTCGGTCGCACAGCCCGCGCTGGCCGCTCGGGCCGTGCTATCTCATTTGTGACCCAGTACGACGTGGAGCTGCTGCAGCGTATCGAGCAGGTCATTGGCAAAAAGCTGGACGAATTCCCGGGCAACAAGGATGAAATCATGCTTCTGCAGGAGCGCGTCAACGAGGCACAGCGCATGGCCACGCTGGAGCTCAAGGAACTGCAGGCCAAGAAGGGCAGCAAGGGCAAAGGCAAGCGGTCGCGCGATGACAACGACGACGACAACAGCAAGCGGATCTCGGTGGACGAGGCCAAGAAGATCCGCAAGGGCGGCAAGGGCGGCAAGAAGCAGCGGCGATAAGCACGCCCCCGTCACTTACCATAAAAATGCAATTTGTCCTGTGTGTATGTTCTGTTGCTGCATCAATGCATTTTACACAACCAGCATGCGTGCATGTGCTTTATATGTTAGTATGGCTGATACGCAGGAGCTGTTTGCAGAGCTGTTTGGCGACGCGTCTGATGGAGAAGGAGCCGACTCTCCAGACAAAATCGACAACGAATTCGCACACCACGACGCCTTGCTCCAGCTAATGAACGATTCCACCTTCCTCGGGTCCGCTAGCACCCCTCACATCGACGAGCCGGTGCCAGGCTTCAAGATCCACCGCAACGCTCTTCACCCAGCCCTCTGCACCGCATTCTTTAACTGGCTCTCCGCCGAGTACTTTCCCCACACCTCCACCGACACGTCCGCAAAGAGGATCAACCAGGGAATGCACTTTGGCGCCATGACCGACGCCTCCACGCCCTTTGGATTCCTGTCCCGCATGTGCTGCGAGCATCCACTGCTGCTGCCAAAGGAGGTGCGTGAGCGCCCTGTGCTGTTTGATCAAGCAATCATCAACCTATACGACCCAGGCGAGGGAATCGGCGACCATATCGATCTTTTGAGGTTCGGCGATGGGATCGCTGGCTTTAGTTTTGGTGCGCCCGCGCTTTTGCGCTTGAGACCAGTCAAGGACGATGATATTGAGAGAGCAGCAAGGTATGCAGACCATGACAACGGGGTGGTCCCAGGCGAGGTATCGGCATGGATCAAGCCAGGGGATATCTACGCGATGGCGGGCGATGCACGGTTCCGCTGGTCACATGGGTTTCCAGCTCTGCACCATTCGGGTGACCCAGTCCTCGATGGGCGCCGCATATCAGTAACGCTGCGCAAGCTTGCATAAAAAATTTTCTTTGTTTTTCGTTATTTTTTCGGTTCCTTTTCCTCTGCTTCCGTTTTACACAAACTCTCTTTATTTGCCCCATTTACCCAAAATGCCTGTTGCTGAAATTCGCCTCGCCGCCGACCGTGTGCTGGACTCGGCCGAGTTCATCAACAGGACCAGCCAGGACGTCTCCGTGCCGCTCAACGGCGTCAAGGCTGCCGCGCAGAAGATCATGCAAAGGATGCAGCAGATCGGGTACTCGACGGCCGAGTGGAAGAAGAACACTCTGACGCCCAGCGTTGCTGACTCTGCAGCCATAGAGTGGATCTTTGTCGTGGATAGCCTGAACTTTTCGTTCTGGACCGACAAGCCGCAGGCAAACCAGTACACAGTGTCACTTGACGGCCAGGCGTACCGCGGGTACTGGACATTATGCGCAGCAGTGAACCGGGCCATGCGCGAGGGCATCCCTATCACCGATGCAGCGTACTGTGCAGGCATTACAAGAGAGCAAGTGTCGTACATCTTCAGGACAGATGATACTGAAACTCAGGAGCCGATTCCAATGCTGGATGAGCGTGTAAGTGTGCTGAACGAGGTTGGTCGGGTGCTGCTGGAAAAGTACCAGGGCAAATTCTCTAATGTTCTGCGGCAGGCACAGGGCTCGGCACAGCGCCTGGTGGAGATGGTTGTGCGCGACTTTACATGCTTCCGCGACGAGCACATGTACATGGATAGGATAGTGTGCATTTACAAGCGCGCGCAGATTCTGGTTGCCGACCTATGGGCATGCTTCGAGGGCAAGGGCCAGTGCCAGTTCGCGGATATCGATAATATCACAATGTTTGCTGACTACCGTGTCCCCCAGGCACTGTACCACTTTGGGGCTCTGAGCTATTCGGAGCGGCTATTCAACTACCTGGAGTGCAAACAGAACGGAGAACTGTTGGAGAGCGGCCATCCGTGGGAGGTCGAGATCAGGGGGAACAGCATCTGGGCCGTCGAGCTCATCCGGAGGCAGATTACAGCGCTAGGCATGCACGTTAATGCGATTTTGCTGGATTTTTATATCTGGGACTACGCAAAGGAGTTTGCCGATGAGATGAAGGGCATCCCGATCCACCTCACTCGCAGTGTGTTTTACTAGGCCGTAGACAAAATGTATTAGATGATTTCAACCTTTCGACATTCACCCAGCTTGGCTATTACACTGTATCTCGTAGTGCCAGGGAACACTGAGATTATATTGATCTGAATATATATCGCTGTTCACAGTCCGCGCTGACTTGGGCAAATCGCAAACACTACTACTGCGTTTATGATTCATGTTTTTAAACTGAATATAAACCATATTCATAGACACCAGCGTTCAAAACTGAAGAAAAGGAAAAAAGGAAAACTACAGACGCTGCACACTGACATTTCTGAATATTTCGCTGCTGTGCGGTATCTGAGCATGTCAGCAAAACCAGGGCAACAAGCTACGATTGTAGTGGCCACAGACCTCTGCTAGATATCTCCATTGGCTCAGCGTGAGATGCCACTCTCGTTGTCGATCGACCTGAAATTGCCATGGCGTCATCATGGTGGTCATTATCAGCCGCGGAGCACTACTAGACCATCACAGTATGCTATATTTGATCCGCCACACTTGCAAATTTGCCAGTGCTCAATAGCAAAACTAGTACACCAAATGCCAGTAGTGACAGTTATCCAGGCAAATGGTGCCCAAGCCTACGGAGGTTTCCTACCATCAAATGGACTTGAACCACCCGGACAGCCTGTAGCATTCAGCTAGGACAGCTGACAAAAGGACGCATGTGGATAGTGTCTGGACGATTCTTTGTAGGAGCCGAGGTCGGTGGAGGCGACATTGCAGCGGGCCAGATACCCACATACAGCATTTGGCGTGACTGATTGATACAGCTAACGCCACGCCAAGTGCGCCTTGCAGACAAACACCGCACTTGCATTATTCAGTGGGTGTCCAAAACACGACCAATGCGGAATAGTGGTGGCGACTGTATCATGTAAAAGCGCGCATCATGCCCACCTCAGGCCATCCAACCTGTTCTAGCGGTCGCTCTCATTTCGGCAGAAATATTCACTCCTAACGAATCCCAAGCAATGGTGCTGGACCTTATGTTTAGGCCTCTACAGGCTCCGACAGTGTCAAGCATGGTTTGGCCAACCCTATCTATGGTCGTGGCAGTATACGTTGCTCGCCTCATCTACCACGCGTATTTCTCACCTCTGGCATCCATCCCAGGGCCGTTTCTCAACAAGATATCCAATCTACCGCTCAACTACCAGTTAATCCGTGGACAATTTCACACCTACTCAGTCAAACTGCACGCCAAGTACGGCGAGGTTGTGCGCATCGGCTACGACCATATATCTCTTTCAAGCACCTCGGATACACGTATGGTTCTTGCCACTCATGCGTTTCGGAAGGGACGCATGTATAGGGAGATCGGCGGCAACGGATGTGAGCCCAGCATGTTTACTACAACACTTCCAGAAGTGAACAAGGCTCGTCGGCGTATGTTGGGGGATGCGTTTGCGGCACACACGATGCGCGCTGTTGAAGACTTGGTGGTGGACGCTGGTGCCAGCGCGCTTATCACCGCATGGGACAGCGAGATTGCCAAGCAAGGACCAGTTGCCAGGGTTAACTACTACTACGCCTTTCACCGCATGGCAGTAGACGTTATTGGCGCAGTCGCTTTTGGCTCTAGCTTCAATATTCTGAAAACCAGGAACGCGGATATCATCGACTGGCTGCACGATACCGCGATGGTTGCTGCCTATACGAAACCTTGCGCCATGGCTCGCAAGGAAACCATGGGCTTTTAAGAAGCTCAAGGAGTCACGCAGGAAAATTGAACAGATAACATATGACTCTATCATGACCCGCAAGAAAGTGGTCAGCGAAACTGGGCTGCCACCGCGCATAGATGTGCTGCAAAGGTGCATCAATGCTAAAGACCCCGAGACAGGCCAAGGGCTCACGCCACCCCAACTCGAGTCCGAATTGATTCTGATGCTCGTGGCTGGTTCCGATACCACAGGCAGCACCCTGACATGGATAGTGATGAACTTGCTGCACAACCCAGAATGCTACAAGCGCGTTACACACGAAATCCGTTCGACATTCCCCCACACTTCTCAAACGATCTCGTATGCCGATGCCAAAACAAAGCTACCATATCTCTCGGCTGTCATCTACGAAAGCATGCGGATTACCTCACCATCTGCTACAATGCTCACACGGAATGTGCCGGCAGAGGGCGTGGACCATCCAAGGCTTCTTCATCTCGACTGGCTCACAGATTTGTCTGTCTTTTGGCGCCTGCCACCACAACCCTCGTCTGTGGAAGAACCCTGGTGTGTTTGACCCCGAGCGCTTCCTTGGCCCAGATTCAACCAAGAGGATCAGTGACGTTCTTACGTTCAGCACTGGTGTTCGCGTCTGCATTGGACGAAACCTGGCAATGCTAGATATCTTCACAGCGCTTGCCAATATTCTACGCCGGTATGATTTCAAGCTGCCCGATGATGCCCCGTACGGTCCTCACAGACTGAGCCCTAGCGGCATACCAGTTGAGGTGCCTGGGTTGTCTTATCTCGTTACCGGACCAGTAAACCCCAAGAATAATTGCTGGGTCAACATTTCTCTGGCCTGATATAGCTACTTTTTATCACTAAACTTTCCAGATCCAACATGCCTGGGGCCATGAGGCTTGGGGGGGTTATATGCAGTTAGTAGTGTGCATATAGTGGACAACAGGTGAAAGAACTAGTATTTGCAGGATGCCTACATCTTCACAGATATGGCTGGACAGATAGATGTATGGGCTTGCTTGTGCACAGCAGCTATCCAATATGCGCATCAAAGGTCTGCGGAATGATGGAACGCATGTTGCATACTATTTAGCCATTCAGATTAGTGTACTGCAGCCCAGCCTACGTCTGTACTGTGCACGCTTGGCGGTGAAGGCGTGAGAATGAGGCCATGGTGGCGTTGCTGCCAGCAGTAGTAGAGGGCGGGAGACACACTATGGTAGGCAAATGTGTAGGTAGTGCGGACATGTTCTACTTCATCCAATTTACCTCAATTGTTGATTTGGACAAAGAATGGAGACTCTGCACTCACCACTAGCGCCATGCACCGTACCCCCTTTTCTAGTATTATGCGAGGATGCACAATACTGTGCTAGGATTGTCGTTGGCATAGCATGATAGCGAGCGTTGTACTGGATACCGAGCCACTGCATCCAGGACACCACTCTCTCCAGATATACTGCCTGTATCCACTTTCTCTCTAGGTAGCTATTCAATATCTCCTACCTTATAAAAATGATTCTAGAGCATATACTCGGCGCTTTGCAACGGCCTATTGGGTCTGCCACCTTCTGGCCTGTCATCACTCTGGTTGTGGCAGTATACGTCGCACGGCTGATTCGCCATGCATTTTTCACCCCACTTGCCCGCATCCCCAGACCGTTCATGAACAGGCTCTCCAATCTTCCGCTCATGTACAAGCTTTTTTGCGGGCAGTACCATTCATACTCTACTGAACTCCACGAGAAATACGGCGAGGTGGTGCGCATCGGCCACGACCATATATCTCTATCCAGCACCTCCGATACCCGCCTTGTTCTTGCCACCCATGCATTTCGGAAGGGTCGCATGTATGAGGACATTGTTAACTGCGGTGCTGTATTAGATACATTCTCCACAACCGATCCTGAGATCAACAAGCTCCGTCGACGCCAGATAGGCGATGCGTTTTCGATGCGCACGATGTGTAACGTCGAGAGTCTGGTGGTGGATACAGGAGTCAGCTCGCTCATGAACACGTGGGACAGCGATATTTCCAAGCAAGGAGAGGCAGCTAGAGTCAACTATTTCTACTCGTTCCATTGCATGGCTACGACGTCATCGGCGAGCTGTTCTTTGGTGCAAGATTTACCACTCTGAGAACCGGCGTCATGGCCATTATTGACATGGTTCACGACACAACAGGCTTTTCCATATTTGCAGGACAGGTTCCACTTGTTGCTGACATTCCATGGATCCTCAGACGACAGGCAATATGCTGTCATTTGCAATCATGAACCTGATGCACTACCCAGAGTGCTACAAGAGAGTGACCGAGGAAGTGCGCTCGACGTTCTCTGACTCGTCACAGCTGATATCCTTTGCCGATGCCAAGTCAAAGCTGCCGTATCTCTCGGCAGTCATCCATGAGAGCATGCGTCTTAACCCCTCCTTCGCAAGCGTGCTCCAGCGATGTGTTCCAGCAGAGGTGTCACCTTCCAGGACTGCTTCATTCCAGGCGGTTCAAATGTCTGTGTGTCGGTTGCTGCATGCCACCGCAACCCACGGCTTTGGGCCAACCCTGGCATGTTCGATCCCGAGCGGTTTCTCGGTCCTGATTCTGCCAACAGGCTGAGAGATATCTTGACGTTCAGCTCTGGTGTTCGCCTTTGTCCTGGACGGCATTTGGCAATGCTTGAAATCCACACCGTTCCTTGCCAATATCGTACGTAAATACGACTTTTCGTTGCCCAATGACGCTCCATATGGCCTGCATAGAGTCCACATGAATGGCATCCCGGTTGAAGTTCCAGCAGGAGACATTTGGCGTGACTGGTCCAAAGAATCCAAGCGACAACTGCTGGGTCAACATTTCTCTTGCCAAAACTGCTTGAAACATAGTGGTGGATGTCTTTGGAAGATACATGCACATGTGCGGATCACACCTAGTCAGCTTTGTGTCGATAGATGTGGCAACGATGAAGTACATTGCCATCGACCTGCATTTATTAGGAATATGTGCCTTGGTTCATGTATGAAGTAAGGTTTACCACCACCGTTGAAGAAAAAGAGGTTCAATATGGCGGCCTGTTCAGCGAGAGTTTCACCTGGGACATGGGCTTGGCCAGCCAGTTTCTCATTTGACAAATCAGTGCGGCACTATATATAGCCTTCAACATAATTTCCTTGCCTCACCTTCACCGTTTAGCTTTGTATCCGTCGATCTGCCAGCCAACGATCGACATCACCAATGATAGGACCTTGTCTCTTATATCGGTAAATCTGTTTACCAAAGTTGAAGTACAGAGCGCATATGTACTGCGAACACCCTCGTTGACCACCGCCATGTCTTGCTCTTTGAGCCGCCAGAGCTCCAGAGGACATCAGCTGATGCCGCCTCAATGTAACAGATAGCACGCAGCAACAGCAGTGTTGGCCCTATTCAGAAACAAGGCGATTGCAATATCAAAATGCTGATGGACAAACAATTGTTTCTTCTGAGCTAAAAATAAGCGGGGGGTTTGTGGAATAGGGCTGCTAGGTATGAGGGCCTATTTGCGGACCGTGAAGAGAGCGGTGTAGTGGCAGACGGTCTGCCCAGAGGTCCGGGAATGGTGCTGGCCCGGCTATGACGAAACCTATGCTCACCTGAAAAGTGCGATTTGGACTCATTCCAGGTCCATTTGTGCCTCCTATGTTTGTGAAGGTGAAGGGGATACAAACGCGCACTCTGAAGAGCATGCTGTGTTCTGGATCCGCCCTTGAACCCTTTTTCGCCCAAGCTTTATTTTTGAATTTTCTTTTTCTCCCTTTCTACTATTTACATTTTCCCTGCCCTTTCCATTTCGCACTTCGTTCGTTCACGTCCTCCGCTGTTTTTCTTTTTAAAAGTTTCTCAGATACCCTTTTTGTGAGGTTTTCCTTTCTTGCGGTTGTTTCCGGCCATTCGAAGCGAGTTCAGTCTATCCGGCTACTTTTAAAGCTCCTGTCGCTCCGCATATTCCGCTTTCCTTGGCAGTGCGCTCGCAATTTCACAGCTTAAAATTCCGGTTAACTGACACGTATACATACGGAGAAGACTCTCCCACACCACCAGCACGGGCGCCTTTAACACACAGTTCTAAACAGAAAGCAGACGGGTGTCTGGCGGCGCAATGCGATACCGCTTCATAGTTTTCCGGGCCCAGCCAACGAAGGGAACGATTACATTCTCCATATACCTGGAAGAGGTGGTAAGTACATGAGTGCTTCTCTGGAAGGACGGTCTACCTGGTTCATCGGCAGGAGGTGGGGGAGAACCGTTCCCATCGCCTGCATGGCCTGGCGGTTCCTCTCGCTCGTATTGGTCTATAGGGAGGAGCTGTCGATCTCGGCCATGTTTGTCAATTCGATGTTCTGCGTTTAGTTGATTCCAGGTCTCTCTCGCCCCCACCCGCCCACGTCCACAGGCTGGCCTGGTTGCAGATGTGCATTCTTCGGCTCCGCCATTCTTTGTCCGCATACTAACTGGCGTACGCAACAAATAGAGCCCCAGGTTCACACCGGTCCTGCGACTTTCAGCGCGGTCACGTCGCCCACGGATGAGTACTCAGCAAATGAGTTGCCGCTATCGACGGTGCCTCAGCCGAATTCCTCGGGGTCAGACAGCAGCAGTAGTAACAGCAATGGCGGCACACCAGGAGTAGCAGGCGCACGAATCACGCGAACATTAGATCGGACGTGGGACCAGTGCGAATGGTTGCAAAAGAAGCTTTTGCAGAGCTTCCGACTACAGATCCTGCCACCACTGTCAGAGCGGCCCAGCACAAAAAAGCTTGCTGACTCGCTCGCAATCGAGCGGCAGCGGTCACAGATCGAGCGGTGGCTCAACCGGTTGGGTGCACGCGAGAGTGTGTGCGAGAACGGCTCCTTTGACCATTTCATTTCGGGCAGAATGTCCCACGACGAGGTTGGTGGTGCAGACAAAAAATCGTTTTCATCGAAGCTGTTCAACATGTTCACAGGCATCGCTGACCAGGGCTTCAGGATGTACACTCCGATTGGGGACATCAACGACTATGATGAGGACGAAGAAGAGCAGCGGCGCGAGTATATTTTGCGCGTGGAAGAGTACACGAAGGACCTGGCAGATGCGATGTCCAACATGCACGCGCAGGAGGAGGTGCTGGACAAGGGTGTGGTCAAGGTGACGATGGCTATCGAGAATGCGTTTCGGTCGGAATCGATGGCGCCGTATGACGATGGGTCAGTCACAAAGCCGGAAGGCGAGGACCACGAGCGGCTAACGGTCTCGCTTGGACTGCTTCAGAATGCATCAGAGTCTAATTACTGGTCCAACCGAGAAGTAGTAAGTGCGAAAACAGGGTAGTAGCTCGACCCTGCTGCCGTCCCAATGGCCTTTGGTGAAGCATGCCCTCGCTATGCCACGTGGTGTGTTCGCCTCGGTACCAGCATTATTCACCGTTGCCATGCAGTGGAACTGGAAACTATATTGGGTGCAAAGGTACTACTATCTAATCATGCACCACTGCTGTTTGCGTGTAGGCGGTTTGGAAGGACTTTAACTTTGCTGACACGGTCATGGAATACCGGACAATGCTGGGTGGCATCAAGGACGTGATGAACAACGCGACCCAGACCCTGATAATGTACGAGAGGGCGATGCAACGGCAGCAGGGGTACTCGGCCAAGGCCAACAGCCTGCGTGTGCAGTATCCGAGCGACACACCATCAGTGAAGTATGCCAACGAGCAAGAAATACTGGCTGAGCGCGAGCTGGATCTGGCCCGACAAGAGTACGCTGATTCATGCGACATGGTCAAACACGAGCTGGTCCGGTACGAGCGGGAGCGGGCCGCCGGAATGTGCAAGGCCCTGGAGCATACCGCGATGCTGGAGCTCGAATCGGCAAAGGCACGCATGCAGGAGCTGCGTGCTGCATGCAGGAGGATAAAAAACCTGCAGCTGGTCAAGGACCCGCCCCATGCACGCACTAGCATCGGGCCGATGCTGTGGCACGGCACTGCTGCTGGCCAGGCGACAACGCCGATCACCCCCAATACCAGCCTGCCGTCTTCGCTGTCCACACTCATGACACCTGGTTCACAGCCGTCAGTTCAGCGACAACGTTATTTTGGGCGGGCTTTCAAACGACTCCAGGGGGGCCAGCCGCAATTCGCCGTTGGCTGCCCGACTGGATTCTGATGACGACATCTCTGCGTTTGCACACAGCAATGCGAGTGGCAGCAGCTCATCAAGAGCACCACTGGCGGGTGCGCCGGGAGGATCGAAGCCGGCAATACTTCGCCGTGCACGGACAATGGATGGGCCTTTGTATGGGTCTCAAGACCTATGCATCTCCAAAAATGGCGGGTCTTCGTCAAGCACTAGGCGGGCTGGAGGCTAGTGGCACCCAGTCAGCGGTATCACAGCGGCCAAAGTGGAACGGGCGAATCTCAAACCATGCCTTATCAGGGCTACGATCCAGCTACTGACCTGCAGTACCGTCCGGCACTGAACCGCGATCGGCTGGCTGAGATGGAAGTTGAGGCAGAGGTCGAAGATGAGCTGCTGCGCTCAGGGCTGCTGACGCCGCGCCAAATCTACCCGCCGCAAGACGACCCAGAACCAGTTTGTATCATCACCCGACGGATACTCGCCTGGCCATGATGTACCCCCAGTCTTGCCTGCCTTCCGCACCAGCACCTCCTGCTAGTTCCAGCAACCACCACCGGCACACCAACAGCGATTACGGAGTTTCGACGATCCCTAATTCGGTCACTGCATCAGCATATCTGAAGTACTCGCGCGAAACCCTCTCTGCATCCCTCTCTGCGAGTGGTGGCAGCGCGTCGTCGTCGGGGACGCGGTCGCTGCCTGCAACAACGAATAGAGCCGGATCGCCCGGCCCAAGCCGGCCCACAGCTCGGAAACCAACACACCACCACATGCTGCGCCGCGGCTTCAAGGACAAGGGCAAGGGCAAAGCTGCCGCCGTCTAGCAGAGTGCCTAACAGGGTCCCTTGTATACACCATTTCTCTCTTCAAAATACAGAGCTTCTTCAAGGGTATGTATAATGACATTCACGAAAGCTACTCCTTACTTCTTCTTGCTCTTCATAAAGTTGGCCTCCTTGATGACCTTGGACCGCTGCACACGCTGCCTTTCGCGCTCACCAAGCGACTCCTCTGCTGGCGTGTCCAGCAGCGTCCATAGCCACTCAGGGTACTCCTCGTCCTTCAGCGCGACCGGGTCTTTGCCATCCTTGTAAATGTTCAGGCCCTTCAGGACGGTTCCCTGCGTAGCGATCGACGGTTTCCGCTGGGTCTTCTCTCCTGCCAAGTCTACCAAAACGCAAATAGTCTCAAACCAGTCAGCATTCTGTATCATTCAGCGCTGACGTTGAAATGCGGTGTTTGCTACTTGTTTTTTGAAAAGCAGGCGTCCTTACCGTTAGCACCCATTCGGAGCGCAGCTGTGGTTTTGAGTGTCCGGGAGAGCCGGCTAGGCGTGCGCCAGAGCGAGCGTGTATCGGGTTGAAGCGATTCTGGTGAGCATTTTGGAACAAAAACTGTAAATTTGGAGCGAGTTTTTTTACACAAGCGAAGAGAGAAGCATTTATTTGCGTGAGCGCATTTTCGATCCAAGCTGGCGATAAAGTCCAACATTTTTCGCTAGTCGCGAGCCGAGTCGATCAAAAACGAAGAGCCAATAGTGTCTGATAACATGGGATTCAAAAAGTAACATGGAGTAGAACAAGTGTGTTGTTTAGAAGAGACTGCCGGCCATCAGGGCTGCCATGCCCAGAGCTGCCACCGCACCAGCCAGGCTGGTCGCGCCGCTGTCCTTCCCAACAGGCACCGGGCTTGCGCGCTTCTTGGACGACAAACCATCGCCCTTCTTCTTGTCCTTCTTTTGGCCGAGCTCGTCGGCATCATCGGACATATCCATCACCACTGGCGACTTTGGATCGACCTTGGGCTTGGGTTTCCCGAATCCTGTGTTATCGTCAAACTTGTCGACCATGATCTTGAGGTCTGGCGCGTCATCGGAGCTGCACGCCATGCGGTAATCGCACATGCTGAAGCAATAGCTCTTTTCGTGTGCTGGGATCTTGCTCTTATCGCAGGCAGTCCGGCACTCGTTGCGCTGCGCCTCGCACACACGCTGGAATGCCGGCCACTGGTAGCGCCGGACGGAAGCTTCAGCGCCGTTGCTGCATTGGCATTTGGAGCCAAGCGTCGCTGGGTTGCAGAAGGCCTCGCGGGTGTATCCTTCACCGCCGCAAACGTTTGTGCAGTAGAGAACTTGCTCACTACAGAGCTCCTTGCGAAGCTTTTCGCTCAGCTGGCTGGCATCCCACGCAGCGGCGGATGTTGCGAGCAGTAGGACAGCGTACTGTGCAGAGATGTGCATTGCTGCGAAGAGGCTTCTAGTATTAGGCAGGAGAGTGTATTGGTACGGGTTGCTAAAATGCTGGCAGTGGGTTGGACAATTGTATTTGAAGTGCTGATTTTGCTAGTGCTGCTAAAGTCACTAAATTGAGAGGTGCGTGTCTGGATTTATATCGCGCACGAGTAGTGCCCGTCAGTGGGCTACAAGATGAAGATAGAAAACAAGCCAGCATCTGGCGTTTCATGCACATACACGCACGAGCCCATATGCCACCTGGGTGCAACACGCATACCATGCGAATAGCCCTGATGCGATCCAGCACGGATGTAGTAGTCGCAGCAGCAGGAAGAGTGAGTTGGTTTTCTTCATACGGATGGTGCTGTCTTACCAGGAGCGTGGTGTGGCTTTCTCTGCTGAAATGCAAGGCAACAATCTTGCAACAGCGCCACATGCACATGTTGCGCGTGTTTCACACAGAGGGGGTAGGGTGTGGCTTTTTTATCGCGCGTCTTGCACCCATATGACCTTCTGTGTCAGCGGCAATTGCTGGAACTGCGTGGGACTGCGATTCTGGCCAAGGGACCTTCGAGAATACGATGAGGTCTAGCTATACCGTTTTCGGTAGGCTACAGACACTGCTAATAAGTGACTCTGTCACCAATGCCGAAAAATAGTTTGCGTAGCTGGTTTCCCGGATGTGCGCCTGGAGCATGCATCGACCCACTTCGCTCTCCAGCACAGCAGGGGAAGGTGAGACTAGGAAACAAAAGGGGGTAGGCCTTGCATGCGGGTTGAGCGGAGGCGTCGTGCTCCCCTCCCTCCAGGAATTATTTTGAAGTAGGTGTGGAGAGACATGGGTCTTTTTTGCGGACGTGTTTGAATAATGCTAGGAATGTTTACTGTCGTCTGTTTTGAAAACCGTTTTGTATCCTTTTATGCGTACGGTTTATTTTCTATTCTGGCCAGCATTTTCCTCCCCACATTGTCGCTCCGTTCTCCATGCCCAGACGCCATGCTAGCACACCCTCTGCGGCGTTCACCTTTCTTTCTTCCCCTCGACAATTTCGTTCACATATCCGTCTTCATATTACCCTGCCTGTTTCCTTTTTCAATATTCCGCGCCATTAATACTATTATTAGCGGCTGCTAGCATCATCTACATTCCTGCCTCTTCTTTGGACCACAGCTGCGAAAAGCAATACACCCTAACATCTAATCAACCGCCGTCCCTGTTCTGAGAAATGAGAGACACTGGATCTTTTGATGAGCCGAATGTCGCACCCAGCGTCTACAGCCACGTATCGCGTCCGGGCAGCCATAGATACAAGAATGCCAAAAAGGGTCTGCCGTTCAACCTGATGCTGGTGGGCGAGTCCTGGCCTCGGCCGCACGACATTCCTGAACACATTGTGCGAGCGCACAGTGGTTCCCGCCGACGACAAGGAGAATCCCGAGCAGGCACACATCGCCGAGCCGATGCAGTTCAAGCATCACAGTGTCGACATGGAGGAGGACGGCATGCGAATCATCCTGAACATCATCGACACTCCGGGGTTTGGTGACGGCCTGGACAACGAAAACTGCTTCACGCAAATCACCGAGTACCTCGAAGCGCAGTTTGACGACGTGTTGGCAGAGGAGAACCGGATCAAGCGAAACCCCAAGTCAAAGGACTCGCGGGTGCATGCGCTCCTGTACTTCATCACACCCACCGGCCACTCCACTGCGCGAGCTCGACATCGAGCTGATGAAGCGGCTCGGATACCGCGCCAACATCATCCCGGTTATTGGCCGCAGCGACACAGCTGAACGCCGCGTGAGCTTGTGCTGTTCAAGCAGCGCATCATGGCTGACATTGCTGCCTACAACATCCCTGTGTTCAACTTCCCGAACTCTGATGATGACGACGAGGAGACTGTTGAGGAGAACCTCGAGCTGCGTGCCCTGATGCCGTTTGCTGTCGTCGGCTGCGAGGAGGTCATCAATGAGGATGGCCGCCCCGTGCGCGTCCGCACGTACCCATGGGGCGTCGTCCAGGTTGACAATGACGAGCACTCGGACTTTGACCGTCTGCGCTACGTTCTGCTCAACTCGCATATCGGCGACCTGCGTGACAGGACCCACAACGAGATCTATGAGCTGTACCGTACCGAGAAGCTCTCAACCACTGGTGGCGCCAACAGTGCTCCCTCCGGCGTCGGCGGCTGGACAGCCTGCTTTGGGTGCCCAGCCAAGGGCTATCGCCGTCTAAATCTATCAAGGAATCCATGTGGGGGATCTCTCCACTACCTCCATATTCTATCTTCATTCCCCATTCTCCACCTCATATCCTATTTGCCATTTCTCCTTCGTTACTACGGAGCCTTGGGCTATTCTGTCTAGGGGCGATCGACTGGATGCCTAGCTGTCAGCGGTGCGCGGGAGAGCAGCACCAGAGTTCACTCATTTACTTAATAAACCCTTCCAACCAGCCAACCAGCCAACCAGTCCAACCGCTTAGCACGATACAGCAGCGCTACACGTCGTGTAGCTGATGCACTCAAAAGCCCGCAACCAAATATGCAATCACGTGATTGCTAACCATACGCAGAGTTCAGTTGCTCATGAGGAAACCACCAGCAGCACTGCCCGGCGCCAAATTTTTATTTTATTTTTCGTGTTGCAACCAAGCTCCGTCCGTAATCTTATTCTCCCTTCTCAATTTGCGCAATATTCAGCCCTCCTTTTCCTTTGTTTTTCCTTTCCCATATCAGCTCTTTGGCAGGGTATTGCAAGTACAAGTAAAACAGCATGTCTGACACGGTAGAGGGTCTGTTTGACGACTCGGACGACGGGCAGTACTCGGACGACAACCAGGCGAGGCTGGGCACGCGTCGCAAGAACCAGGACTATTCGGACGAAAGCGACAATGGACACGGCTACCACGATGACGAAGAGGACGACTATGGGTACTCTGAGGCGAAATCGGTAAGTAAGCAGACAGTATTAGCCCTAACAGCAGGCAGGTTGTTCACTGGCCCGAGACTACTTAAGCTCGATCCTACCTCTCTGTAGAGCAAACCCAAGAAAAAGCGCCAGAGAACGAACAACTTCCTTGATATCGAGGCCAGTGTGGAAACAGATGAGGATGAAGATGACGACGATGGCGCCGAGCTCGGCGACTTCATTGAGGATAACGAGGCCGAGTTGGCGTCGGCTGAGAAGGACGCTTTGCGGCATCGCAGCTCGATGCGGCCTGCCGTGTTCCAGGACGATGACGTGATGGACGCCGATGCGATGGAGGCGCGCTTGCGCGAGCGGTACAGCGGCTATGCAACTTCGTCGCGGCGTGAAGCCCCACCAGTCGAGTCCGACTGGATGCCGCAGCGGTTGCTGCTTCCTGGAATCAACGACCCACATCTGTGGATGGCGCGGTGTATCCCCGGTAAGGAGCGCGATGCGCTGTTTGCAGCAGCACGACGCATTTTCAACTGGTCCGGGCTCCAAGAAGCTGACCGGTGTCCTGTCGGTGTACTGCCGTGACGGACTCTCGGGCTATATTTACGTGGAGGCACGCAGCCATTCCGATGCACAGGCGGCTCTCGAAGGGCATCCCCGGTGTGCAGGCGTGGAAGCTGACGCTGGTGCCCATTGACGACATGGTGGATGTTGTCAGGGTCAAGTCGCATGCGCCCAAGATCAACCCGTCGTCGTGGGTGCGTGTGCGTCGTGGAAACTACGCAGGCGATCTGGCCCAGGTTGTGTCGGTGCTGGAGTCATCCGACAGCGTTGAGGTGCGGCTTATCCCACGTCTTGACTATGATGCCGAAGCACGCAGCTCGCGCAGCGGCGTCCGGCCTCCTCAGCGTCTGTTCAGTGTCGATGAAGCCCGGCGCTAGCGACCCGCGTGGCCTATCGTCCCGGCAAAACGAGATTCTGTGGAGAAATGACCGCTTCATTAACGGCTATCTGCACAAGGACATGCGGCTCACCTCGCTGCAGGTAGAAAATGTGCAGCCTACGCTCGAGGAGATTGCCAGATTCGCCGCTGGCGAAGCTGATGACGGTGACGAGCAGGCTGCCATTGCTGCGCTTGCCAGCCAGGCTGCTGCGGCTAGCACGATGGATGGCGTCGACGAGGCCAATGGACTTTCAGGCGCGGGACCTTTTGCCTGGAGAGCAGGTCGAGGTTGTGGAGGGCGATTTGGCCGGGGTTGTTGGTGTGGTTCGTGGCATTGAAGGCGACGACACTGTCAAGATCGTTCCTGAGCTCGGCGGGCTGATGCGCAACGGTCGGGCCAGCGTCATGAGCTTCCCGGCGCGCCAGCTGCGCAAGCGCTTCCGTGCCGGTGACCACTGTCAAGGTTCTGAATGGCCGCCATCGCAACGAGACGGGAATGGTGGTTGGGGTATCAGATGCTGTGGTCACTATGTATGCCGATGTAACCAAAGCAGGAGATCCGTGTGCTGGCCAAGGATTTGCGTATCTCAAGCGATATTGGCAGCAGTACGGGCGGCAACAAGCAAGGCGCAATGGTGGGACTCGACGTGCATGACCTTGTGTTCCTTGAGGGCAACACTGTCGGAGTAGTTCTCAAGGTCGACCGCGACACGTTGACCATTCTTGACGAGCGCAACGACACGCGTACTGTTGGCCAGCAGTCGGTCCGGCCGGCCCGCAGCGGGTTCGAGCGCACGGGTGTTGATTTTAACGGGAATCCGATGAGGCGCGGCGATGTGGTGCGTGAGACCTAACGGCGCCCGTAGGCAGGGCACAGTGCTTCAGATCACCCGGTTTGTGACATTTGTGCTGGCTCGCGACCAGGCCAGCTCTGGTGGCGTATTCACTGTGCGCACACGCCAGCTTGAGGCTGTCAACGCACGGAAGAACACAGCTGGATCCGTATGCAACTCGTAACAACCGCTCCAGCAACGATCGTGGCCGTGGCCGGGGTGGATCCCGTGGTGGGCGCGTCGGCAATCTTCGTGGCGGTCGCGACCCGCTCATTGGGAAGAACGTTACAGCCAACCGTGGGCCCTACAAGGGCTACATGGGTATTGTCAAGGATGCCACTGACATGATGTGCCGCGTTGAGCTGCACACTAACGCACGCATCGTCAATATCGAGAAGGAGAAGCTGGTTGTCAAACTGCCATCTGGAGAGGCTATCCCAGCGCTCGAGTTCAATAATGCGCCGATGGGCGGCGGCGGCAGCGGCGGCGGATACAGAGGTACCAGTGGTAGCGGCTCTAACGGCGGCGGATACAGATCTGGCGGAGCCTCCTCTGGCAATGATGCTGGCGGCTGGGGCGCTCCCCCGCGTAGCACCTACAGCGATACGCGCCAGACACCTGTGGCCACACCCGGCAGCAGCACCTACGGCTCATGGGACACTGGTGCCACTAACAGCTCGGCGGCTGGGGGGAGCGGGGGCTGGGGTGCTGCCAGTACGCCTAGCGGAAATTCTGGGTGGAACGTCGGCAGTACGCCGAGCGGGAATGGTGGTTGGGATGCTGCTGCCAGCACGCCCAGTGGCAATTCTGGCTGGGACGCTGCGCCGACGCCTGCTGCCAGCAAGTGGAATACTGATGCAACGCCAAGTGGTAGCTGGGGCACACCTGCGCCCGCCACACCGGGTGGAATCCCTCAGACCCCAGGCGGGCCCTTCCCACAGACCCCTGGCGCCGGGACTCCTGCGTCACGCTCGTACTACGATGCCCCAACCCCTGCTGCTTCTGGCAGCGTGAATGCCAACCAGGACGGCGGGTTCTTTAGTTGGGCCACTGCGGGCGCTGTGGTGCAGCTGCTGGGCCAGCGCGGCACAGTTGTTGATGTGTCATCTGAGCGCCACACTGCCACCATCAAGCTTGAGACAGGCGTCATGCAGAGCATTGACCAGACCAGCGCTGCGCACTTTAACCCGCGGCCCTCGCGCCCGCAGAAAGGCGATCGCGTCATTGTCATGCGCGGAGCACATAAGGGCTCTGTTGGCAAGATGGTCGGCAAGGATGGTAACGACGGGTTCTTCCAGCAAGACGGCGCTGAAAGCTGGATCGTCGAACCGCAGCGTAACATGGTGCCCTACAACCACGACTACTAAACAAAAGTTTTTGCTTTACTCTTTCTATCCGTTTTTCATCCTCTACCAGAGTACATTTCTAACTTTTTAAACTCAGTGATGGTAAACTCCATACATAAACCAAGGCACGTATTCCTAATAAATGCAGGTCGATGGCAATGTACTTCATCGTTGCCACATATATCGACACAAAGCTGACTAGGTGTAATCTGCACATGGCATGTATCTTCCAAAGACATCTACCACTATGTTTCAAGCAGTTTCGGCAAGAGAAATGTTGACCCAGCAGTTGTCGCTTGGATTCTTTGGACCAGTCACGCCAAATGTCTCCGCTGGAACTTCAACCGGGATGCCATCCATGTTGACTCTATGCGGGCCATATGGAGCGTCATTGGGCAGCGAAAAGTCGTATTTACGTACGATATTGGCAAGGACGGTGTAGATTTCAAGCATTGCCAAATGCCGTCCAGGACAAAGGCGAGCACCAGAGCTGAACGTCAAGATATCTCTCAGCCTGTTGGCAGAATCAGGACCGAGAAACCGCTCGGGATCGAACATGCCAGGGTTGGCCCAAAGCTGTGGGTTGCGGTGGCATGCAGCAACCGACACACAGACATTTGAACCGCCTGGAATGAAGCAGTCCTGGAAGGTGACACCTCTGCTGGAACACATCGCTGGAGCACGCTTGCGAAGGAGGGGTTAAGACGCATGCTCTCATGGATGACTGCCGAGAGATACGGCAGCTTTGAGTTGGCATCGGCAAAAGATATCAGCTGTGACGAGTCAGGGAACGTCGAGCGCACTTCCTCGGTCACTCTCTTGTAGCATTCTGGGCAGTGCATCAGATTCATGATTGCAAATGACAGCATATTGCCTGTGGTATCGGATCCAGAAAGGAGCATCAGCTTGATCTCTGCCTCAAGCTGAGCTGGTGTAAGCTTTTGGCCGGTCTCGGGGTCTCGCGCATCGATAAATCTTTGCAGAATATCGTCACGCGGTGGTCTCCCAGTTTCCTGGATATGCCTCTTGCGTGTCTCGATCGTGTCGCGCACCAGCTGCATGCACCTAAGGGTTGAGGCTTTTTGCCGTCTGAGGATCCATGGGATGTCAGCAACAAGTGGATACGGGCAGTATATCTGAAGAGAGTGGTGTCCTGGATGCAGTGGCCCGGTATCCACTACAACGCTCGCTATCATGGTATGCCAACGACAATTCTAGCACAGTATTGTGCATCCTCACATAATACTAGAAAAGGGGTACGCTGCATGGCGCTAGTGGTGAGTGCAGAGTCCCCATTCTTTGTCCAAATCAACAATTGACGTAAATTGGATAAAGTAGAACATGTCCGCACTGTCTACACATTTGCCTACCATAGTGTGTCTCCCGCCCTCTACTACTGCTGGCAGCAACGCCACCATGGCCTCACTCTCACGCCTCCACCACCAAGCGTGCACAGTATAGACGTGGGCTGGGCTGCAGTACACTAATCTGAATGGCTAAATAATATGCAACATGCGTTCCATCATTCCACAGACCTTTGATGTGCATATTAGATAGCTGCTGTGCACAAGCAAGCCCATCCATCCATCTGTCCAGCTATATCTGTGAAGATGTAAGCATCCTGCAAATACTAGTTCTTTCACCTGCTGTCCACTATATGCACACTATGAACTGCATATAAACTCCCAAGCCTCATGGCCCCAGGCATGTTGAATCTGGAAAGTTTAGTGATAAAAAGTAGCTATATCAGGCCAGAGAGATGCTGACCCAGCAATTATTCTTGGGGTTTACTGGTCCGGTAACAAGATAAGACAACCCAGGCACCTCAACTGGTATGCCGCTGGGGCTCAGTCTGTGAGGACCGTACGGTGCATCATCGGGCAGCTTGAAATCATACCGGCGTAGAATATTGGCAAGCGCTGTGAAGATATCGAGCATTGCCAGGTTTCGTCCAATGCAGACGCGAACACCAGTGCTGAACGTAAGAACGTCATTGATCCTCTTGGTTGAATCTGGGCCAAGGAAGCGCTCGGGGTCAAACACACCAGGGTTCTTCCACAGACGAGGGTTGTGGTGGCAGGCGCCAAAAGACAGACAAATCTGTGAGCCAGTCGGGATGAAGAAGCCTTGGATGGCCACCCCTCTGCTGGCACATTCCGTGTGAGCATTGTAGCAGATGGTGAGGTAATCCGCATACTTTCGTAGATGACAGCCGAGAGATATGGTAGCCTTGTTTTGGCATTGGCATACGGGATCGTTTGAGAAGTGTCGGGGAATGTCGAGCGGATTTCGTTTGTAACGCGCTTGTAGCATTCTGGGTTGTGCAGCAAGTTCATCACTATCCATGTCAGGGTGCTGCCAGTGGTATCGGAACCAGCCACGAGCATCAGAATCAATTCGGACTCGAGTTGGGGTGGCGTGAGCCCTTGGCCTGTCTCGGGGTCTTTAGCATTGATGCACTTTTGCAGCACATCTATGCGCGGTGGCAGCCCAGTTTCGCTGACCACTTTCTTGCGGGTAATGATAGAGTCATACGTTATCTGTTCAATTTTCCTGCGTGACTCCTTGAGCTTCTTAAAAGCCCATGGTTTCCTTGCGAGCCATGGCGCAAGGTTTCGTATAGCAGCAACCATCGCGGTATCGTGCAGCCAGTCGATGATATCCGCGTTCCCGGTTTTCAGAATATTGAAGCTAGAGCCAAAAGCGACTGCGCCAATAACGTCTACCGCCATGCGGTGAAAGGCGTAGTAGTAGTTAACCCTGGCAACTTGTCCTTGCTTGGCAATCTCACTGTCCCATGCGGTGATAAGCGCGCTGGCGCCAGCGTCCACCACCAAGTTTTCAACAGCGCGCATCGTGTGTGTCGCAAACGCATCCCCCAACATACGCCGACGAGCCTTGTTCACTTCTGGAAGTGTTGTAGCGAACATGCTGGGTTCACATCCGTTGCCGCCGATCTCCTTATACATGCGTCCCTTCCGAAACGCATGAGTGGCAAGAACCATACGTGTATCCGAGGTGCTTGAAAGAGATATATGGTCGTAGCCAATGCGCACAACCTCGCCGTACTCGGCGTGCAGTTTGACTGAGTAGGTGTGAAATTGTCCACGGATCAGCTGGTAGTTGAGCGGTAGATTGGATATCTTGTTGAGAAACGGTCCTGGGATGGATGCCAGAGGTGAGAAATACGCGTGGTAGATGAGGCGAGCAACGTATACTGCCACGACCATAGATAGGGTTGGCCAAACCATGCTTGACACTGTCGGAGCCTGTAGAGGCCTAAACATAAGGTCCAGCACCATTGCTTGGGATTTGTTAGGAGTGAATATTTCTGCCGAAATGAGAGCGACCGCTAGAACAGGTTGGATGGCCTGAGGTGGGCATGATGCGCGCTTTTACATGATACAGTCGCCGCCACTATTCCGCATTGGTCGTGTTTTGGACACTCATTGAATAATGCAAGTGCGGTGTTTGTCTGTAAGGCGCACTTAGCGTGGCGTTAGCTGTATCACTCAATCGGTCACGCCAAATGCTGTATGTGGGTATTTGACCCGCTGCAATGTCGCTTCCACCGACCTCGGCTCCTACAAAGAATCGTCCAGACACTATCCACATGCGTCCTTTTGTCAGCTGTCCTAGCCGAATGCTACAGGCTGTCCGGGTGGTTCAAGTCCATTTGATGGTAGGAAACCTCCGCAGGTTTGGGCACCATTTGCTGGATCAATTGAGTCACTACTGGCATTTGGTGTACTAGTTTTGCTATTGAGCACTGGCAAATTTGCAAGTGTGGCGGATCAAATATAGCATACTGTGGTGGTCTAGTAGTGCTCCGCGGCCGATAATGACCACCATGATGACGCCATGGCAATTTTCAAGTCAATCGACAACGAGAGCGGCATCTCACGCTGAGCCAATGGAGATATCTAGCAGAGGCCTGTGGCCACTACAATCGCAGCTTGTTGCCCTGGTTTCGCTGACACGCTCAGATACCGCACAGCAGCGAAATCTTCAGAAATGTCAGTGTGCAGCGTCTGTAGTTTTCCTTTTTCCTTTTCTTCAGGTTTGAAAGCTTGTGTCTATAGATATGGTTTATATTCAGCTAAAAGCATGAATCATAAACACAGTAGTAGTGTTTGCGATTTGCCCAAGTCAACGCGGACTGTGAACAGCGATATACATTCAGACCAATATAACCTCAGTATCCCCCGGCACTACGAGATACAGTGTAATAGCCAGGCTGGGTGAATGTCGAAAGGTTGAAATCATCTAATACATTTTGTCTACGGCCTAGTAAAACACACTGCGGGTGAGGTGGATCGGGATGCCCTTCATCTCATCGGCAAACTCCTTTGCGTAGTCCCAGATATAGAAATCCAGCAAAATCGCATTGACGTGCATGCCTAGCGCTGTAATCTGCCTCCGGATGAGCTCGACGGCCCAGATGCTGTTCCCCCTGATCTCGACCTCCCATGGATGGCCGCTCTCCAACAGCTCTCCGTTCTGCTTGCACTCCAGGTAGTTGAATAGCCGCTCCGAATAGTTCAGAGCCCCAAAGTGGCACAGTGCCTGGGGGACACGGTAGTCAGCAAACATTGTGATATTATCGATGTCCGCGAACTGGCACTGGCCCTTGCCCTCGAAGCATGCCCATAAGTCGGCAGCCAGAATCTGCGCGCGCTTGTAAATGCACACCATCCTATCCATGTACATGTGCTCGTCGCGGAAGCATGTAAAGTCGCGCACAACCATCTCCACCAGGCGCTGTGCCGAGCCCTGTGCCTGCCGCAGAACATTAGAGAATTTGCCCTGGTACTTTTCCAGCAGCACCCGACCAATCTCGTTCAGCACGCTTACACGCTCATCCAGCATTGGAATCGGCTCCTGAGTTTCAGTATCATCTGTCCTGAAGATGTACGACACTTGCTCTCTTGTAATGCCTGCACAGTACGCTGCATCGGTGATAGGGATGCCCTCGCGCATGGCCCGGTTCACTGCTGCGCATAATGTCCAGTACCCGCGGTACGCCTGGCCGTCAAGTGACACTGTGTACTGGTTTGCCTGCGGCTTGTCGGTCCAGAACGAAAAGTTCAGGCTATCCACGACAAAGATCCACTCTATGGCTGCAGAGTCAGCAACGCTGGGCGTCAGAGTGTTCTTCTTCCACTCGGCCGTCGAGTACCCGATCTGCTGCATCCTTTGCATGATCTTCTGCGCGGCAGCCTTGACGCCGTTGAGCGGCACGGAGACGTCCTGGCTGGTCCTGTTGATGAACTCGGCCGAGTCCAGCACACGGTCGGCGGCGAGGCGAATTTCAGCAACAGGCATTTTGGGTAAATGGGGCAAATAAAGAGAGTTTGTGTAAAACGGAAGCAGAGGAAAAGGAACCGAAAAATTAACGAAAAACAAAGAAAATTTTTTATGCAAGCTTGCGCAGCGTTACTGATATGCGGCGCCCATCGAGGACTGGGTCACCCGAATGGTGCAGAGCTGGAAACCCATGTGACCAGCGGAACCGTGCTTCGCCCGCCATCGCGTAGATATCCCCTGGCTTGATCCACGCCGATACCTCGCCTGGGACCACCCCGTTGTCATGGTCTGCATACCTTGCTGCTCTCTCAATGTCATCGTCCTTGACTGGTCTCAAGCGCAAAAGCGCGGGCGCACCAAAACTAAAGCCAGCGATCCCATCGCCGAACCTCAAAAGATCGATATGGTCGCCGATTCCCTCGCCTGGGTCGTATAGGTTGATGATTGCTTGATCAAACAGCACAGGGCGCTCACGCACCTCCTTTGGCAGCAGCAGCGGATGCTCGCAGCACATGCGGGACAGGAATCCAAAGGGCGTGGAGGCGTCGGTCATGGCGCCAAAGTGCATTCCCTGGTTGATCCTCTTTGCGGACGTGTCGGTGGAGGTGTGGGGAAAGTACTCGGCGGAGAGCCAGTCAAAGAATGCGGTGCAGAGGGCTGGGTGAAGAGCGTTGCGGTGGATCTTGAAGCCCGGCACCGGCTCGTCGACGTGAGGGGTGCTAGCGGACCCGAGGAAGGTGGAATCGTTCATTAGCTGGAGCAAGGCGTCGTGGTGTGCGAATTCGTTGTCGATTTCGTCTGGAGAGCCGGCTCCTTCTCCATCAGACGCGTCGCCAAACAGCTCTGCAAACAGCTCCTGCGTATCAGCCATACTAACATATAAAGCACATGCACATATGCTGGTTGTGTAAAATGCATTGATGCAGCAACAGAACATACACACAGGACAAATTGCATTTTTATGGTAAGTGACGGGGGCGTGCTTATCGCCGCTGCTTCTTGCCGCCCTTGCCGCCCTTGCGGATCTTCTTGGCCTCGTCTACCGAGATCCGCTTGCTGCTGTCGTCGTCGTCGTCATCGCGCGACCGCTTGCCTTTGCCCTTGCTGCCCTTCTTGGCCTGCAGTTCCTTGAGCTCCAGCGTGGCCATGCGCTGCGCCTCGTTGACGCGCTCCTGCAGAAGCATGATTTCATCCTTGTTGCCCGGGAACTCGTCCAGCTTTTTGCCAATGACCTGCTCGATGCGCTGCAGCAGCTCCACGTCGTACTGGGTCACAAATGAGATAGCACGGCCCGAGCGGCCAGCGCGGGCTGTGCGACCGACACGGTGGATATAGTCCTTGGAGTGGGTCGGAATGTCGTAGTTGACGACAATGTCGACGGCCGGGATGTCGAGGCCACGCGAGGCCACATCAGTGGCCACCAGGACGTTGCGCTTACCAGACTTGAACTTGTTCAGCGCGCCCATGCGGCGATCCATGCTGAGCTGGCCATGCAAAGGAATAGCCTCGATGCCCAGGTTGCGCAGCAGCAAACCGATACGCAGAACCTCGTTACAGGTGCGCGCAAACACAATCGCCGACTGTCCCGCCATTTCGTTCAGCAGCCACACCAGATAGCAGTCCTTGCGCTTGAATGGGAAGAACATGTAGTATTGCAGCAGCTTGTCGGCAGTTGAGTACTTTGTCGACACCTCAACCTTGACAGGGTTTGTCAGCGACGCCCTCTGCAGCTTCGCTACCTTGGTGGTCATGGTGGCTGAGAACAAGAACGTGTTTCGCTCGCGTGGGATGACCTTTAGGATCTGGTCAATCTTGGGCCCAAAGTCGAGGTCCAGCAGCCGATCTGCCTCATCCATGACCAGGTATTTTAGCGTGCGCAGCGAAAAGCCCTTGGTGTTCTCCAGGTGGTCCTGCAGACGGCCCGGGGTGCACACCACCACGTGTGGCTTACGCGACAGGGCGATTTGCTGTGCAATCATGTCCATGCCGCCAACGACTACTGCGCACCGCGCGCCAATCGCCGAACCCAGCGCCTCAAATGTCTCTGCAATCTGGAACGCCAGCTCGCGCGTCGGCGCCATCACGCACGCAAACAGCGGGGACGGGTTCTCCCAGAGCGCCTGCAGGATCGGGAGCGCAAAGGCAGCGGTCTTTCCGGAGCCGGTCTGCGCCAGGCCGATCACGTCGCGGCCCTGCAGAGCCCAGGGAATCGCGTCGCGCTGGATCTCAGTGGGTGCCTTGAAGCCAAGCTTGTCGCAGGCCTCGCACAGCTGTGTCATGACGCCGATATCGGCAAACGATTTGGGTGCCTCTTCTGTGTCCGACATTGTGGAATTGAGGTAGTTGGAGGCGAAGATAAATGAAGAGACAGTGGTGAAGGAGGGCTTACCAATGCGCTCCAAAAAAGTTTGAATAAAAAAGCCGAGGATCCGCAGTGATCCGATCCGCAGTGATTGGTCTGCGGATCAGATCGCTATGCAGAGGCAGCCCGCTGTTTATTGCGCGGATTAGCAGGATCGACGTTGACCAAAGCCGCACGCGAACCGAGCAGTACCGGCAATGTTTACATTTGCGAAGTCACAATTGCCGTTGCAATGGCGATCATGCAGCATGTCGCTGCCGACGATGACGGCACGGACGATGTGTGGCGATGTCCTGGCATCCCATGGAGGCGGGCTAAACCCCGAGTCACATCAGCCTAGCCCAAGGCAATATTCCACCCAATCCCGCACGGGCTGTGGTGGTGGTGGTTGTGTGTGGGACCATCAGTCTGTGGGCACTGCGGGACGATGGGGTTTAGAAAGGCTAATTATAGATCGCCTGGAGCCCGGAATAGCCGAGGTCTGGATAAAAAGTGGGATTGCTTGTGCATGGGGACGGGCTGTCTCTGGAGAAAAACAAAAAGAAAGTTTGCAGCGGCAGGCTCTGTGCAGGCTGCAATCCGGTGGCGAGAGACCGTGTGCAAAGAGAAAAGAAAAAGGACGAGGCAATAAAGCATTAACTGCTTGGAACTGCCCAAGGGAATGTTGTGAGAATTACATGTGTGGAGGTGTGCATGCCCTCACTCCACGCTAGAGCGCTGGCCATCCTCTCCCCAAAAAAAACGGTTCACAGTGAAGAAAAAGTCGACTGGCTGCTGTATTGTGTCTGCGCGGGTGGATTCAGCCAGTGGGCGAGGGATGTAGGTTAAAGGGCGGGCGGTTGCAGCTCTTGTCTGCGCTAAACAATCCTGCTCGCCTTTTTTTCCACTCATCCAGTCTCTAGGCCTTCCTTGGTTACACACATTGCCTGTGTGTTGTATTAATAGCCTGGTTCAGCCACTATTTCGCTGTGCTATCCGTTCTCCGATTCTATAAATCTCGCCCTTGCTCTCTGTCGTGGCTGGTTGGCCCAGAGGCATCTTTTTCTCTCTCAGTGAAAGACACGGTTGTTTAGCGAATAGAGTGGTGTATTTTCGTGCCCAGCAAAGAAAGTAATAGCGTACTTGCTTGGACCGGTGATCCCCCTTCCTTCGCGTTTGTTTTTGTGTTCAATCTTGGGTCTTCCCACTCGCTCTGCTCCAGCATCCCTCCCTTCTTTCTGTCCACCTAGGCTTTCTCGTTTTCAGCTTATTCTTCGTTTTTCTACCCGTCTCCCGTCTTCGCCGCAACACTCCCTCTTCCCTTTCATCGTCCACCTTACTATACGACCTACATTTTTTCATTCCACCGTTTCACATATCCCGCCATGAGCAGCCATTGTACGATTGGGCTCCGGGGCCTGCTGACATTTGCACTATGCGCCATGCAGCTGGTGCTTGTTCTAGCAGCCAACAAAAAGTGCAACGGATCCAGCGAGCTGTGTTCGCGGGCATTCAACGAAGTATCACACATCTCGACACATGCTTCATTTGCGATGGTAGACAGCTCGAACTCGAGCTTGCCGGGCACGCAGTACAAGAACATCAAGCAGCAGCTGGAGGACGGGGTGCGTGGGCTGCATCTGGACATCTACAAGGGCTCGACGGCGGGCTCGGTGAATTTGTGCTTCCCCGACTGCAGCGTGATCAACGGCGGCACGCTGGCGGCGACGCTGGAAATTGTGAAGGCGTGGCTCGATGGCAACCCCAACGAGGTGGTGACGATATTCCTGGATGGCGCTGAGACCACGGCGGACCCAGCTGCTGTGGAGCAGGCGTTCGTGAGCTCGGGCATCGACACATACATGCTGCCCAGCAAGGCGGAGACTGGGAAGTGGCCGACGCTGGAGAAGATGATTGCCGACGGCACGCGGCTGGTGGTGTTTGCCGAGTCGCCGGCCATCTCAGACTACAAGCAGCACTTTATTAAGTTTAAAGGAATAGTGCTCAAGCTCGATGGCCCGTTCACGTACGGCGCCGAATGGACGTGCGGGCCGTGGACGCGGTCGACCGAATCGATTCTCCTGATCCCGCACCTGATAGTCCAGACAGCGATGATCAACAAGGTGCAGCACACGAACCTGCCGTATCCGTTCAACCTGGGCACGACCAACGGGTACCAGCTCGAGTACCATGCAGTTACATGCCGCGGTGGGCAGTCGATCTGGATGAACTTTGTCGAGGTCGACTTTTACGACAAGGGCGATGTGTGGACGCCCACGCAGAAGTTCAATGCGCTGCCGTATAAGGGCGACGATGTGGGCAACTTCTACCCAGAGTTCTTTGATGCCAAGGTGAACAGCGATGGGCGGGCGATTGTGGACCTCAGTGGCGCTCGGGCTGTCGGGCCAGCGGCAATGGCGTGGACGATGGCTGCGGTGGTGCTGTCGCTGGCTGTTGGCGGCAGCGGCCTGCGGATATGAGCAGAGGGCCGCTTTCATGTTCAGTAGTTTCTGTGCGCTTTTCTTTTTCAATTCCATCACACTAGACATTCTCACCCCATTTTCGAGGCTCCTCCACACAGCATTCCAGCCCATCCGGCTGTCTCTTTGCTGGCATTCCCTGATCTCAACACCTTCTGTTTGCAGCTGAAGATCATCACGAGTATGAAATTAATGTAAAAGTCGAAAATACCAGAATTTGAAGCTTGTTTTTGTTTAGGGTAGAAAAATTACTGGGGAAAAGAAATCAAGAAGCAGAAATCAAGAAGCAGAAATCACTGGCTCCGTCCGAGCGCCCAGCGGCTTCCGAGAAGCAGCTCTCTCTAGTTGAGCGGAGTGCGGCCGTAGGCGCGGCGCCACATGGAGTCGATCTTCTGCAGATAGAAGGTGCCGGGGAAGAGCTTGGAGACGTCGCTCTGGGGCTCGTACTCGAGGGCGTTGTGGGTCTTCTCGCGCAGGGCCATGATCTGCTCGAACTCGACGGGCGAGATCTTGGTCCGGCTGTCCAGACGGGCCTTGAGGTCAAGGGCCTTGGCGATCTCCTCGGTGTTGCCGCGGACGCGGAACGAGTACATGGACGCGGCGCATCCGGAGCCATAGGAGAACAGGGCAATGCGCTTGCCCTGGAGGTCAGCCGAGGACACCTCGGTGAGCAGCGAGGCCAGGCCAAAGAAGACCGAGCCCGTGTACATGTTTCCGATGTTGGAGGCGGCCAGCAGCGAGGGCTTGGTCTTGGCGGCAAAGGCCTGCTTGGAGACGTTAATGAAGGCCTTCTCGAGGACCTTGTTGGTGTACGAGTCCTCGCGGGCAATGTCCTTGAACTGCTGGACATCGGCGAACTGCGGGCATCGGGGCTGCGCAAAAAGTCGTTGTAGGCGATACGGCCAAAACCCTTGATGACCTGCTTGGTGTAGGGCGAGTGGAAGACCAGGTAGTCGACACTGTCCAGCGAGGCTGCGGACTCGGCCGCGCGCTTCTCCAGGGCATCGATGTAGGCCAGGTACGCGTTATCGAGGGCACGCACATACGAGGTCACCGACAGCGGGCCGTCGACGGTGGGGAACTCGGACGACATGTTGGGCTTGTAGAAATCGTAGGTGTTCTCCATGAAGGTGCCGCGCAGCGGGAACTCGAGCGCCAGCGGGGCATCGGGAGCAACCAGCATGCAGACGACGCCACAGCCGCCCGACGGCCTGGCGTTGCCCGACGCATAGACGGCGATATCGCCGGCCACCACCAGCGCCAGACGGCCGTCCCACGCCGACGAGTCCATCCACTGGCAGGCGTTGAAGAGCGCCGAGGTGCCGCCGTAGCAGGCGTTGGTCGTGTCGATGCCCTCGACGTTGAAGTTGCCAGACTCCTCAAACAGCTTCATCAGCACCGTCTTGGTCGACTTGCTCTTGTCGATGATCGTCTCGGTGCCCACCTCCAGGCGCCCGATGTCGCTGTACGACACGTTGTACTTCTCCATGAACGACTGCACCACCGTCAGGCACACTGACGAGATGTCCTCGCGGTCGTCGCAGAAAGCCATCTTGGACTGCCCCAGACCGATCGTGTACTTGCCGGCCGACACGCCGTCGTGCTGCTCGAGCTCGACCTGGTCGACGTACTAGAGAGAGGAAGAGGGAGGAAGAGAGAGGCATTGAGTGCTACTGCTGCTGCCCGGCGGCTGATGTTGTTGTGTGCACACGTCCCGGGGGGCTCTCCTCATCTTTGCAAAGAGCATGAATTCAACTTACACGGCTCGGGAAGTAGACCTCGATGGCACGGATACCAATGTTCTCGGCGCGGGCAACCATGGTTTTTCTGTGTGGTTTCTTTGTGCTAGTGGAAAATGTAGAGGAAAAGCTGATTAATGGATGAAAAGGAGCAGAGATTTCAATTCTTCTTGGCTCTGTCTTCAAAACATCTGAAAGCGCCCTCCCCCTGCTGCTTCGTCTTTGCGCTGTCTAAAAAATCCGCTGTCCCTCCTGGCTCCCCCCTCCCCCAATGTGCCCGCCAAAAGGGCGATGCTTGACATTGGGAAACCCCAGTAGGAGACCATTGATTGGGCCGGCCGAGTTGGGTGCACAATGCAGCCAAGAGTCGCTATGGAACTTGCTGGCAGTTGCCAAGTCGGAAACTGCCAGCACCAGCAGCGGATGGTGTGCGATCGTCGCCCTACGCTATTTTATTTTGCTGCTGCTTAGAGGGAGAACAGAGGGATCAGCTCTGTCGGCCTCTCGGCTTATTCATCCAGGACAGCCAAAGCACGACATGCCGCAGGCGGATCAACTGCTGGCGTTCGTGTCTGGGCGTGCATTCCACAAACAAGCAGATCGCGTTGTCGGGTAAAAACGCCAGTATTTTTTATTTAGCAGTCCTACTCGCTTCTGGCGCTCGAACTGGGAGCAGAGTGGGTTACGCAAAACCTCCTCCGGAATATATCGGCCGAGACAAGAAAGGCTGACCGGCAAGGCATGGGGGAGACCGCATGGCTCGCAATTTAAAAAGACCGCTGCGATTCAGGCCTGGCGGAGCTCCTTCAGTGCTTCAACAAGCCGCTCGTAGTCAGGGGTGCCTTCAAACGACTCCTTGCCCTTGCCAATCAGGCCCCTGAGCAGCATCTTTGTCTGGTGCTTCCAGTCGCTGCACACGGGCTGCTCGATGGCAGCGGCCTTGCGCTGGTCGTCACCAGCGACCTCCTGGTCGTTTTGCTGCTGGCCGTCTTGGGCGGAGGGGGCCTTGACAACCTGCACCTTGTCGCCGAGGTTCTCGTACATGTCGGCAAGCTCCAGGGCGGCATCGACGGCATCCTTGAAGACCGGCGGGGCGTAGGACACCTGGGGGCATCTGCGAGTAGCAGCGGTACGCCTTGATGTAGCAGTCGAGGCAGTGCTTGTAGTCGCGGCGCCAGAACCAAAAGTCGGCCATGACGCGCCACAGCGGGGCGGAGTTGGTGATCTTGGCCTCGATGGCATTGACCAGCAGATGCTCAATGTACTTGGAGTACTGCTGCTCCTTGCGGCGGGCCTCGCGCTCATTGTCATTACGTGTCAAGGTGCCGCGTGTCAGCGACGAGATGATCCCGCGCAATATGTCCAGGTCGACGCAGGCAGCGCCGTCCTTCTCGGCCCGCAGCTGCACGATACGGGTCCAGGGCGTGGATGGCGGCGCCGATCTGGTCCAGCGCCATGGATGCGGTCAAAAAGTTGGACCAGATCTGCCACGAGTCGTATTTGCCCTTCAGGGCCTCGCGCAGCGCATACCACGCCTGCTGGCGCTGTGACGCGTCATTGGACCGGCATGTGGATGCTGGCCAGGTTGTTCCAGGCCTCCGAGTTCTCGTAGTCAATATGGACCACCTGCTGGAAGGCGTCCACGCGCGGTGTCGTAGTCGCCGGTCTTGAGCGCCGCGCACCCCAGGATGTTACCACGAGCGCTCGAACAGCGGATTGAGCTTCAACGCGTGCTTGTAGCACGCGACGGAGTCGTCGAACTCGCTGCGCGCGAAATGGGTAGGCGCCCAGCGAGCGCATGGCGCGGGCGTAGCGGCAGCCCGAGAACATCCCAGGCGTGGCGCCAGTGGGCCGGGTCCTGCTTGAGGTCGCCCAGCAGGCACCACAGCTTGGGGCGGCTCGGGGCCAAGTCGAGCTGCTCGCGGATGATGCGCTCAGCAACCTCCTCCTGGCCCAGCATCTGGTAGCACGCGATGACCTCGTCCCACATGTGCAGGCGCTCAAAGATATCCAGGGCCGAGCGCACGACGCCCAGGGCCATGAACTGCTTGGCCAGCTCGCGCTCCAGCTCCCACTGGCTGGGCAGCGCCAGCGCATGGAAGAACTGCAGGCGCTCGCATGGGCCCTGCCTCGTGGGCCTCGGGCAGCGGGTGCGAGATCTGGTCGACCAGGGCCTGCAGCTGCAGCGTCGCGCGCTCCACAGTGCGGGTTTTGGCTGCCTCCAGCCGCGACCGCTGCAGCAGCGCCATCGTGTAGATGCTCCAGTTGCCCGGGTGCTGCAGCACACGCACCACAAACGGCATCATCTGCTCGGACGTCAGACCATGGGCCGGGTTTTCGTTCTGCACATTCAGGCACAGCGCCAGCAAAACACTCGCGTCCAGCCCCCGCAGCTGCCTGCTGCCCCGATATGTCCAGATCCGTGAATGCAATCTGCTCCAGCAGCGTGTCGTCGTTCAGCGCAAAGCTCTCGGGCGCCGCCCCCTGATCTGCCTTGCGGGCCGGCTGGGCGCTCTGCGCTAGCAGCACCAGCTGCGCGGTGTCGGAACTCTTGGAAACCGCGTGCGCTTGCCCTTGGCGCCTGTGATTTCCCACTGCAAGCCCGCTGGCCGCCTGCGCTGCCGTTAGCTGCTGCACCGCGTCCCGCGTCATCTGGTGCTGCGCATAGGCCACCCCGTGCTCCCATGCTGAGCCTTGCCCACAGCTCGCGGTCGCCCGCCCCACCGCATCCCATGTGTGGGTCGCCGCCGACCGGCTCATCGGCTCATTGCACCGTCTCCTGCACCTCCACCACGCTGTCCTCGCCCAGCTCCGGCACCGGCTTCGGCAGGCGCCGCCGGCATCCTGCTGCTCCACAGCACTGTAGCCGTCCATGATCTGGTCCAGCAGCGACTGGGCCGGGTACTCCAAAAGGCTCTGCTGTGCGAGCAAAACACGGGATGCCCACCACCTTGCGCTGCCTACCGCCTGGTCGCGCTCATCCGCACGCCATGTCCACCAGCAGCCAGCGGGCAAGTGCCAGAAACAGCGGCCGCGGCGTCAGCGTATTACGCCTCCTCGCCGTCGGCTGCCAACATCTCCAGTAGCGACTTGGTCGGAGCGCCGCCCGCTCCTTGCTCTGCTCCGCTCCCAGATACACGCGTCCCCAGCTGGTCACGTCGCCCGATCTCGTGCTTGGAAGCGCCTTCGGGCAGCTCTGTAGGCGCGGCTGCAATAAACCTTCCTTGTACTTGTCTGCCACGGCCAGCAAAAGCTCTGCCGGGTCCATTAGGAACTCGGGGCCCGTCCAGTTCGTCTGGATGAACGCCTGCAGTGCTGCTGCTCCGATCCATGTCAGAGATGCCCAGCCTGCGGCCCCGTGCTGCGTGGCGAACTGCTGCGCCTGCTGCTGCGCTGTTGCCTGCAGAGACGACGCCGTCACGTCCTCGTCTGCGGCCAGCGTGCGGAATAGATACTGCGCTGCCTCCGACCGCAAAACCTGCTCGTACTGACCCTGGCTCAGCAGCGCTGCCAGCGCCTCTGCGCTCTGATCCGTCTGTGCGTCTGCGCTCCGATCCACCGTCTGCCCCAGCAGAAGCTGTCTCTCCAGTGTGCTCAGCGCCATGGTCGAAATAAAGTATGGTGTGGAATACAGGATGGTGTATGCTGAATACAAGGTCGATGCAGCAGCAGCTTTTATCCCTTTTATAAACGAAAATTTTTTTGAGAGAAGTTCAAAGAACGTGCTGAGTAATGGCTCTGAAAAAATCACTGGCTGCCTTTTGTCACTTTGGCCACTTTGAGCGTCACCTCCCTGCCCCGCAGCCCCCTCGAGCTACATGCGTAAACTGACCCGTCCTTCGAGCCCGCTCTTGCTTCCTCAGCTTATACACTTTTCCAATTCCTAATTTGCTACAGCCCGCAATGAACATCAAGGTCAAGGTACTATTCCACTCGCGCATTCCAATCTGCGCCCCCACACACCGCAGCCACCACGCATTCACCAAAACTAACTGCCCCACACCCGCCCTCATAGACTCTCACCGGCAAGGAGGTAAGCGACAAAAGCACACGCCACCTGCTCCCTTCCTCGTTCCTGCACTGACAGCAACCCGCCCCTTTCCGCGTAGATTGAGATTGATATTGAAAAGACGTCGACCGTCTTGCAGATCAAGGAGCGCGTCGAGGAGAAGGAGGGCATTCCCCCTCCCCAGCAGCGCCTGATTTTCGGCGGCAAGCAGATGGACGACCCGAACACCGCCGAGTTCTACAAGATCGAGGGCGGCTCCGTGCTGCACCTGGTACTGGCCCTGCGCGGCGGCTCAAACTAACACCTCTCCCTCTTCAAACAATACCATCCCAATCCTCATCCATCTGCCATGAAATGCTGTTTGCGATTTTTTTGTTGTAGCTTGGCATATTCGAAAGAAAGGCTGGAGTCTGGTTTCTAGTAAACACGCTTGAACGGCGGCACTGCCTTGCACTCGTTCTCATCCAGAGTGTTGGCCATCACCCCACGGTACTTGAGCTCGACCGGCGGTCCACTTCCGTCTGGTACGACAGCGTGTGCTTCATCCACTCCTTGTCGTCGCGCTCAGGGAAGTCCTCGCGCGCATGCGCACCACGCGACTCCTTGCGCGCCACCGCCGAGTTGATGGTCTGCGTCGCGCACGTCAGCAGATTGCGCAGCTCAAGCGTCTCGATCAGATCCGAGTTCCAGATCAGCGACCGATCAGACACACGCACCTTGTTGTACAGCTGCGACACCTCCGTCATCTTCTCCACACCCTCCTCCATGACGTCCTGCGTGCGGAACACCGCCGCGTGGTTCTGCATCGTCTTCTGCATCTTCAGACGCACCTCCGCCGTCGTGTGCTCGCCGTCCGCAGTCCGCGCGTAGTCGAGGTCCTTGATCGACTGGTGCGTGACCGACGCATCCATGTCCTTGTGCGGCACATTGCGCTCAAACTTGGATGCAATGTCGTGCGACACCGCACGGCCAAACACAACCAGATCCAGCAGCGAGTTGGCCCCAGGCGGTTCGCTCCATGAACCGACACCGACGCCGCCTCACCCGCCGCGTACAGCCCAGGCACAACCTCGTCCGAGCCGTCCGCTGCCAGGCGCACAACCTCACCTGTGTAGCGCGTCGGAATGCCACCCATGTTGTAGTGCACGGTGGGCAGCACCGGGATCGGCTCCTTAGTCACGTCGACTCCCGCAAAGATACCGGCCGTCTCGGAGATGCCCGGAAGCCGCTCCGCCAGCACATCAGGCGGCAGGTGGTGCAGCTGCAGGTAGATGTGGTCCTTCTCGGGGCCAACACCGCGGCCCTCGCGGATCTCCATCGTCATCGACCGCGACACAACATCACGCGATGCAAGATCCTTAGCCGTCGGCGCGTAGCGCTCCATGAACCGCTCGCCCTCAGAGTTGACCAGGTAGCCGCCTTCACCGCGGCAGCCTTCCGTCATCAGGCACCCAGACCCGTAGATGCCGTCGGGTGGAACTGCACAAACTCCAGGTCCTGCAGCGGCAGACCAGCACGCGACACCATCGCCATGCCGTCACCAGTGCAGGTGTGCGCCGACGTGGCCGAGAAGTACGCACGGCCGTAGCCTCCGGTGGCAATGACCGTGTTGTGCGCACGGATGCGGTGCAGCGTACCGTCCTCCTGGTTCAGCGCCAGCACTCCGCGGCACACTCCGTCCTCCATCAGCAGATCCAGTCCAAAGTACTCGACAAAGAACGTCGCATCGTACTTGAGCGAGTTACCGTACATTGTGTGCAGCATCGCATGCCCGGTGCGGTCCGCCGCGCAGCACGTGCGCCGCGCCTGTCCGCCCTTGCCGTACTCGAGCGACTGCCCGCCGAACGGCCGCTGGTAGATCGTGCCCTCAGGCGTACGCGAGAACGGCAGACCCATGTGCTCCAGCTCAATCACCGCCTTCGGTGCCTCGCGACACATGTAGTGGATCGCGTCCTGGTCGCCCAGCCAGTCACTGCCCTTGACCGTGTCGTACATGTGCCAGCGCCAGTCGTCCTTGGTCATGTTGCCCAGCGCCGCGTTAATACCACCCTGCGCTGCCACTGTGTGCGAGCGCGTCGGAACAGCTTGGTCACACACGCAGTCTTGAATCCGGCCTCGGCCAGACCCATCACCGCCCGCAGGCCAGCACCACCGGCTCCCAGCACAACCGCGTCGTACGTGTGGTCAATCACTTCGTACTTGGGCGAGAATGTGTTCGTCGCCTCCTTGCCGCGCAGGGGCTGCGTGCCAAACACGCGTCCCGCCGTGCGCGAAGCGTGGAACTGGCGGGTACCTTGAACCTAAATACCAACCAGGCTGATTAGAGTCAGCGCCTCATGTAGATGCATGTGCACGAGCCAGACACTGGCAGAGGCGTGAAATCGGACAACGCAGCAGTCCTTTCGGCCAAAGGAGAATTTCTTTTTGATTTTCTCCGGAACCATGACGTGCTTTTAGATAGCCACACGCCAGGCAGGCTTTACGATTCTGCTCTCAATTTCGAAATCTCGAAAGGGAGCGGAATACTTACCAGAGCCTTCGCGGTGTGCTGCTGCAAGGTAGAAAGTCGAGAGCTCAGCATCCTTGTATAGAGAGAAATACTTGAGGTTTTTGATGAAGCAGAAGCCCTGCAAAAAGGAATATATATAAAACGCTTGTGGAGATAAAGGAGGAGAGGAAGAAAAAGAAGAGGACGGCTTCCGAAAAATACCAAGCAGGCCGGGTAGGGGCTTCGTTTTATTTTCCGAAGAGATAAGATTACGCTGGCTCGAGCTCCTGGCGAGGGCTGCTTTTTCCTTATTGCCTCAAACGACGAAAAATCTCCTTGTTTACGCCAGAGTCGGGAGAGAGATTTTCCTTTTATCTTCGCCCGACCCGAGTCACTCCTGCGGGACTGGCTCATTCCGGCCGGTTCCTAGCGCAAACCATTGCCTGGAATCGGGTTTTATTGCTGCACAACCATATTTTGCGCGCTGGATCGCTGGCTGATGTATCATACGCCGCCCCTCTTGCTGCGCCATGCCCGCTGCTTTATGTTTATCGTCTTCTACATACTTGGCCTTGTCTCTTCCCTCATGACCCTCGCTCGAATGGCTACCAGAACCAAGGCCAAGCGGCCCGCTGCCGCCCCTGCCACCACAGGCGCTACAACTCGGGACGAAAGACGTTCGACTATTTCGGCCAAGCAAAAAAGCACAAGCCCGACGATGCTTCAGCTGTCGCTGTGCCCACACACAAAGTGCGGTGGCGGGACCTGCGCGGGACATGGATCGGAACATACATGGCGCCCACCCCTCCTCGAAATTCGCTGCCTTCGACCTGGACAGCACGCTCATTGAGGTCAACGGCGCCACCGCTTCCCAAAGAACGCCAGCGACTGGCGTTTTCACCACCCCAAGGTGCCAGAGCTGCTGCGCAATGTCCACAAGCAGGGCTACAAGATTGTGATTATATCGAACCAGAACGGCCTCAAGCCCAACAAGGGCTCGACAGCGCTGACTAAGAAGGCTGTCGAGTTTCGTGACAAGATCTCGCAGATCGCCAAGCAGCTCGACGTGCCATTCACCATCCTGGCTGCCACCGCCAAGGACTATCTGAGGAAACCGAGCCCTGGCATGTGGATCGCAGCCGAGCTCGACAATGCTGGTGTTGCTGTAGACCGGTCGCTGAGCTGCTACGTCGGCGATGCTGCTGGTCGGCCGGGAAAGGGCAAGGCTAAGCCGGACTTTAGCGACTCTGACTTGGCCTTTGCTCTGAACCTCAACGTACCCTTCTATGTGCCTGAGGAGGTGTTTACCAAAGACATCCTGTCCAAGGACGAGCCGTTCCGCTGCCCACGCCGCAGGACTGGACCATTGGCCGCTTCCATCCCAAGGGTATGGATTCAGCAGGCGACGCGCACAAGGAACTGGTATCCAAACTCGCCACCAGAGCCGCCAAGGCCGACAAGGACAACCGCCTTCTTGTATTGCTGGTCGGACCACCAGCCAGCGGCAAGTCCACGTTTGCAGCAAAGCACCTGGTGCCCCTTGGTTTCGAACACATCAGCATGGACACGCTCAAGACTCCGCGCAAATGTCTGGCCACTGCATCATCCGCCCTGTTCAAGGGCACACCTGTTGTAATTGACAACACCAACCCCGATCCTGCCGCCCGCAAAGCATATATCGACGCTGGGAAGAAAGTGGGTGCTGACTGCATATGCATCCTGTTCGACTGCAATGGCCGCGAGCTGGCTCTTCACAACAACAGCTACGTGCTAACCTGCCGCAGTCGAGATTTCTGCATGCGACTGAACCCGGCCAAAGCCTGGGGGATCTCCCAGCCAGGCTAGACAAGGTGCCCGATGTCGCCTACAACATGTTTTTCAAGCGGCTGGCTCTGCCAGATGCAAAGGAAGGCCTGTCTGAAATCATTCACTATCCGTTCATTCCCAAGTTCGACTCTGCCAAAGACCACGAGCTCTGGCACCAGTTCTATTAGCACCAGCAGGCCATAGCACCGTGCAATTAACATTATTATGCCTCGTACTGAGTGAGAAGTGATGTGCTTTAGATGCTGAGATATATGGCCAGAAACAGGCATTACTCGTAATGAAAAACGGAACTGAGTAGGACCGAGCGCCCAGCGCCACGATATATACCTCACCAGCCGCAGCCACCACATACATCTGTGATCACACCTTTGGTGGCTATCAGCCGTAGTGATATATTAGCACAGCTGTCTATGCCCATGTGCCGGGACAAGCTTGCTTTAGTGCAGCAGGTAAGAGGCTCTTCGTTTGCTGGTGGGCCTGGCCGCTCCGAGTCGACTGACATGCCAGGACAGGAGGTTGCCCCTGATCCGCTGTTGCGCCTGGTAATTGATCAAGGGTCAGGGACGCCAACACGCTGATCTGAGCGTTCGAACCTCGTCGCTCAGCTCCTTCTCTTCTACGACTGCATCTGTCTTGAATATCTCTTACACTATACCTATTCTTTGCATGTCTGAAATTGTCGCGCATTTGCGGTCATTGCGGCAGTCCTGCGCTCAGGGCATGGCGTGGAGCTCGGCGCTGGTGTGGGCCGAAAAGGTGACTTTGCTGACTGGCGACACAGAAGACGTGCTCTGGCTAGTCGACGCGCTAGTGGACGAATGGCCAATATCGGCAGGCAGAGGAATGGCTTAACCACCAACAGTACGCCAGGCGAATCCGCGACACTGCCCCAGGACAATATTTGGCGTCAATTGTTGGCGCTACGGCTGGGCAGAGCTGAGGATGCACTGGACTTGCTCGGCAAAGCAGCAGCCGAACTGACCACTGGACTAGCAGGCCCTGGTATTGGCACACGCTCTACAAAATTCCCAGGTGCTCAAGGCGAAACGCCAACCACGTCAAGGTCAGCGAAGCCAGTGTCCTCACTCACATCTTCGCTGTATGGCAGTGCAGTCAAGACTGGCTCTACAAATGCGCCTGCATACAACCTTGGCAGTATCTGCTTAGATACAGCAAACGAGCATCCACTGAATCCGCGTGCCTTGGTGCTGTACATGCAAGGCGCGGCAGTAATCCAGCTAAGCAATGTAGGTGGTACTGAGGACCTCCCTAGCATCAAAGAACTGGCCACCCGTCACCCCGACAATACCAGGAGTCTGTCGACTATGCACCGTCGAAGCACTCTAAGATCGGTAGCCGAGACCCCCGATCTAGGTCCCGCGTCACAACCTGGTGGTATCGGTGGAGCTGCGGGAGAAAGCGTCAGCCCACTAAGTGCCTTGGTCAAGCGACTATGGATTGAGGCGGTCAAGGCTGATGCGCGGTGCTGGGAGGCCTGGTCAGGGCTGAGAGAGCACGGCCTGCTGACATGCAAGGAAGAGCTTAGCTTGATTGCGAGCCTAGATTGGACCTCGCATTGTGCTGGATCTGAGGGAGTTGGGCAGTTCTTTAAGCAGTACTGTCTGGCAACCATGACTACATATGCTACGAATGAGCAGACAGTCGAGGCAACGGCCAGCTTGTTAAAGAGCTACCCATGTCTAGTGCAAGATCCTAGTCTGCTGGCAATCCAGGCGTCACGACTGCTGTCACTCGGCCGCGCTCGCGACTGTCTCACGTACACCGTGCGTGTTTTGGAGATTCGCCGTATCCCGGACCCCGGTACAACCGCAATCCATATCAGTGCACTCACAGCACTACATGCCAGAGACGCCGCTGTTCCGGATCGCACACGAGCTGGCTGAGGAATTCGGCATCTCGTCGATCAAGCGAATTGACGTTGAGCCAGCCGACACTGCCAATGACTTGTTTGCAGGGGGCATGGCTGGGATCCCCGGTAGCAGTGGCTCGGTGATGTCGACCCCCAGGTCGACTTGCTCTGCATCCAATATCAGGCACTCGATTGGCGCATCCGCGTCTGGCGTCAGTCGCATCCGGTCAGGCGCCCGTGGTCTACTTATTCCCGAAACCCCCTCACGCCTAAATGCCGGCGGAAGTGCCACATCCCAAAGGGCTAGTAGATCAATGCAGCCAGCGGCCCAGTTTTCCTCTGCCGCTACCGCTGCTGCTTGGAAAGGACTGTGGGGACTACCAACTTGGACACGGCCAGGACCACCTGTGCTGGCAACATATCCATGCGCACTGGGGCCATCGCATATGACGCCAGTTACCAATGACACGTCTGTCTCCACAATGGATACGTTCTCAACGACCAGCGCCCAGTCGATCGGTAGCCCAACCCAAGATGAGTTCATCGGCGCCTCCTTGGCATGGTTTGCGATCGGTTGCTACTACTTGGTGACAGCATCGATTCTAACAGCCCCAGCCTCTGCCCAAGCCGACTGGGGGCAGTCACATACGTCCTTTGGTGGGATTCTGACGTCCGCAGCTCGCCTGGGCATATCTGGATCTAACAGCGATGGTGGGACCTCGCTGCGTCGTGGTCAGCCGCTGACACCTGAAGCTGAGCATGCGCTCTCTGAAGCCCGCCGGTGGCTTACCAAAACGACCCTTGTCTCACCGCGCAGTGTTTCGGCATGGGTTGCTTTTGCCCATACGTTCGTGCTTGCTGGAGAGTGGGAATCGGCAACACGTGCTCTGCACACGGCTGTCGGTCTGTGTGGATTCGAAGGTGTTGTTCACGGCGGTGGCCGCGACTCTGGATCGACAGCAAAGTCGTCGCACGGGACACCTAGCAAGCACGTGGCATTTAGAAGTGCACGGGTACTGCAGATGCCAGAGCGTGGCAGTCGGGCTGCACACGCACCACTGGCAAATCTTGGCAGTGTTTACCTACAAATGGGTGACCTAACCATGGCCGAGTCATGTTTTGATGCCAGTATGCGCTGCCTGAGTGGATTCTGCATCCGCGACTGTCTCTCTCTATGGATGCCGGTCGTTGACGCCATCCATGATGACCAGATCCTAGCCTGGTGCGAGAACACCAGCCATAAGCAGTCCGAATCCAATCGTATTAGTCACTCAGCATCAGCCATGACTGACCCACAGCTGCTCAACGATATTGGTGTCCTATACTACGCGCGCAGCGAATTTAGTACAGCAAAGCTGCTCTTTGCTATGGCACTCCATGCTCTGCATATCAACACTAACCAGCAACATATGCTGCAATCGGCATTCGCTCCGTCGCAGAAGCACACTACGCGCTGGTCACGAGCGCCAGATGCTCAGGCTGCATATTCTCTGCCCATGGCCAACCTGGGCAATGCTTTGCGTCGCATGGATCGACTTGATGCCGCACTGCTGTGCCTCGACGCATCGGCAAAATGTATGCCATCTAACCCCGAAATTGCACTATCGACTGCGTTCACCCTACACTCTCGTGCAATATCCCTACTCGACCAAAGCGACTCTGTCAGTGCCAGCCGCGACCTCGACCGCTCCATCGATTTGTACCACGATATTCTCTCCTCGCGACCTGGTGACCCAGTCACCACTGATCTCTTGGCACTGGCACTGGAGTTATCTACAAACATCCAAGGCACGGTTTTGCTAGGCGGACTGTTGGATTTCAGCAAGGAACAGCATGCCCAAATGGACCAGCATCCTCGAACCCCAGGTGAGCTGAAATATCAAGGGGATGTGAGCAGCAAGCCATCAAATCCGAGCTCTCCTCACCAAGCCTCCATTTCTAGAGAGGAATTACCAGCCATAGAGTTAGACCAGTACTCCAGCAGCTACCATCCTTCATCCAATCGTGCGTCACTGGAGCCAGAAGTTGATGGAAGTGACGAGGAAATGGAGATTGAAGAGGATACTGACAGCGATATGGCTGTAGACTGATATGGCTAAATGCTGCGCTTTTGAATACTTTAATACTATGCCCTTAACCGACACCTCACAGTTCACCATCTCCGTGATAGTATGAAAAAAGAACAAGCATGAAGTAATGGAGCAAACGATCACAGAGCGCTCATGGAGTGGGGCTTGGCAGATAAGGAGAGCCCGTAGTTGAGGATCGTGGCCCACATCAAGACTGCTATCCATAGAAACAGTAAATAAACCCCATTAATGGCAAGCTGCACTAGGATAAGAGGCATGAACTAAAACGCAGACTTCGCTTGAAACTGAAACAAGCAGAGGAGAAAGCTAGAGTCGAGGTAGAGAGAAAAGGTAGCTTTCCTTGGCCATTTAAAGCTACTCGCCAAAAAATTTAGAACGATTGCTTTCTTCCATGCAGAGGAGAGAATTAATTGCAAAAGAGGACCGCGAAATTGCAAAAAAGGTCTTTCCGAGGTTCGAACTCGGGTTGGCGGAATCAAAACCCGCAGTGATAAACCACTACACTAAAAGACCCTCCACGAAGTGCCCAATCCATCTGGACCGATCGTCACACAAGTTTTGGAGATTTTCAAAATGTACAGTATATATCGTGAAATAATTAGTTATTATTACTTTTTGGGATGGTGGTGCTGGCCAGCAGTCGCCCCCAGTTCCATCCATATTCCTATTGGAGGTTATTCAGAGATACTTATCTGCTTATCGATTATCTATGCATACTATAACTACTGGCACTCTTAGTAGAATTAATATTTTTACCTAAACTGCTATTAGTACCTTAAAAAAATTCAGTAAGTATAATTTTATCTAGAAAGAAAAAACCTTATATATTTATATTTAATTTTCTTTGCGTAATAATAGTTAATATCTTAATAGATATAGCTAAACAACTATATAGAAATTATACATTCTAGAATTTTTCTAAGATGCTATTAGTAGTTTAGATAAAATAGATATATTAATATTATCTTAGAAATCAATTATATATAAATATTCTAGGTATGATAATTGAAATATATATACTAAACATATCTTATATAAAATATCTATTTTATAAATGATTATTTAATTATACTACTAACTTTATTATAATTTACTAAAATTTATTATTCTAAAAATAACCTCTAATAGCTATAAACTAAAAGTATATTCAGCCTACTATAGGTACTAGCAGTATATACCAAAATGTGTGATAAATAGGGTTTGGCCAATATAGATGTATACTTATATCATAAGCATAGGACTGCTAGATATTTATCTGTATATATTTTTATAATCCTAAAATATCTGACCATCCCCTAGAATATTTTTAGTTAGTTAGAAAATATAAGCTCTTAAACCTTATTGAAAATATGGATAACCTGCTCTGTAAACTTAATAAATAGTATTCTTTTATAGTTGATCAATTTAGATCATAAGATGACAGATATATCTCTTTAAAGCAATCAAAAGATCGAACCCAGAACCTTCTATCAAAGTACCATTTATCTTAGTTATCCTAGATTTCATAGATATAGTAAATTCGTAGATGCACTAATGTAATAAACAAATCACCCAACTTTTATATCCTCAGCACACAGACTTGGAGCCATAGGCTGAAGTCGATAGGGGTGATAGTAGGCTGTCTGCACAGCCTGCAACTGGTCTCATTGGTTTATGAAGAGCGCTCAAAGAAGGATCTATTGGTTTGCTGGCCAATACATCCTAGATATAAAAATATCCCTTCCTATGTTATTCATCCTTGTTCTCCTCACCCCCTCCACGCATTCTGATTTCCCTACAAACCCCTCCTCTAGATTCTGTTATTTAATCGTCGTGGCTGCCAGCGGCGCCATGCCTCGATACGGGGCTCGACTCAGTGATGTGCATCGGCAACTACTCGATGAATACGTCTGACTACGCAAGAGTCACCTGCCTTGGACAGCGGAATGAACCCCCACTTTTTCTCTGCAACCTTCCGCGATGAACATCGTTATACAATACCTACGGACGGGTTGCATGGAGCTCTCTTTGTGGGCATATTCCTGCTGTGTTGGATAGGCAAGGCTCTTGCAAGATTTCGCTATCGATTGTGCCTCCGATGGCTCTGCTGGCACCCAGACTGCAAGCAAGCAAAGAACCGCCCAGCTGCTGCCAGCAATGGCAAGCCAGAGCAGTAACGCCGCCGTCGATCAAGCCCCTAGAACAAACCCTCAAGAGTATAGTTCTTTTTTTAACTTTCCAGGCAGTTGCTATCGCCCCGCGGCAGACTCCTTGCCTCATTATCGACAGTCTAAGCCATACTAATTAGCCGAGCTCGCATTGCGGGCGCCAGAAATCTAGTTACCCCAGAGCAGTTACATATCTACTTGGGCAGAATTTATCGTCTTCTGCTCGACATATGTAGTAGCAGGCTTCTGGGAGGTTCTGCGCCGTAGCCACGTGCAGTATAACCAGTTGATTGAGGATGCTATTTTTAAGCCATTCTGACTGTATTTAAGCTGTACCGTAAGCAGCCGCTCGTAGTGACGACATCTTTACTTGATTATGCTTCCTTCTGCAATATTGTCATTTGTTTTTGGCATTGTGCTCGTCCCTGTAGTGACTGCAGACGAATGCAACTTGGCGTATTGGAAACCCCGTCTGATAGGCACGCAGATGATCGGAGAGAAGCTCCCAGGGCATGTGACAGAGAAGAAAAAGTCGTTCCTGCAGCAGCTCAAAAAGCCTCGACGCATTATCCGACCATCAGATCTAGTGGTAGACCAGGTTGAAAACCCAAAGCGCATCTCAGTATATGTAAACGAGAAGGACATCGTGTTCGACGTAAACTGCAGCTGACAAAACGCAGCACTGATTAACATGAACCATATTTGGGGCAGGCAGAATAAGCTGGTGTCTGGCAGACTGAGCGGCGAAATAGCAAAAATCAACCTTATCTTTTGAATAATACTGAACAAGCAATAACACCATTATGTCGTCTTTTGTCGAGCGCGTGCGCAGCGACCCAAAGAGTATCTGCGTTCCAGTTCTTGCCATTGCAGCAGTGGCCGCGGTCGGCGGAGCAGTGGTGCTGACGTCGCGGTATTTGCAGGCCGACCATGTGCGGACGGTACGCAAGCGTGCGGCGCAAAAAAAAGTATAGGGCGCTGCTCGGCGACCTAGCCGAGTGCAAAGGCATTCTCGGCTATATTGATTCACAGGAAATTCCCAAGGCGCAGCAGTTGGCAACCGAGGCCGAGCAGATCATGAGCCAAATCGTGCAGGAAGGCGCAAACGAGGCCGAGCAGGCAGCGCTGCAAACCCGGCTGCAAGCCATCAGAATGGATATCATGGGTGTGGGCGAGCAGCTGCTACGGCTGATGGAAAAAGTCGACGGGGTTGCGCCAGCGTTGGTGCTGGAGGCAGCGGGGCTGGAGCCATGGGCCGAACACGAAAAGGAGCTAAAGGACAAGGCGCTGAGCGATGGACTGGGTGCGGTGTTTGATCTGGCAAGCGACCTGCGAGCTATCCGGAAGGGGCTCATCCACAAGGCAGAACGCCGCGCCCGCAAAGTCGATTCGCTCAAGAAAATCACAGCTGTCGCCGTGTAAGCGAATGCGCAGCGGGCTGCATGTCGCCCTGGCAGCCCTGGCAGCCTTGGCGGATTAGGGCATCTTCCCAGCAGGGGGAGCATGCCTGAAGCACGCGCGGCTCTGCACCTGTAGCGTGCCACGGCCGAACAGGGGATGGGTATAAAAGAGAAGGAGGGCGGGGAGAGGTACAGCCTCTTTTTGTCTTTCATCCTCCATTCTCGGAATTCCTTATCTCTCGACTTCAACCCAGCAGCCCACTCTTTTTAGTTCTTTTATCAGCATACAATGACCTCGTATTCTCTGCCGGTGCTTCCCTTTGACGAGAAGCTCATCTACATTGATGGCCGGTGGGTGCAGTCGACGTCCACAGCCACGCATAACGTGGAGAACCCGGACACGGGTGATGTGATTGCGGTTGTGCCCGAGTGCAATGCCCAGGATCTGGACAAAGCGGTGCAGGCTGCGTACAACGCGTTCCATGATGGGCCCTGGGCCAACCAGTTCTCTGGTGCAGAGCGCCGCGACGCCCTGATCGCCATTGCCGATGCCATTGAGGAGCACCGCGCCGAGCTCGAGCTCATCGAAAGCATCAACACTGGCAAGCCCATCAGCGACATGCACGTCGAGGTCGACGACACGATCGACCTGTTCCGCCACTTTGCTGGCTATGCTGACAAGGTTGAGGGCCGCCATATCGGCCACCAGACAAACCAGACAATTGAGGGCTACACGGTCAAGGTGCCTGTCGGTGTGGTCGGCTTCATTAACGCCTTCAACTACCCGCTGAACCTGCTTGGCTGGAAGGTCGCTCCTGCGCTGGCAGCCGGGTGCACAGTTGTCTTCAAGCCTGGACCGCAGACGCCCCTGACCACGCAGTACTTTGCCTACCTGCTTGAAAAGACAGGCAAGTTCCCGCCTGGCGTGTTCAACGTGGTCACTGGCGGCGTGGAGGTTGGCCAGGCTCTGGTTGACCACGACCTGGTCGACAAGATTGGCTTCACCGGCTCGGTCGCCACGGGCAAGCACGTGATTCGGTCGACAGCCTCGACGCAGAATGTGCGCTCGACGTCGGTGGAGTTGGGTGGCAAGTCGCCGGGCGTGGTGATGCCCGATGCGGACCTGGACAAGACGGCGCAGCTGGTGGTCAGCGGATGCATGAGCAACGCCGGCATGAACTGCAACGCGCTGACGCGCCTGTGGGTGCACCGCGACATCTACGACGAGTTCATGCCCAAGATCAAGGCGGCCGCCGAGTCGATGGTGCTGGGTGCCCCGCAGAAGGAGACAACGGTGATGGGCCCCGTCATCGACAAGCGCCAGTTCGACCGGGTCATGGAGTACATCCGCATTGGCAAGGAGGAGGACAAGGCGGCAGTGCTGACCGGTGGCGAGCGCGCGTTCGACCGCGGGTACTGGATCAAGCCCACCATTTTCTACAACGTCAAGAGCGACGCCCGCATTGCCACCGAGGAGATCTTTGGCCCAGTGCTGTCGGTGCTCGAGCCGTTCGACAGCCTCGACGAGGTGATCGAGATCGAGCGCAAGAACGAGTTTGGTCTGGCTGCGGGCATTTTCTCGCGCAACCACCAGGACATCAAAAAGTTCACGCGCAAGCTGCGCAGCGGCACCATCTGGGTCAACACCTACAACGCCCTGTTCTCGTACCTGCCCTTTGGCGGATTCCGCAACTCGGGCTTTGGCCGCGAGCTGGGCTACGAGTCGTTTGACGGATACCTGGTCCCCAAGTCCATCATTGACGACGTGTCGTACTAAGTTTGGCACCGAGGGGCCAGCCGCAATGTTTCCTGCAGATATGCACAGGTATCCAGCCTCGCCCCCTAACCCCTTGATTGGCTTGTTTTTTCGGCGGGGGTTCAGGGCCTTGCCATTGAAGAGACGAGCGCTGGTTTTTCCGCACCTTGGCTCTTTAGCTTCTTTTTTGCTGTTCTCTAATTCAAATTACTCGCAGTTGTTTGCTAGAAAGATGAGCTGGAAGGGTTTCAAGAAGGCGCTAGAGCGCATGCCCCACCAGCTACAGAACAAGATAGGCCGCGGCACGAAGACAGTGGACACCGAGTATGACGACCTGAAGCTGCGGTTCATCGACCTGGAGACAGTGGCCAAGACACTGTTTCTGCAGGCAGCACAGTTCCGCGATAGCATCCGCGCTACGCTGGTGTACCAGATAGCGTTCCTGGAGCAGATCCTGGCCAGCTACCGGCCAATTACCACCGACCCTGAAGGCGTAGCCCAGCCCATGGGCAGCTACATCGACGAGGGGGCGTCACCAGAGCTGCTGCGTGTGGCCGAGGAGTTCCGCAGCCGCGTCACAGCCATCAAGACCAGCGTTGACCCGCAACTAGAGACGCTGGACATGTCTGTGGTGGGCCCGGTGCAGGAGATGCTGGCCATGATGAAGAACGTGCGCCGTGTGATGCAGAAGCGCGACCACAAGATGGTGGATTTCGACCGCTACCGTGCCCAGGTTGAGAAGCACGAGGCAAAGGAGGGGCTCGAGGGACAGCGCAGCCTGCCCGACCAGCAGAGCTACGAAAAGTACAGCGCCCAGTACCAGGAGGCCTCGCGGCAGTACAACTACTACAACGACATGCTCAAGGCCGAGTTGTCCCAGCTGCTGGATCTGCGCCAGGCATTCATGGACCCGGTCTTCCTCAAGTTCTTCCGCATCCAGCACCAGCTCTACACGCAGCTGCTTGTCGAGATGTCGGCCGCCGCCCGTAACTGTCCTGCGTTCGACCTAACCACGCCTGTTGTGGTTGGGTGGCAGCAAAAGTGGCCCCGTGCCGAGCAGACCATGGGGTCCATTGACCTGTGGAGCCAGGGCTTCATGCATGTCGAGCCGTACAAGCTTGGCGAAAAGCCCAAGGGCTTTGTTGGCTCGCTGAAGGGCACCTTCCGCAAGAAGGAGAAGTCGGCCACCCCCACCGCATCGAGCATGTTTGCTGGCGGAGCGCCTGCCTATGGCTCCTCGCCGCCACCAGCCGGCACCTCTACTGGCCGCGACTCACCCTACAGCTCCCACAGCGGCAACGCACCACCGCCCAACGAGAAGCCGCAGGGCTGGGGCGGTGGCCCATCGCCCTATGCATCGCCAGCGTACCAGGCCCCACCGGGGGAGAAGCTGCCTGCTGCTGGCGCTGCTGCTTCGCCCAGCCATATGCCTCCACCAGCCTATGACTCGCTGGCTGCTCCGAATCCGTATGCCCAGGCTCCGCCGCCCGAAAAGGCTCCACCCGCCTCCATGCAGCTGCCAGTCCCCCGTCCGGGGCCTCGCCCCCAGTTTGTGGTGGCTATCTACGATTACGCCGCGCAGGCCGAAGGCGACTTGAGTTTCCGTGAGGGCGACCGCATAGAGCTGGTGCAGCGCACCGCGGCCAAGGATGACTGGTGGACAGGCCGTCTGAACGGTGTAACCGGCGTTTTCCCCGGCACATACGTGACTGATCCGTAGTGCTAACGTCACTCCCCGGAATCGAAAACTGCACTGTCGTTCGAACCGTTCCATGGCGCCAGGCTTTCTGCCGCGTCACTTTCTGTTGTCTATTCCTCTCTTGCCCAAGCTCTTTTGCCCAAACTCTTTTTATAATACGTGCCATCTCTATAGAGCCCCATTCTACCCGGATACTGCATAGTGTAGCCATATTTGTCCCGATCCATGCCGGGACCGTTCCGTGTCTGGACCAGCCTGGCCGTGCGCCGCCCGATCTTGACTCTGGCTGTGACCAACGGTGTGCTGGGTGGTGCTGGTGATCTGCTGGCTCAGTCGATCGAAAACAGGACTGAGTCAACGAGCACTCCGTTCTGCTGGATACCAGGCGCACAATCCGCTTTGTCACCTGGGGCGCCATATGTGCGCCGGTCTTGCACAAGTGGTACCTGTTTTTGAACAACCAGTTTCCACTGCCAGCCCTCGACACCAGCAAGACCCTGTTTGCATCCGCTGTTGCTAAGCGCGTCGCAGCCGACCAGCTCGTCTACGCCCCGCTCGGCATCGCCGGCTTCTTCATTGCCATGAATGCTATGGAGGGCCACGGCTGGCGATCGGCCAAGCACCGTCTCGGCGAGCTCTATCGCCCAACGCTGTTTGCAAACTACGCCGTGTGGCCCGCTGTGCAGGCGATCAATTTTGCCTTCATTCCAACAATTTACCGCGTCCCGTTCTGCAGCGCTATCAGCATCTTTTGGAACGCCTTTATTTCGTGGACGAACGCACAGTCGCCTGCACTGGGTGCCAAGCTGCCGCTCGAGAGTCCTCATATAAGAGTGAAACCAGCTCATTGAGTGTGCAGGGTTTGGCAGACAAGCACAAGACGTTGTGGTTGGGACCGCACAAATAAACCCATGTAAATTGAGACCATGCGGGTACACATGTAGGCTTGCAATGGATGTGTGACTTTCTGCATGATATGCAGTGATGAAACGGGATGCCGCTTCCCTTTAACACATACCTGCTCAGCTTTATATCAAAAAGACTGGTTGTGGGAACAAACCTACGGACCTTCACAAGATACTTCGCGTGGGGCCCTTTCTACACTGCCACTGCTGTATGGCACCAAGCGGCTTGTTTGGTGTGACGGCTGTTTTTTTAAGACGAGCATTTGTTTTTTGACAAGCGAGAACCCTTGGCATATTTCCAAAAGAGCTCCAAATGTTAAATGCTGCTACTCAATCTTGGCATGCCAAGTCTTGATATCCGCAGAAACACCGCACAACATGACATATATGATTGCAGACAAGTAGATGGATTCTTTTCGTTCCTTGAACAACCAAACAAGCAGCTAGTTTCTCAATTCAATATCCATAGTACTGCTTCCTAGCCTTGTTATTCTAACAATATGGACGGTGTCTCACATTTCACTTTTATCGATGCCCCTGGATCCGCAGATGCAACTAATGTTGCCACCGGCCATGCGAGTAAAGTTGTCGAGATTGCAAGCAGCCATATTCTTTACACTCTCACCATCAGCAATGCTGGGCTCAGCGTCTACTCGTGGATAGCTCGCCGGACTGACCCAACAGTCACTGGCACTGTAGTAGGTACATCGATGGGTCTTGCGGTTATGAAGGGGTTTGGACGAACTGCTACTGCAAGAAAGTCCGGCTATATTCGCGGTGCATGGAAATTTGTTGACTTCACAGGCAATGAATATTGCTGGTGTGTCAGCCTGATGGGCTCCACCTGGAAGTTACTAGACTCGAACCACGATAAAGTTGCTATGTTCTGCCTGCATACCTACCAAGCATCGCCCTATCGTTGGCCATTTGTCAATGAACCGGGATGTATCAGAACAGCTGTTCTCGCTGGTTCTTTTGACCTGTCAAATGGTTTACCTTCGTGTTAAAGCTAATTAATATTATTATTTTTTACACTTGAAGGTATCCACTACGCTAGCTGTTGCATGCCATAAAACCCTTAGAAGCTCTTGTGTTAGCTGTGCGTCCAAAACTACAAGGCAATCTGTCATTTTCCTTTTTGCCAGAGTAATTCTAATCCAGCAGTCGGTATTTGGGCTTTTCAAGACTAGTAACGCCAAATGTTCCGTTGCAATCTCAATCAGGACATTGTTATTATCAAGTCTGTATGGCTCATATGGCATGTTGGTTGACAGGGAAAATCATACCTGTGTAGGACATTGGCGAAAGCTGTATAGAGCTCGAGCATTGCCAGGTTCTTTGCGATGCATACCCGTACCCCTGAACTAGATGTAGGTATACCCTTATCCTTATCCTTTCAGTTCCATATGCTCCAAGGAAGTGCTCAGAGACAAACCTGTCAGGATTGGGCCAAAGGCATTGGTTGGGTGTGGCAGGCTGCAATTGAGACACCAATACTTGAAGGGAGAGGCAAGCACAGAGATTTTGTACTATCACTCAGGTGGCAGAGCCAAAAAGAAAAAGAAAAAGAAAAGGGACAATGGGATGAAAGACTATGTAGTTCACAATAATTGGATCATGAGATTCTAACATAGAGTGTATGATAGTGTCCTCGAAACAAATGGTAGTTTAGCGAGAAACTGCAGAATTTGCTTTAGGAATGGACCAGCGATATGTACAAGAGGCGAGAAGAACGCACTGATGATCTGTCGAATAGTATGTACAGCTATTACCGTGAAGAACACTAGTACCAGTGTGTGCAGCATCACCTCAACTGAAAATTGTCTATCAGAATTTTCTCCAACCATTGTATAGCGACAAAAAGTTTGGAGTGCAGTAGAATGTTGATAACAAATATGAAATGCATATTCTATTTACCAGGGTATATTTGAAACTTTATATTAGCAAATTTGCTTGTGTCGTTGGTAGGTGTCAGTATAATTATTTGGCCATATTCAACTGATGCCATTTGTTCATTGTGTTTGTTGAAATACAACAATGTGTACATAATATAAATCAATACCCTTTTGTCTTACCCTTGCAATACCTCAATACTGCATGCCAATTCTACCCAATATCCATATGTAATACTAGCCATCAACCGCTGACACAGCGGAGCGTGTTGGAGGCATATGTGGCAGTGATTCTGATGGAATATGCTGGCTGTTGACTGTTTGCCGGAATATCTAATCAGCCGATCTGCGGATCGCGCTTTGCTCGGAGCTGACACCGTTTTCGTGTTTCCTGGCGAGGGCACTCAGCTCTTTGTGCTCAGCTCCCACATATTCGCTTACTTTCTGCTGGAGCTCATATTTCCTGCCTTCTCTTCCATTCCTTGCACTATGCCCTTTTGCGAACAATGTGGTCATTTCTAGGAGACCGCCAGGCTAGAGTCACCTGCTGGTGTTGTAATGAAACGACGCGATTACCCCGGTCCGAGACTGACAGTGACACGGTACAGACTGGCATTGCGACAACTGCGACACACAAAACACGGTAAACAAGGAGGGCGAAATTGTCGACAGCCGTGATGAAATGTACAGGGAGGTCCCTGGAAGCAGCCAGCGGAAGCTGCGTATTCTCAGCGGTATTGAGAGTCCGTCTAGCAGTTTCCCTGTGGTTGTATTTTGCAAGACATGCCAAAGCAACCAAAGCCGGGTGTACCAGCTCCTTTCTGAGTACTGCCTGAAGAGACCGACTCTCACTATGCGCAAAGACTTGCTGAAGCTGACGCCTACAGTCGGACATTGCGCAGACGGTATCCAGTCGCATGTAAGCAGTGCAGGAAAAAGTCGACGATCTACTGCAGTCACAGGCGTCATGGCTACGGAAGAAGGAGCTGGCCAGTTCATTGAGGCAGTCGGAGAGGGTTCGCAAGTATGAGCCAAATATCCGGCCAAAACCGACATTGCGACGAAAGGGTGTTACGATGGCCTGGCTCGTGTTTGCCCTGCTCGGATTCATTGCGTGTCCCTTAGCAGCACTGGGGCTCTACATCGACACCCAGCATGGCTACTTGGATCCACCATGGCAGGTGTTGGTAGCTGGTGTGCGATATCCATGGCTACATTCCTGTCCGGCCTACTGAACCCACTGTGGCTAAGGGCGGCATTCAGCACAAGCATCCGGATAGCTGGGCTGCCCAGATACCGGCGGCGCATACAGTTTCTGTCGGCTGGCCGGCTTGCGGTAGCAGTTGGGTTCTTTTGCAGGCGACCATCGCGAGACCTTGCCATTGGGTTAGGTATAGTCGACACTTGCATGTTTGTCTACGCGTTCTGGGCGCTTGAGATTGTCAGTAAGCTCAGGACAAGGTCTCTGAGCAGGCACACATCCGATTCTTATGACACGGCGATGAGGCCACTGATGAGGCCACTGCTAAGACAGCTGACAGCGACACCCCTCTTGAGCGTGCCCGCAAAACCGACGAGGCAACCAGCTCGATGGGTGAGCTTTCTCTGGGCGAGTCAGTTGTAAATCGCGACCAGAACGACAGCCTTCGTGGAACTGCCTTTGCCGGTCTGCATGGAGATCGTAGGCCTGGCGACTGGGTGTCACAGGGCAGAAACATGGCCCACCGGACAGCTACAGAGAGCAGCGGTGGCAGCGCTGTAGGCGACGAACTCGCCTCCATGTTTGGCCTGGAGTCGCTGGCTGTGGGGGGCCGCTCGCGACCTGTACCAGCGACGGTGGTGGCTGCTCAGAGTATGGATGTAGACACCTCTGATGCTGACCTTGGCCGTGGTCCTAGACTACGGCCTGCAGACCCCTCAGGCAACTATCGGCCATTCGAATCGACTCATTTCCAGTCACAAGACACTGGGCTTGAGTCAAAGATGCGAGGATTTTCAATCAACGAGGACGATGACGAGGATGTTGACATGGAGCCAGCTGCAA